AACAGGGGCCAGTGATTTATAGCTTTAGGGCCACCTGCAGTCCTTGGTCTAAATTTAAAGTGGCCGTTCAGACCTCTGGCAAGAGTGACCCATGGAGGGAAGCCATGATTCGTTGAACTGCGGATGGATCATCATAATTTGTTATCTCAGCTGGGTTCGGACAACCCACAGTTCAGGGATAATCCACACTCAGTCTTTGGGGCTGGATTATCATGTTGGCTGAAGTTAGCTACAACCTCAGTTCTCTCTAACCGAAGTTGAACATGGAAATCACTACATTGCCCTTTAGCAGTTTAATTTTCTATGAACCTCAGTGAATCCTAGTAAGTTGGGAGCACTGCTGCTCTCTGGGGAAAAGGGCGAGTCTCTTTCACACACACATTCATACACACTCTGTGCATATATAGATCAAGAAGGCTGCATTTGATGGGACTTTGATGTGGCTGTGGAACACTGGTCACCTATGGGGGAAGACAAAAAACTTGGGCAACCTAAAAGTGCTTCACTTGAGTGGGACCCCCAAACCTTATTGAAATATTGTCCTTAACTTTTGAGTCTGTCCCTAGCTCTCATGCCTTATCCCTGTGTGGTACCAAACTCCCCAGATGTTCTTGGGTTTCAGCTCCCATCAGTCTGAGACTACCAGCTGGAAGTGCAGTAAAATGACGTTTGGAAAGTCATGGGTTCCCTTCCCTTGTCTTAAACCATGGAAACTCGACTTTGTAATCTGGCCTGACCTGTTTCTTGAAGTACAGAACTCCTCTGCACTGCATCCCTGCCAGATCATAATGTTATGGCTGCAAGGTCCAGGGTGGTAGGGAGAGGATGCTGAACTGTGCGAGTCGTGTTCTATACCTCACTGGGCCATGAAATCAACTTTTACATAGCTGTGAATATAATACCTAAAATAATAGAAGAATCAAACTGAGGAACTATTCAGGGACCGTTTGGGGAAGGAGAAACCCAGCCTTAATGACATTAATGTGCATTTAAATATAGGCACTTTTTTTTTTTTTTACATTTTTCTCTGGATTCGTTTGCCCCAAACACCTTGCTGATTGTGATATTGGCATTCTAGGCACGATCGTGTAGAATTTGCTGCTCTTACAAAGCGTCTGTTGGCAGCATCTGCTGAAAACGTAGTCAACCCTCTCCATTTTGACATCTGTTGGGGCTTCCCCTTTAAACTGCAGCATGTGGTGACGGTTCTGAAAGTGCAGGTTCCGACTGTGCAGGGTAAGTTTTATGGGCTTCGTGAAGTGGCAAATGGGGTCTTTAATCAGGAATGGGGATTGAGCCAAGGATGGGGCAAATACAGATTTGCTTCTCTTTCTCCTCCCTGCCCCAAAAACGAGGGTAGGAGAAAGAGGAGAGAGAAATAGATGTGATGCAAAGCCCAGTTCCATACTGGTAATACTCAAAATAGAAAGGGCGTGGCATGAATTTGGCTTTCTCCAAGCTGGAACCTTCCAGATGTGTTGGATTACAACATCCATCTTCCACAGGCTCACATGCCATACTGGCTGGGAGATGATGAGAGTTGTAATCCAGCACTTCTGGAGGGCACCAGGCTGGGAAGGCTGGCTTTAGTAACTGTATTAAAATATATATCTGCCTACTCTTCTGTTGGCATTGTGGAGTGACTAACAATGTTGAAAGAGAGTTTCATATAAAATAATGGTGGCTCATTCTATCACTGGGTCTGTCAAGGGATGGGGTGGGGAATCTCTGGGCCTTCAGATGGTGTATTCCAAATCCCATCAGCTCCAGACAGCTTGGCTGGGGATGATTGGAGTTGTAGCCTAACATCAGGATGGGTGGAAATGATCCTGATTTAGAGTATGTATGCATGTAATGCCATAACGGACCATTATGTTTCTCAGCTAGGAAGTCCTCCATACTTCATTTTGGAACCTGTTATTGCTTACACAGCTAGGAAATAAACTTCATGCAGCCCTTGGCCTAATCTCAACCCCTCCCCCCGCTAAATTAAGCAAGTTTGGAGAAACTGAAGCTTCTGAGAAGTTGGTTGTTTCTGTTATGAATCATGGCCTTTTAAAAGAAAATTCTGTTCCACTGTTTGTCTTTGCTTTCTGCTTTGCAGTGATTGAAGCAGAGAGGATTTTGGAATGCCAAAGGTTTGCAAAGATTGAATTTCAGAGGAAGATGGCACAGCAAACAGAATCCGAATTAAAAGGCAAACTATTTTTGGAAAGAAGACCACTGCCCCCAAGTGGTCTCCTCTAGGCCTTACTCACATTTCAGAGCAAAGCCGTCTGCGTTTCCCATCAGCAGTTGGCCAGCTATTCTAGGCATCAGTAGACAAAGAGAACACACCAACAAAAGCGTTTTGGTAGCCACAGTACAATCACGTGTAGCTGGGTACTTCATTAAATACAGGGTTGGCAAGCTGGTCACTAATCGCGAATGATCATTTTAGCGAGGGTGTGAAAAGCAGCACTTCTGCAAAAATGGCCAGGAATGCCGGAATCTATAGTTGAAATTGGAGTCAGCTTTGCAGAAATGATTGTTAGATGCACAAGGCTTCTTCAGTGTGGTTTTTTCACATCTGATGTGATTTAATACATTTTAACTTTATGTCCAAACTCTAACGTGTGGTTTATCTCAATTATGGTTAGGGATTAAAAAAAACTGTCATAAGTCATGTTTTGAATATGTCTTGTTACAGCTAACACCTGTGAAGACTCACCTGCGTTCATACAGAACACTCAGCTGTGGCTAGTTTAAAGGTCCCAAACTCTTCCTTTTGGCTGGAGGGCCAGTGCACGTGCCTTGCAATAGTAAACCATGGTATTACGCATTTCAGTTTCCTGAAATGACCTATACTTGTTCTGGAGGCGTGTGTGTATTTTTACTACCAGAAACACACATATTTTTTAGAAAGCAGATAGCTGTGGTCTGTAAAAAAACAAAACAAAACTCAAATTCAGTTCTTGAGAGAAAAGGGAAGAGAGATTGATGTTTGCTCATACATTTTCTAAACAAAAAGTCACAAGAACAAAAATATTTCTCATAACAAGGTCTCGGTTTATTTCCCCCAATATAGCAATGTTGAACTTTTGGGGACATAGGCAGACTTTGGCACACGCACCCCTGGCTAATTAAGAGCACGTGGGCAGCAGATGCTGTGGGAAGCATCTGCCAACATCATGCAGAAAAAACCTTTTCAAAGCCGGCAATGTTTGTTCTATCAGTTGTTTGGCTGGATTTAGTCTCCTGCTTGTCCTCCCTTAGCCCAAGTAGCTGCTTTTCCAACAGGGCCCGGCACCTTTGCCAGTGTCGTAGATTAGGACACTGTGGATACACTTTGCAAGCTCTGAGCAACTCCGAAACATTATGAACGGGTGGCAACCCTGCCACTGTTTGTTTATCCCATGCTTTTGGGAGAAAGATGGTGTCACAGTTAAGAGGGTCAGGCTGGGATGACCCAGTCCTGGCCATTATGCCTTGAGCTCAAGGAGCAGATGCTGAGAGGCATGGGATGAAGAGGAATGTACGTCCACCTAATAAAAGAATGGCACCTTCAGGTTCTGTGGAGGACACTGTCCTGCAACCAGCTGGTCAGCGTTTGGACAGGAACTCCGTGGAGGGAGGTGCCATGTTGTTTTGCTTCCCAAAGCAGAATATCCTGGGATGGTCAAGCCCAGGTTCCTGTTCCATGAAGTTCACTGGGTGGCCATAACTTCCTCTCCTTGGGGGAAGGAGGAGTTGAAAATGCCATATGCAACTCTCAATAAATTTGAGGGTTTGCCAAAACTAAACAACTCCTGTGTGTTTGGACTTCAGATGGATTTGTAAAATAGCTGCGTTCTGGGATTGTGAAGGAAATGATTGTAACTTTGACTAAAATAAGTGAGCATGGAGAACAGATGGAAAGGGTGAGAGTTTTCCTGATGAGAGAGACTGCAGGAATTTTGCCCCTCTTTTATGAAGCGCAAGCTTTCCTGTGAAAAACAATGGCTGTTTTAAAAAGACGAAGAGGTCACAACAGCATGGGTCACCCTCCTTCCTCCTGCAATCTGAGAGCAGACCGTGTGTCTCCTCTGCTCCCAGAAATGTTGGTCTAGCTAATTAGCTTGCCTACAGTGATGCACAACAGAGAGAAGCCATAAAACCCCTAGCCACTCACCATTCTCAAGTCAAGTTGTGCTTCAGGAATTAGATCCACTCCATATAACCATCAGCGCAGAGATGGAAACTCTTCTCTCAGATTTATTAATTTATTAGCTATATTTTTACACTGCTTCTCATTCCAAACAAATCCCAAAACAGTTCTTTATACAGATATTGCAGGAATAAAGGAAAAGAAGGAGAGAGAAAGTACTATTTATTTATTTAGAAAATTTCTATGCCGCCCCATTCGCCGAAGCCTCGGGGCGGCTCACAAAACATCAATTAAAATATAATACACTAAAAATATAAAACAAATTAACAATATAAAAAAAGTACTAGAGCAGAACACATGTCCATATCTTTAAGTGCTCATTCAAAATAGCCAGTTCTCGAATTCGTTGCTTAGTTTGGTATTGCTTCCAGAGCTGATGTTTGTTGAACATGTGTGTGCCCCCATTCCTACTGGCCACAAGGAAGTTTCGCTTTGGCACCAGTGGGAGCTTTCATCCCAGTGAGAGGCGCTGACGCGTGCGTGTGTAACAGGCCGTTCTGTTTAGGACCACAGCAGGGCAAAGGGTTAAGTCCCCCTCCTCCCTCACGGTTCTGACCAGACTTGCTCCCATCAGCTCCACACCAAGAATCTGTTGAACAAAAAGCATGCATGCTACACCAAACGTTGTGGCAATGTGTATCTGGCTGGACCGTCAGTTCTCTAATTAGTGAGGCTTGGATAATCTGCTCCAACAGGCAATCCATTCCATGCTGGATGTGCGTGTGTTGCGTTACTTATTAAGGATTTTGAGAAGTTACCTGATGGAATGGGCTATGACAATTCCCAGCAGTGCACTGCACAAAGGAGGTGTGAGATGGCCAACAACTCTGATATTCTGTCTACTTGGAATGAAACATTTGGAGAGAATGAGCAACGCTATGGAAGCAAAAGCTACGAACTGGCAATCTCGGTGGTGGTGCCCGTTGTTACGATCCTTGTTATGCTCTCCATTGGCTGCACCCTTGAGATGAAGAAACTGTGTGGCCACATCAAGAGACCCTGGGGAATCGCTGTGGGGATGATGTGCCAGTTTGGGCTGATGCCCCTCCTAGCCTGCATCTTGCTGATGAACGTCTCCGTGGGATCGATCCAAGCCCTCGCCATATTCTTCATCGGCTGTTGTCCTGGGGGGGCAACGTCCAATGTTATCAGTTACTGGATAGATGCAGACATGGACCTGAGGTAGGACCACAGCACTGCTTTGTTTCATACTTGTGTTGCGTATCAGCTGGGTTAGTGTTGAGTAGAAACCAGTCTGTGCAAAGAATTCCCTTCTAGGATAAATTCCCTTGGTGTGCAGTGAAGCCGCACTTCACAGAGAAGCTTGTGCTATTGAGTCTCTCTCTCTCTCTCATGTACAAGATGCCTCCTGTTTTCCACAAGGGAGCATTCAAACATGTGATCCGGACTGTAGCACGTCACCCATCTGAAGTTGTCCCATGGGTATATCATCTTTTAGACATCAGGCCTCCTCCTTATTTGCTATAGGGATACCTTTGGCCATGTTTCTGTAAAGCAGCTTTCTCCTATCTGGGGTGGGACTGAAATCTTGTCACCTCACTAGCACATGTGGACTGGGGAAGCTGGGAGCTGTAGTCCAACACATTTGCAGAGCACTAGGTTAATCAAGGTCAATAAAGAAGTTTATTTTTTAAATGGATGAGAAATAGATATGTTTCTGTTCTGTGTCAAAGATGAGTTCTGAGATGTTTGTGACATACTGCAAAGTTAATTCCACAGAGAGGAATTCATACAGCCCTAGGGTTGTGACGATAATTTGAATATCAAGAAACAGCACAAAGCAACCCTTTACTATTTGAATATTTTAAAATACAATTTTATTTGTATCTCCCTAGAGATAAGTTGCACTAAATTCAATGGGGCTTATTGGCAAGTCAATGTGAACAGGCCAGCCAGCCTTCGTCCATTTGTACTGGTTTTCTTATGGTTTTAACTGTAATTATTAAATATTGTTTGTTTCGTGGTATAGTAAATGGTGGGCCTATTTCTTTCTGTCAAGTTTTTAGGGCTGCATTATATGGCCACTCCATCATAAGCAAGAGATGAGAGACAAGGCAGACCTAAAAAAATAATCATATCAGAACAAATGTACAAATTTCTTTCTGAAGATGCTGTGGAAGCCTAAGCTGTGAGGTCAGAACATGGTATTCAAGACCCATTTAACTGCCAGGGTGGAAGGGGCAAGCCATTCCCCATTGGAAAGGAGTTCCATCGATTTGGGGCTACCAGTGAGAAGCCACCAAACCAGCATAGTGCAGAAGCCATCACCATGCCCACAACGTTCCAGATTACAAAAAGTGAGCATCAAGTACACCGTCCTTCAGATGGTCTGTAGAAGATCCATGTATTTCTGCTCAGCAGAAGACAACAACTGGAGTGCAGGTGGGAAGGACCCACTTTGGGAAGACGTTAAACCGCTGCAGTGCGATAGCAGTGAGAGTCAGGGTGCTGTACTGTTTAGAGGGCTGGACGGGAGTTCAGAAGTCGTGAGTTCTAGTCCCCACTCCACCACAAAACACACTGAGTGACTTTAGGCCAGCCACTGACTTTTATCCCAAGCCACTTTACAGGGTTGTTGTGAGGTGGGGGGAGGGGCATGTATGCCACTTTGGGTTCCTTTAAAGAGGAAAAATGTGAAATATAAATGTAATAATACACACATAATAAAATTCGCAAGGAAACCCATCTTGCATACTGACTGACCATCCCTCAACTGTCAGGAGACAGTGATGGTGTTGCTAAGTGAGTAGATGTAGGAATAATTTCTAAGAAATCCCAACCCCTGCTGGTGTGGATGTGTTTATTTACACATACCAACTTTTCTGCCACTATCACATAGAGGTTCAAAGAACTATTACAATAGCCAGTGCAAGGAAATAGAAGAGAGCAGCAAAAGGGGAAAAACAAGACACCACTTCCAGAAGATCCAAGAAATCAAAGGGAAGTTGATTAGGAATCCTAAACCCCAAACAAGGGACTCACTATCAGATCAGGAGAAAATAAAGAAAATGTGGAATGAATATACAGAAGAATTGTACAGAAGGATGACAGACCTCATTAAATCAATCTCATGAAGAAAAGCCTGCAGTATTAGAGAGTGCACTGAAAGCTGCTTTGAAAGCATCTCAAATAATAAAGCACCTGGAGTAGACAGGATACCAAGAGAACTATTGCAAGCTGCAGAAAATGAATGCAGATGATGAATCTTAAGACCCAATATGAGATGGAAGAGCTGAATGGAGCTGCCATGGACAGGATATTTTGGAGGGCTTTCATTCATACGGTCACCATAAGTTGTGGAAGGCTTGAGAGCACATAACAACTACAAAAATTGACTGCACACAGTTGCCACATGTTGATGATTTACATGCAGGCTGAATGTATGTGGGTTGCTACTTAGAAGCAACATCTGAAACTCAACTTTAATTGGCCATTTCTGAATAGTGAAATATGGAGGGCTGGGGGAGGTCCAGTTGGCACTGTTGGGGAGGTTGCTGTGGTGGACGCCATTGTCAACCGGCATCCAAGCCACTCCTTGTTGTTACCCATCCCTCTTTCACCTATTGCAGCATCAGTGTGACTGTCTTCTCTAACGTGGCCACCTTGGGAACTATGCCACTTTTCCTCTTCCTCTTCTCATCTTTCTGGGAGTCTGAAGATAATGTTGAAGTTCCGTTCAAGACCATAGGTACTACTTCCGATTCTCTTCCCTCAAGTCTAGCAGATGTGGAGGCAGGTCTTCGCAGAATGTGAGAGAAATCTAGGCCACTTCCATATTTGGAGACCCTCCCATTATATTAAAGAAGGAAGGAAAGTCAAAACATGATCACAGAAATTGTTATATTTTAAATATTTCCATATAAGAAATCAGTGCTTCAAACACAAACAAGATACAGTGCAACCATTTGTAAGAAATGTGCCCCTTCTAGCTTTCTTTGCAATTCCCCAATTATTGTAGAAGAAACTGGGGTTTATGTTACGTATAGCAAGGCCATTCCAACCATCTTGTCCCAGAATTGAATGGTAGTAATTCTCAACCTCCTGAAGCACAGTGGCTAATCTTCTTACTGCCATTGGCCGCAGCTGCTGCTCCTTTTTCCTACCCCTACCCCTACCCCTGGTTTGCTCAGATGCCTGCACCAGAGCAAGAAGCTGGTGAACAAGCAGGTTGTGATGTGGAAGAGGAGAAACAAGTCCAGGAGACTCTTGTCTGTAGGCCCCTGCTGGGCAGGTGCCCTTGTCATACACCCGACTGTGCCTAGCATTGGCAGTGGCACTGGCGATAACCTTTCTGCATGTACAACACTGAGGAGGGACTGCTGACCCACAATCTCGATGCATCCCATTGTGAGGTCATCCCTTCCTTCTTTCTTTCTGGTTATCGAACTCAAGGCAGCCCTATGAAGTGCAGCACTTTTGTTGAAACTTAACCAGCGTCAGAACAGTATGAACTCTAAATAGCCTTCTACCAATGTTCGTTCCAGGAGAAGCATCTGCCCAAGTAGAGCTGAATCCAAGCTGAAAAACCTTCCCCTCTGCCCCCAACCCCCTTCAGTAAAGCTTCTGACTTGACCTTCAGGGTGGGCTCTTGCTTCCTAACACCAAGACAGTAGGAATGATGGAAACCCTCTAGCTGAGCAGATCATTTTTCCTGATGCCACCTTACTGGTTCAAGGACTGGGTCTGCCTTTCCTCCTTCTCTCCTCCCATCCTGAGAGCACTTCCAACTGTTCCAAGCAGGCCAGTTCTCATGCTCTGCCTGAAAACATTCACTGAGTAACCTTGAAGCTTCAAAGTCTTCACCCGAATGAGGCCACCCCATTGAGAAGGAAGACCACCTCTTATCCCAGCTACAGGGTGAGGAAGAGAGCAAAAAGGAGTTGGGAAGCCACATCATCAGTTATGGAGATGGCTGCTAAAGGGAGGTTCAGTGCAGTAGGTTCTAATTTCATCTGCATGCAATGTAACCATCTCTCTCTCCTTTCTAGGGACAATTTTTCCAGGCTTGCTCATACCCACAGCTTGTGGCATTTTTGTAAATTATAGATGGCCCAAACAATCCAAAATAATTCTCAAGGTAAACTCCTGCTAAATGCTTGCAGAAGACAAGAATGTCTTCGTAAATGCTGGGGCTGTCGCTTAGTCATCTGTTATGTGGTTTATTTTATGCTGGTGTTTGCAGTTTTTAGAGTGTTTGCTGTCAATGAGCTTATGTTATACATGGAATTACTGCACGCCACCTGGGGAGGGCTCCTTTCCAGAAATTAAATATTTATTACATTAATCATTTATGATATAATAAAGCAGTCCAGGGAGTTCTACAAATACATTTCCTAGATTCATAGACTGCAGCCCTCCCCCAACTTGGCTGGTGCTCCACAGAAGTGTTGGTGTAAGTCCAGGAGAAAGGGGCATGGTCTTCTGAAGAACCTCAGAGGACTAATTCAGAGACCCCAGGTGGGTTTACCTCCTGGACCTAAAGTTTTGCACTCCTGGTCAACAAAGACCTGACCCGCCTCTCTCTGATCCTATTTGTATTAGGTTGGAAGCATTGTTGGAGCCATACTTGTTCCAGTTCTTGTAATACTCAACGTTGTGATGTATGAAGGTTCTTGGGATGTTGGTCCCTCTCTTCTGAGAGTTGCTGCCATATTCCCATTGGTAGGCTACCTTGCTGGCTTTCTATTGGCCCGTCTCACCTGCCAGTCTTGGCAAAGGTACCCAAGAAATGCTTTGTATGGACAATTTGCTGACATTGAGCTAGAGAAAGAGGAGGTGGCTCTTTCTGGCAGAATAGAGGGAATGGCGGAAATAAACCCAGTCTTCACCAAGAAATGAGGCCCCAAGGAAACAAACCTTGGCCACTTATGGCCACAGGGAGCTCTAAGTATACTAGAAAGGGGATGAGCCCTGGCTGGCTTGCCAAGCCTGGCTGGCTCACGCAGTTTGTTCACTTTGTACTAAATTTTATTGGATAGGAGGTTATGAAATTGTGGAGTTGGAAGGGAATGTGGAGTCCATCTAAAGGTGAGCAAACCTCTGGCCTTTATTGGTGTCCATCTACTGGTGGGCAAACTTCTGACCTACTGCTGTACAGGAGGCATCTATCGTGCTCTTGTAATTCCTTAGAAATGGTAACTTGCAGGTGCCTTACACCAGGGTCTTTCCTAAGCTTTCTGAGTATGCCCATAGAAGGTGAATGATGAGCTATTACAGGCCCAGTGCACTATAAAACCTTACAGTACGGCATGCATTTTTGCAATTCCGCTTTACCACATTGCCACCTTGTGGTTATGTAATGGAACATCTAGAAAATCAGTAAAAGAAAAACCCAGGGAGCGGGGGAAGTGTAAAGGAGACACCCGGGTGCTGCAAAGAATCCAGAAGCATCACTAGAGTGGAACATGAAAACAGGTTAAAAGCCAAATATAGCGAAGCCCTAAGAATTAATAGGTTGATTCTGAGCAGATGATTGGCCCAGGCATTTATAGGTAGTACCACAACTCAGCTCAGAAGTCCTTTCATACAAAAATCTGCTCCTGGTTTCACCCAAAACATGCCTATTTAGGAACTTGATCTAGGAGTGGCATTTTTAGTGGTTGCTTTTGCTAAGACAACTGAAATTCAGAACCTCTTGCTAATCCATTACAAATCAGACCAGGAGATCCTAATCTGCCTACTGTGTGGCCCTGCTGCAGTCCAGGGCCCTGCTCGGTGCAGGATGTGATGAAACAGCCACCTGGCCTCTTCCTACATACATCCACCCCCTCTGTGGGCCGCATGCTCCACAGCTGAACAGCTGCTGCTGCTGCTCCTTCTTCTCTTCCTTACTTACATCCCACCGTTTTTCTTTTGCAAGGAAACCAAGGTAGCTTACCCAATCCCCCTCCTCCCCATTTTATCCTCACAACAACGCCTTGAGGTGGCACAGGCTGAGTCAGTGAATGACCCAAAGCCACCCAGTCAGCTTCACGGACAAGTGGGGGCTAGAACCCAGATCTCCCAAGTTGCAGTCCAACACTCTGCAGTCAGTTGGGCTGACTCCCATCTCACACCAGCTGAACCCCAAAACATGTCTCCAAATGCTTCCCTGCAGTCTCCACCATTCCCATTTTCCTGCTACAATGCTCAATGAATTCAGTTGAATACAATTTATTTTTTTGTGCTTACAGGTGTCGGACAATTTCTGTGGGGACAGGGACTCAAAACATGCAGTTATGTGTCACTGCACTTCAGATGTCTTTCAGCGCAAAGCATTTTGGCCAAGTACTTCCTTTCCTTATGATCTATGCGATTTTTCAGCTGCTATATTTGCTTGGAATAGCGGCTGGTAAGTTGTGCTATTCTGGAATATGCTCTGAGGAAACGGGGGATGCAGGCAGTCAGACCAAGAACAAGGGTAGCTTTAAATTAGCAGCAGCCTGCCTGTGCTGCTCGAGGGCTGTGGCAGGGCCCACCCTGGGTGCCTCAGCTCTCCAATCCCCCCCCTGCTGCCACCCCCACCCATGTGGGGCCCTCAAGAAGAGTCATCCCTGCCCACCCACAACGGAGCCCTCAAGGAGACTCATGCTACCATATCCCACCAAACACCTCCTTGCTGGACTGCCAGGAGCTGCCTTCTGCATGGAAACAGACTCCGGGTCAAGATGGCTGTTTCCCTGCTAATAATTTTTATGGCTAGGAATGAGGAGGTGGTGACACAGTTAAGCCCTCCTCTTTTGGGGTCCTGTGTGTGTGCATATGGGGTGTGTGAACAGCTGCAGTTTGTTGTGGGTATCTATGGGCCCTGCCCACCTGGGCAGTCTCCAAAGGGTCCCCCCTCAGGGCATCTGCAGCCCCACCAGTTCCAAAATGTCACCCCCTTCCTCTAAATTGAGAGATCAGTTTTTGGCATAATGAATGGGCAAGTGTCAATCATTGTATGGCGATGGGGCCAGATATGTTTCTTTTTATTATTACAAGTTTCAGTGACTGGCTTTTCAACAAGAGTGCATGCAATGACACACAGTTTTTAAAAGTGGCAACAAAAAGCATTGATGTTAAAATTCTACCTGGTGATTCCTTTTAATCGGTTACAGTAGCATCACATGGATTTCTAGGTTTCTTTGCTTTAAAAGTGACTATGATAATACACACATTATTAGATATATATGCACATTAGAAAACTAGGGTTGACTAAGTTGTTAATGAAATTCAACAGCAACCTACTACAAGGATGTGTAGTATCTTGTGGAGAAGTCCAGGCATGACCTTAAAATAAATATGCATTTGTATGTAGAGTGTGGGCTTTAAAAGAGGCAAATGTTGTCTGCTGGCAAGGGGGCTAGAGCAGGGGCTGATAATGAATAGGATCAGCACAGGTGTGGAAAGGGAAAAGTAACCCCTTCCTCCCTGACTCAGTCCTAAACACACTTTCTCTTATTAGCAAATACTAGCTTCAGAAATTAGCTTCTAGGGATTCCTCCCAGAAACACAATTGAGGAAAGGGTTAAATTTCCTCAGCCTGCCTGCTTTGATCCAATTAACTATCACCACCTGATTCCATATATTTCTTTTTCAAGTTCTGCCCCTTTGCTGCACAGATGAAGTCTGTATTTTCTGGCCATTCAAGACCACATTTCTCTTCTGGGTAGAATATATCTTCTCAGCTCATAAATGATAATAATTCTTGCTATTGGAAAATGAGATTCTGACCTCACAACTCTGCAGCAATGGCAATTTTTAATGCCATGGAGTGTCACCACTAATGGGCATTGTCTCCAAGTCCCGGATTCCATGTAACAACAATCCAGATCACAGGGTATTGTTGCATATGGGTTATGTGTGAACCCTGCACTGTGGTTTAATTGTGGGTTCTTAACCACAAACACTGCGGAATTCAAAACCCAACAACAGCCATGGGTTCCCTTTCTGGGCTGTTCATGGTTAACAACTCAAAGCTAAAAAACAATGGGCAGGCCTCAGTACGAATGTATTGTTATCGTATAAGCAACGGTAGAGATTGCCTTGGTCTCCAGCTGTTTTTGGTCTACACTTCCCATTATATGACCACTGGCCATGCCTCTTGGAGTTGATGGAGACTGATGCCTGCAGGGCCACAAATTCCACACATGTCCCTGGAGTACGACTGAAAGGCCTGCATAAAATGTTGCCTGCTATGATATGCCATGCCCGTGTGTGGTTTGCAGCTTACCAGACTTACAAGAAACTTCTAAGGAAACCAGCAGCAGAAGAGAGGCCGACTGATCCAGATAGGAAAACGTCAGACAATCTGCATGGCGAGGTCAACCTGGGATTTGAAAAAAGGCAAGGAGCAGATGGTGAATTTCAAGAGGGACAGGAATTCCAAAATGGCTTAGCTGAGCATGGATCTGAATATGCCATGTGTTGAAGAGTTCACAGCCAAGTCAAAGAGGAATCAATAAACAATACCAGGATTGCTGCCTAGGTACGTGAGTGCACCTATTACACCTGCCCTCCTTTGTGCCATTTTACAGAATGCTCTTCTTTGTTCTAAAGAGTGGGAAACATTACATTATTGCTGCAAGCCAATGTGCAATGTTTTCTTTTATATTTTTGATCAATAAAGAATGTGCCATTAAAAACACATTTCTCATTTTTCCACGATTACTTCAGCATTCTCGCTCACAGACAGCATTTTATGCTTGGTTTATCTGTGCAGAAGTCCTTGCTCCAGGCATAACAAAACCTTGAGAAGATTAACACTGATAGTTAATGGGATTGCATATTATCAGCTCCGCTGCTGTGCTGGGAATGCCATAAAAGGGAGAGCACGTCATCTAGTTCAGGCAAGGGCAGATTCCCCTAAGCCCAGAACGTGCAGCTTACCAACCACAGCCAGGTGCCAACTGGTCCTTGGCAGGTGGGGTGGAGGAATACAAAATCGTGGCACAGATGCCGTAGTCAATGCCAGGTGCATTCAGGTGAACCAGAGTGAGGTGACCTACATAAACAAGTACAAATCTGCACCTGAGAATTCTTACAGGCAGAGCTTCTCACTGCCTCATTTAGAGAGGAGGCGGCTTTTTTGCAAATGCAGAAAAACCTGGTGCTCAGAAACCCTTGCCCACCCATTGCAAACCACCCAGCAAATCACCTCCTGCTTATTCCTGGGATACTTGCATCTCTCGCCGCTGCTGCTCCGTCTGAACACTCACAGACACGCATCCTCCTCAGCTGTTCCGCAAATGGAAGAGCTCAGTGGTGGTTGTGACCGTCCTGCGTGGGGCCGGCTGGAGCCCGGGGTTCAGACTAGCTGGCCCAGGAGGCCCTTTCTGACTCACTCTGTTTCTGTGTCAATCATTAAGGGAGCATTTTTATCAAGGGACTCCTCTGAATTCTTGCCAAGTTACAACAGGAAAAAGCAAAGCATTTGAACAGCATATTTAGTACTTAGGTATGGCTCCTTTTACCCTTCTTAATAACTATACTTAATACACTCGTAGCACAAGAGACATGATTCTTAGAACCTAAGGCATGTACTCTAGGTGTCTCCAGTGCTAGTTTTGAGAAGGCTCTTGGGCAAGACACTCACAGTGAGACGCCTTCCTCACCGGGTCTACCACCATTTCACCCGCTGTGGTCGTTCATCTTCCCGTTTCCCATCATTGGCCACCATTTACTTACTTGATAGCCAGTGAGCAAGTAGGCAGTGGAATGATTGCTGCTTCTCCTCCCCACCTCCAGAGCATGGGCCAGGTGAAGAAGCAGGGGGCGGTGGTGAAAACAGGCAGCAAGTCGCAGGGCCTGTCGTCAGTGAGCTCCCGAGGGCTGCAGGCCTCCATCAGGTGCCCAACTTTGTGCACCATTAATACTGGCCCTGCAGATCCCAGTGCCCAAGGCCACTGCATGCATAAAGCCACCGCCAGCAAGGTTCAGACTGCATGAGCAGGCACCAGAAAAACGGCCATGCTAGCAGGAGACAATGGAAGTTTAAGTCCAAGGTCTGCTTCAGTCACGAATAAAGCAGGGGGTGAGACATCCAGTCACGGAGGAAGGTGTGCATAAGCTCCTGTCCTCCTCCATGGATCTGTTCTCCCACAGTCTCTGTCCCCACAGCTGTTCATAGATTAGCATGGCTGGGAGAAAAGCACTTGCAGGACTGGGGTGCGGTGGAGAGAAGATACAAGGCACAAGAACAGACAGGCACAAGAAGTGTTCTGTTCCCCCTAGCGGCAGGATCCTTTTGCTCTTCGCACCCTCTTTGTGCTTCCTTTGTGATGAGCTGGCCAGACAGTGATGCCCTTGGGGCACCATCACCACTGGACTGAAAAATGGGGTGCTACAATGACTGTTTGCTTCTTCACTGACTGGCCTCCAGACGTGCCTGGCCAAACCAGGAGGAACCTGACTCACAGAAGGGCTGGGCCATTTGTGGCCCTCCAGATCTTTTGGTCTACAGCTCCTAACATCAGTCTCTGAGTTTTGCAGGATTCAAGTATTCTTAGAAGCATCTGGGATGGAAGAGCACAAAGTGGAAGGGACCTGAAGCCAGGGAAAAATGGGTCAAATGAAAACAAGACAGGATTGCCACTTTCCATATTTTAAAAGCATCCTTTTATTTACACTATGGAGATGTCTCAGCTGTTACAGGCTCAGGCATCTGATAATTCATCTTCTTTTTGGAAAAGTATATAAATATATACACAAGACTCTATATAAAGTAAACATTGTAACGTGATACAGTAAACGTTTGCTATTTTCCCTTACACTAATATGATGTTCCGCAAAGCTTAAATACTGATTTCAAGTATTTTCTATAAACAGTTCTACTGTATTATAAGTGTTGCAAAAAGACTGCTCTGCTATAAACAAAGTTGAAAAAGAGGCTAATAAAAACGTACCTGTAAGAAAGTCCACCAGGATAAAATATCGCTTTCGTTTCCCACCCTCATTCCCTCTAACATCAAAAATATACTATAAAGCGGGGAAGCACTAACACGTTTTTAAAAAAATAATAAGGTTTTGTTTTTAAAAAAGTCAATTGATTACCATAGTTTGAAATAGCTGTAAAAATGCAGCTGTATTAAAAGTAAGTGGAGTACAAGGATCCCACCCATTAACAGAGCGGGATTGTAGTGGTACTTGGTAGACTGGAAATGGAATTATATAAAGGGCTTACCCACCCTACACATGTACATTGGTTTTTACCACGTTAACTGTCCTGCTTTCCACCAAAGAATGCAGGGAATTGTAGTTTAATGAGGGAGCAGAGGATTTTCTATTACCACTTTCTGTCACAGAACTGCAGTCCTCTAAGAGGATGACATGAATGTTAAACTAGTTTAATTTTGTGGTGTTAATACACCCAAATTAATAAAGAGCCTCCTCTCTCAGTTTCCCTGTTTAAGTGCATATTCAGTTTTAATATGTTAGTTGTTTCTTTGCTGTTCTTCTGCTTGGAGACGTTTTAGGACATATAGAATAACTTGATAGCAGAAAATATACTGGTCCTGCAAAAGGAGGAAGAAATTTATAAACTCATGGGATCAGAAATTATAAGACATATTCACAGGAGCAGATTGCACTTCACAGTTAAGTACATTCCTTTCCACGTTGTAGTACTGTGTTCCATTTTAAGTTTTAACACCCTTCTTTCCTTTATTCCTTCTAAAAAAGTTTCAGGGCTGAATTGCCGGGAGGGGTGGTTGGAGAGGGTCAAATGTGAATTCAAGCTGCATCCAATCTTCACCACCCGTGTGTGTTGGTGAAATTAGCCCATGTTGCTCCCTTGTCCATCATCATCTATCCCGGAGCAACACGGCCACATTTATGAAGGACAAAAGGGGAAGCAAAGAGGAAAAGGCACTCAGTGCATGAGAACTGAGAAAGGCCCCATCGGTCACGGGTACTGTTCAAACCATGGCCAACCAGGGGCTCAAGACTTGTGAGAGAGGGAGAAAATGTCTCCCTTGCACCCACCACATGCTGATGTCCAGGATCGCAACACAGCGTCAGTAAAAGTGAGACGCACTGGCAGAAGCCACATCTGTCGACAGAAGTATGCATGTACCATGGGCACCTAACTTCCTTGCTTTAAAATGTGTCACCTTTGCATATTAGATTTCATCCTTGCAGCAAGTGGAAGAGGCTGGCCAGTTAGAGCGGGTACCGGGGCTTGGGAAATCTAGGCTCTGGTCCTCACTTGGCTATGGAGCCCCATCAGTGAGGGTGTTCAAGGATGGGCTGGACATGCACATGGCGGGCATGTCACGAGCGGAGCCGGCTGGTGCCGGAGGTCAGACTGGAAGGCCCAGGAGGCCCCTTCTGACTCACTCTGTCTCTATGAAGTTCCTTGGGTGACTCTGGGCCAGTCACTCACTCTCAGCCCAACCTACCTCACAGGATTGCTTGGGTTCCATCCAGAAAAAAGTGGAATATAAATAAAATAGAATATAGAATTAATTAAATTAAAAATGCAGAACCGTATACCTCAGTTTGCACCATGCCATGTCTCTGTAGGCGCATTGTCCGCACCACGTCAGAGATGTCAAACTGTTAAGAAAGAGAGAAAAGCATACAGAAAACACGAGTCTGGGATGTGCTTGGGGAAATGTCATGAGAGAAAGTGCCCGGAGCATCATCTCCGGTGGACTGGAATGACACGTTCAACAGCAGATTTCACAAGGCAGCTCTGAAGCGGCATGATGGGAGATACCATGCAGGGGATGCGTCACGCTTTCCCACATCCTGCTTTGCCTCTGGACACCTGCCACCAGCTGCTCTCCCCTCGGGCAGCACAGGCCGCACCCAGGATGCTGCCTGGGGACAAGCGGCTTGGGGCGAGTGGGGTATCTTCAGGGAGGGAACCTGCCAGTTCTCCACTGCAAATCCACCATCCTTACAATCGGGAGCTGCTTGTAGGAAAACATCATCAGACTGGGGAAGCGTTAAGCAACCTTCTTCACATCCACCTGCCACTGCAAATCTCTCTCTTTCCCCTGGTATTTGCTGTGTCTGGTGAAGACCTCAATTCTTAATTTGGAACCACTCCTAAATGCCCAGTGCTGAACTTAGGGAATCTGTGCCCAGTCCAAAAACACTCTGACTAGCTACACACAGCAGGAGGAGTTGCATCATTTGGTACCTTTCCATACATGCTTAATTTACACACATGTCTGAACTCCAAACAGATTTGGATGTTAATCCAATGCTAGTGTGATAAGAAAGTTAGAAGTTCTGAGAAAAGGAGAATCCTTGCATTAGAATTTACGGAGATGGCACTGTATTGCCAAAGGGAATACAGTATACCTCCGATTGCAAGGAGATCGGTTTGGGCTCGCTCAGAGAAAGCAATCTCTGCATGTGCCCGCCCCCGTTTCGCCACGCGTGTGCGCCCGCCCCCCGCCTGGCCCGGCCCGGCCGGCGCACCCTGCCTGCACCGCCTTGGTGGCCGGCGCCCATTGCTGGCACCAAAGTCCCCGTTTTTCACAATTCGCAGGTGCTCTAGGAACACAACCCCCGTGAATTTCGGGGGACTGCTGTATTGTCTGTATCAGTCCTGTAAAGAGAGTTTTGAACGAATATGGATGAAACTGGCTCAAATTTCTGTTCAAAGAAGAATGAAGAGAGTTCTCTCTGAGTTCACATACCTCCAGATCTTGGCTGATCAGTCCCAAGACTACATCTATGCAAATAAGAGTCCCTGATCGTCCAATGCCTGCACTACAATGAGTGATGATTGGCCCCGATTTGTGGATGTGCCTCATGTAAGATATAAACATGAGCAAACAGTCCGGCTGAGAGGGCGTGTCGTGATCGGGCCAGGCAGTAAAGTTCAAATGGGAAATACGCCGAAGTTCGCCTGTCTAGATTGTAAATTTTAAAAACACAGAAAGAGTAAGTGTTAGGGCTTCTGTGAAAAGAAATAAGAAATAAAAGAAACACTAAGCAAATGCAATATGGGTTTTTGATAGCTCCCTCTCTGGCTTTAAAAATCCAATTCAGAGCTGCTTTGCCTAAGCTTCTACCTCTTTGTTGCTCACACAGGGATGTGCAATTCAGCAAAACTTGAGCTCACAGAAGTTCTCTGGATTCCACCTAAAAGTTTGCTCCCAGTCAAGTCTGTGAGAGATTGCAAGCTTTGCTTTTCTTCTTTTTGCATGAAAATCTCTGTATAATTTCATGTGGATTTCCCAAATGTACCCATCAATTCTGTGAATTCTTGAATTCCCCCATTGGTTAAGGCAGATTTGTGTGCGATTTCAAAAGTACACAACTTTCATGCACTTGTTTGACAGATACTCTCAAATGCACTTTTGGTCCACAAATCGCAAGCATGGAAAGAGGCAGACTTCAAATGCGGATCGTGTCCAAGTCCACATTCAGTCTGGAATATATGAAATGAACACAATCCTGGTAAAAAGGGAATGGAAATCTATTTCTGATACATTTCCAGTTTCACATGAGAATGTTATAGAATCAGTTCCAGCCGCCTGGATACATTTCTGCCTGGAAAATGTATCTAGGAGGATACAGTGAGAATGTGTCCCGAAGAAGAGGGGCATCATATCCATCCTGTATGCCCATCTTTCACAGATGCCAGGCTCTTTCCTACGACAGCCAATAGAAATCTACCTGGCCGGTGCTGGTCAGGCTAGACTTCTGCATCCCATCCCTATGCCCCAGCCTTTCCTCAAAGAAGCCTGGGGCCACGGGTCGTGTTTGCCTGTACCCTTGCAACTCCTGCCTTGCCTGGCCCCAAGACCACCTTGGCTCAAACTACCGTGGCTCCCAAGAGGTGAACGACTGGAGCGGCTTGCTTCCTTCACGCTGCTCATGGGGATGAGCCAGGATTGAAACCCTCGCAAGCAAGCTGAGAGAAACCGCTGTGACAAAATCCTGCACCAAACAGGATGGGTCCCCTTGGATGCTTCTTTGGTGGATCCCCAACGGCATGGTGGGGGCTCTTCCTTCTCTTACCTTGCCAGTGTGTGGTGGACCATCTACCCTGCCAGGCAAACTTTGCTGCTGGCACCCCAGATAATTTCCCCACAATTCCTCTGGGGACCCATGGTGCCCCACAGCGATTTTATGCCGGGAACCCAAAGGGGTTGTAGGGAAGGAAACAAAATGGCAGGCATCAGCCACAGCTGCCTGGGCTCCCACACTGGGTGAAGACGCTGGGTGGCTGTGGCCTCAGTCCCGAAGGCTGGGGGCATTAACAGCTGCCCAACCTGCCAATGGCTGATGCCTGTTAGCTTAGGATCATTACAGGAACAAAACTATCCCTCTGCATCCCGGCACCTGGCTCACTTACCTGAATGTCCTCTAGCTCCATCACTCTGATGACAAAGCCTTTGACCTGCTGCAGCCTCACGAGGGAGAGACGGAGCCGGTCACTGATCATGGCGGTCTTCCCGAGGGCGTCGGGCCAGTAGCGCTGGCACTTCACCTTCTCTCCTTCCACCTCCTGGGTCATCATGGCGATGACAGTGCAGCCTTGCTCCCAAGCCATTTGCCAGAAGTCGGACACAGTCGTAGGGAGGGGTCCTTGGCAAGCAATATAAACATATGTCTTACTCCCCACTGGCATCCGGATAAAGCTGGCGTTGATGTAGCCTCCTTCGGCACCCAGCGGCACTCTTGTGCTGTCGTCTGCAATCCCCAGCACAGAAGAACCAGGCGTCATTATTATGGCACGGATACGCTTGGGCACTGTGGCCTGCAAGAGGGCAGGTGTTTGCCCAGAGGCACGCACAATCTAACACTGGACAACAGAGGAAGGAGATACACGTGGAAGCAGGACAAAACAAAGAAAGGACACACTCTTTTCCCGTTCCACCTATTCAGGCTCAGTCCCAGGTTTAGCTATAGGGAAGGTGCTCGTAGGGGTAGCCTCGAAAGTCAACACCCCGAAGACAAGTTCAAAAATGCAGGCTGTTATAGAACAGAACAGGAGGACCAGAAGGGCCCAAGAAGGCCATCAGGTCCGACTCAGTGCAGGACTCCAAGAGAAACCAACTCTCTCAGGTGCAGCTGAGAGCGCACCGTAAATGTCTCCACTGCGGGAGAGCCCACCGCCTTCCTAGGTCATTGTGTTCATTGTCGTTCTTCTTCCTGATGTTCAGCCAGAACTTGTCTTCTGGTAACTTTAACCCCTTATTCTGTGTCCTGCTCTCTGGGATGATCAAGAAGAGAATCTGGCCTTCCTCTTTGTGACAACCTTTCAAGTACTTGAAAGGGAGTATTATATCTCCCCTCAATCTTCTCTTCTCAAGGCTAAACATGCCCAGTTCTTTCAACCTCTCCTCACAGACTTTTGTTTCCAGTCCCTGGATCATCCTTGTTGCTCTCCTCTGAACTCTTTCCAGCTTGTCTGCAACTGTGATGCCCAGGACTGGATGCAGTACTGCAGGTGAGGCCCAACCAGCGCCGAGGGGAACTAATACTTCAAAATAGCATCTGCCCTTTCAGCAGCCACACCGCATTGTTGCCTCACACTAACACAACAGATCTAGTAGATTTACCACTGCCAGGAAAGGTTTGCCCATAAAGCTAATGGATCTCAGCTGCCCATTTCAAGCCATTCCAGGGTGTTTTGCATTACAACAGGGTATCTCACAGCAATATACTCTTGCTGGGAAAATCCTGGATCTCCTCAGTATCATGAAGTTTGCAGCTAAGCAAAAAGGAAACACAGAAGCCTCTGGGGCACACGGAAGATGACTTCATTCCCCAGTGCGGGGACGGACGGAAAGGCTTGCAACATAGGCTGGCTTGCAAGCTGCCATGTCCAAGGGTGTGATTCCTTTGCTTTTTCAAAGTGGGGCAAAGCTTCACGCCTGTTTCTTGAGATACTGACCTGCATGCTAAAAAGCCTGGAAGAGGAATGCCAATCAGGAGAGGCTACAGAATATTGCCAGCCCCCTGTATTAGCTGGAGGCCAGCTAAAGCACGGCTTGAAACTGCTTCTGATGCTTCTGGCACCAAGACAAACGAAGATGCCACTCCAATGCCCAAGGCAAGGCAAGTGGGACTTGTGCTACAGAGCCAAACCGGTGGCCATGTTTCTATTTTGCTTGGTTGGTCTTGCCTGTGTCTACTTTGGCCAACAGAGCTCACTCTCGTATTACTGCCTCACTTCTTAACTTTCTTATTCTCAATCCTTAGAGGCGCTTGGCTGTCTGATACTGTAACAATGGATATCTGTCCCCTGACTGAGCTGCCCTGGTCACCCAACAAGCTGACAGGTGAAGTCCAGGATGGCTGAACAGAGGACTTGACAGCCCTCCTTCCTTCTTCTCCTACTTTTTGCCAACCTGCAAGCAAAACAAATAAAAACAGCAGGCCCTTTGAGTTTTGGATGGGCCATTATACATGGCAGATGTCCCGCTTCCATCTTCACAGACCACGATTTGGTTAGGCTTGTAAATGGTTCAAGGACCCTAAGCCATGAAAACAGCCACCCTGCCCATTCTCCTTCTACAAAGTTCTTCCAGCTCTGGAGAACTTCCACTGCACATCTTCTGACAATCAAAACATGTTTCTCCAGGCACAGGAAATCCCTGTCCAAGGGTCCTTAAAACACCTTCGTTAAATGGCCATAAAGGCACAGAGATAAGTTATTTATTTAGAGAACTTCTATGCCGCCCCATTCGCCTCGGGGCGGCTCACAATCATAAATAAATAACATAATATACGACAATATAATTTAACAGTATAACAGTTAAATGATCAACTGTCTGTTGGCAAGCATGACTTACAGGGCAGTATGTTCTTATATCTATTCTTCTTCCGGTTTTCTTTTGTTTGGCCCACCAGACACTGATCCAAAGGTTTTAAGTCATGAAGATTCTGTAAAGAGACATACAGATTACATTTATTTGGAAGGGAAGGCTATCAATAACAAAATTTTAAAGTTTCCCGACATGTTTGAGCCGGGCTTAGCACAGCCCGAGGTGAAAGAAAGCCAACAGTATCCAGTCCTGGAAACAGATGCATCTGTGTACTGATTATTACTGGAGTATTCACTGATTAAAAAACTTTCAGTGGGTCATTTGCCTTTGAATCACCTTTAACTGAGTTAAAATGTATTTGCCTCTTCCCGAAGTCTGAATATAGGTGCCCTGTTCTAAGGTCACTGGAGTAAGCATGAGACAAGCTTTAGTGACTTGAAAGTTAACTTCATGTTGAAGTTCATTAACTGCAATTTGCCTCCATGGATTAATCAAGTAAGTTTCAGTCAGATCAACTACTGGCTCAAAGCTTGCCATTCTAACTGATTAAGCAAGCAATTTGTGACAATTAAGGGTCATGTTACTCATTGTAGCTATTCTAGACAGTGAATGACTGGAAAACGTTGGGGCACTTTTAAAATTAATAAATACTATACATAAAATACTGAAAAGGCGATTCACTGTGACCAGGTAAAGAGAAAATGGGTTAAGACCATGAACACCTTAGGTTCAAAGAAAGAAAAGTGGAATTCAAATATGAATTGAAAGGCAGGTGTCCAGGATTAATACCACCCCACCCCCTTAGAAACCAGCCTTTGAACAAAACAGGAAGAATTGCATAGAAAAATGATGCTTTGCAAGCTTCTGCTCATAATGAGTCAAGCACAATTTCAGCACTGCTCTTCATTTCTCTTAAGTCATACATATATAGCTGGTTTCCAGAGGTGGCCCACTGAGAGAACGAGGTCATGATCCTGTGCATGCTTTCATAGGAAAGGGCCTACAATCCTGAGCTGGGAAATGGAGTTACTGTTCTAGTTACTGCCTGTGGTTATTTATGCATGACCTTTTCTTTGACTGGTGCATCTGAATGGCTACCGAAATAAAAGGTTGTAAAAAGCAAGAGCCTGCAGATATACATAGTTTGAGCTGTAAGCCCATTTGCGCTGTATTTTGGCATGTGTACAGTCACCTTCAAGGGGGAAAGCTCAAGGGACACCTGCCGTTCCAAAGGTCAGCAGCAAGTGAGTTTGCACCACTGCACAATACCAGCAGGCTGGCCTCTCCATCATGGAAGTCCCAACTCTTCTCAGGACAGGGCTACTATGCACAGTGCTGATTGGCTGAACCCCCTGCCAGTCACAAAGCAGCATCCCCACCATCTACAACCCGTTTCAAAAATTTAGAAAACAAAAATCCAACACAGAACCAATGCTGGATCATACGAGTGTGAAAGCAATGTGAGAAAAACAATCGCGATGCAGATGGTCCAACTGAACTTGGGAGGAAAAGAGTGGAGGTGTTCATTCCAAAGGCATTCTGCAGCTCGAAGGGAGGAGATCAGAGAACTCTCTGTCCCTTTGCTATACAAATGGCAACATTCTCCTATTTGCAGGTAAGGCTGCAGGCAGCCTATGTGAGTGTCACTCACCTCGATCTCCTTACAAGGAATTCCTTGCTCCAGCAGGCCTCGAAGCATCCGGATAGTTGACTTTAATTTGGTGCCCGTGTACTTGCCCGAGGGAAGCACTTGGACAACTGGAAGGGCAGCAAGTTCTTCATTGGTGACTAAGGGGCTATCTGGCACACAGGAGATGAATTTATTGGCATCTATAAAAACGCACATAAAGAGGGGAGCCCACATTGCACTGCCGTCCCCTGGAATACGGCCCTGGTTCCCTGCATGGCAGCGCACCTCCCTTTCAGGTGGTCGGCGGCTGATTAAAACCTAGCACAGCAATTGCTTTTATAGAGGCCACTCATAAATAACCCATGTGGCAAACGGTTTTCCTTCTCCATTATTCCACATGCTCAATGCTTCCCACTTTCTACCAACAGCCCCTTTCTTGCATTTTCCTAGCAGAAAGTAATTTAACAAACTGACTGCTTTGCCTATTTCTCAGCACAATCTGCAAAACACAACTCTTCTCTCTGGGGTCAATTCCATAAAGATGAATGGTGAGAGATTCTGGGGAGGCAAAAGGCGTTCTTGATATAGCCGGACTGTCAGACGAGGGAATTTGCTACCACAGGGTGCCATGACAGCCACAACCTAGAATGGCTTTAAAAGGGGAACAGCCATATTCATGGAGGATGGGCTATGAGTCCTGACGGCTGCATGCTACCTCCAGATTCAGGGGGAGCTGGCTTTTTTTGCCAGGTGCTGAGGAACAAGGGCAGCAAAAAGCTCCTGTACCCACACCCTCTGTGTGAGATTCCCATCGGCATCTTGCTAGCCACTGTGGCAACAGAATGCTGGACTACACAGGGCTTTGGTTTGACTGTCATCGTGTAATTCATGGTGTCTAGCAGAAAGAGGAGGCTTGATAGTAAGCTGTAGTCTTGGATGCAGGTGCCTAGAAAGTACTTGGCAATTCTTGAGCCCCAACTGGGCGAAAAGTAGCCATGCCAAAGGAAATCAAAGGGAGGCATTTTCTGACATACTGACCAGTCATCCTTGTTAAGAATCAATACACCAGGCAACTCTGCAACCGGGGCTCGACTACAGAGTTGCTGGCTATGCACCGTCACTTCTGAACACAGAGGAAACAGGTGCTTCGCAAAGAGTAGGTCACAGGCCCAATCCAGTTAAAGGGATGGGAAGAACCTCTTCTGAAGACTCTGGAAAGTCACTGCTAAAAGTAGACTATGGTGAGCTAAAATGCTTGGTTTAAGAAAGCTTCCTATGTGGCAACCATTTTATATGGGAGACTATGCTGGACGCAGCTGGAGTGGAGGCTCCCGGCTACTGGAATTTCAGCCTGCTCTGAATGTGTGACTCTGTCCAGGGCAGGGCAGGGCAGGGCAGGGCAGGCTAATTTCGTCACTGAAATGTGATAAAATGTGGCAAGCTGAACCGTATCTACTCAGAAAATTCCACTGGCTTGTTACCTTTCACAGACTGTGGCTGGTTTAATGATTCAATTGGCAACTCCTCGCTTCCCCAGGTAATCTCGTCTTCCTCTCCCTGACCCATCAAAGGTTGCTGAAGTAATCTTGAAAAGACAAACATTTCCTTAAGAGACCTCAAAGAGCTGTGAAATAATCTGGGGGAAAAATCTGTCCATGATGGCATGAAATTGGCCCACTCTTTTGAGCTGTAAACTCAGTAAGCTCAGTTGTAAATCAGAAAATTAGGGCAAAATTTGAGCGGGATGGCCTTGGGTATCTGGGCAGCCAAAATGCTCACAGCACATCCCATCCTGGAGCTCTTGTGCTTTTCCAGATCTGTTTCTGAACAGGCCTGTGATCTGCTATCTCTCAGGAGGGCACAGTTGCCAGTCGTGATTCCAACGGCCACGTGGTGCAACACCTGTCGCATCCCAAGGCCTTAACTGATCCCTCAGCCAAATCCCCACAAATAAATGCCCACTAATGGTGCCCTTGCCTCTAGCAATGCAAATTACCTTTTCCACTGAGCAGAGTGAGCTATATAAGCATTTTCCAGGATTTCCAGGGAAGGGAGACCCTTTTCTCCACATCTTCCCTGCAGCAATCCGAATATGGATTGCTCTTTTCCTGCTGCTGCTACCATAGCAGAAGCAGTAATTTTACTAGGATTGCAAGTGTGTGTGTGTGAGTTACTCCCAACTCCTTGCCAGTATCACATGCAGTCCTCAGGACAAAAAGGTTGTGGATCCCGTCAAGATCCTCCGGTTAGCTCCTTACTGTTGGGTGCTCTAACTTAGCTCAGGTCAGCAGTGCTTCTACGGCAGGGGTCTCAAACGCGCGGCCTGCGGGCCCATTGCCGGGACGGGCGGGGCACGGGGGAGGGGCCCTGCGGCCTTCAAAGCACCGGCGGCGCCTGGGCCGGCCGTGGGATGAGCGGCCCACCACCACCGCGGTGGTGGAATACTTGATGCGGCCCAGCCTCACCCAGACTCTACTCCCAGCGGCCCCCAGGTCAGTTGAGTTTGAGACCCCTGGTCTACGCTGTCCCATCTCCAGGATTCTAGGCCAGCTCAGGGTCCCTGTGTGACCACTGAATGCTACATCCAGCCCTATATGAGCTTGCGTACATTTTCGGGAAAAGAGCTCACCTTTCAGAAATCCTTTTGTCATTACAGTGCTCTTCGCAGCCATTTATTTGGGGTGGCTAGGAAGAAAAACAAGGTAAAATGGTTGAACGAATAGTTCAGTGGCTCATAACTCATTCCAGCAGAGGTGGGTGTGGACTTTCCAAGAAGGAACAAAATTCCCTGCCTTTCCGTAATGGATTACTCTTCGTGAAAGAGGAGAATCTCGGCAAATGTTGCACTGGCAATTCTTTCGCGCTACTATCTTGCTTCAGGGCCTTGTTAGACAATCACAGGCCTTTTTAAAAGTCTTCAAAGAGTTTCTGCTCTTGTGGGATTTTTGCCATTGTGTGATATTCCTGCAGGAGACTTTTGCACCAGAGAAACAGAGGTACTGAGGAAGGATAACCTGGCTACAGGTGGATACAGAGACCATTTCCCCTCTTTTTTTCCAAAAAGAAGGAAAGAAACAGGGGAAACTAGGGAATGTAGCGCCTTCAAAGAACTGGGCAGCATCTGGTTACCAGGTCTAGTACTTTAATTTAAAAATGGATATCCCAAATTTTAAAAAGCAAATTAACAAATTGTGATAAACATATTACAATTAAAACATGTATAAAACTAATCTAGCAAGAGATTCAAAAGCAGAAGCAGTAAATAAGTAAAATGTATTTCTAATGTGTTTGAGAAGTTTGATATTATTCTGTTTAAATGATAATGCCATAATTGCCTCCACATCTATTTTACCTCTGGAAAATCTTCAGGCAGGGATGACCCATCACAGTCTGTGTCTTCCGATTTCTCTTCTGAAAGCTTCCCATTTGTCTCTATAGGAAACGAAACACGATGCATAATTAACATTTATTAAAACATTAGGTGAGTTTTAAAAAAAAACGGCGAGAAATCCAAAAGCAGCACTAGAAAATGAGTCACAAGATTCCATACAGTAATCAATGCAACTTAAAAGCCTGTTGAAAAGGATGTCTTAAGGGTTCACTTAAACAAAGAGAAGGAGTCAGGTGGAATTCCCCAGAAATGATATTTCAAAAATTAGGTGTCACTGCAAGAAACATTCCTTCTCTCAATGAAAAATGGCAGTTTTTTGCAAGTTTCACATAAATGCCATATTGCTCAGTTCCCAAGATTATCCTTAAACAGATCCTCCAGTTTTGGATCTGTAGCTATACACACCGAAACAAGGGTAAAAAGTGTTTTGCTACTGATACAGGTCAAGGGATTTGCAAACAGATTACTTTAAGCAGCGCGGCTGGTATTCTAGGGACAAACGTTTTATGTGAAGTTAATGAATCTGCAAACTAAAATAGAATGAAGAAGACTTCTGCACTATGCTGACCTCTGCAGCAGACCTCCTAAAAATCAGTCTTGCAAAACTACATCAGTTCTGGAATGGCCCCGTTTATAGAGCTGTGCAGTTCCTCTTTGCCAGTATGTGCTACGAACGAAAGGGGCAGTTATTCTTGGCATGTGTTCCAAGGTCAGGCAGACTTGGACTCATCAGATGAGGGATCCTGGGAACCAGAATCCTCAGAGGTTGAAAGGGAAGAAGTGTGGGGGCAAGTGTTATCTAAGGAAACCCTCTTCAGGTGTTCAGGTGGACATTGTGAATAGTCTGGAATTACAAGTGCAGGGAGGGGACATGGGAGAAACAGAGCGAGTCAGAAGGGGTCTCCTGGGCCATCTAGTCTGACCCCCGGCTCCAGCCAGCTCCACTCACGACATGCCTACCATGTGTATGTCCAGCCTATCCTTAAACACCCTCACGGATGGGGCCTCAACCACCACCCATGGAAGCCCATTCCATACCCTCGGAGTCTTAACCGTCAGGAAATACTTCCTGGCATCCACGCTAAAACTCGGTTCCCTGAGCTTTGCTCCATTGGAATACATTCTGTGGGCTCCTGCAGCCAGCTGAGCCTGGCATGACTCCGGACCACAAGACATGATGTCAATAGAGATGGGACAACCAGTTGAAGGGCAAAGAACAGAAAAGAGGCTTTCCCATTCCCAAAGGGGTCCTCCTAGAGGGAAGCAGCCCAAGGATACTCAAAAGGAGGGTTATTGGAAGTAGTTGCTAGATTGGGTTCAATGATCTACTCTATGCATGCTCAGAGACACAATCTTTGTTATTTGTGTTTATTGGAAGTGCACTGGAGAATAAAGAGCCTTTGCCAAAAAATGGTTTGTCGTTCTGGAAGAGCGAAGGGGGAAACCGAGCTCACAACAGCATGCAGGGTAGTCTAACAGTTATGCAACTGTACCTGGCACATGGTTTGCAGCTATGGCGTTACTACGGTTTAACAGGTTCTGGGCTTCCTCATCGACAACATCTAGAAGGTACTGGATGACTTCATTGTGATCCTCCTCATCATAAGAATCTTCATCTTGTAGTTCTGCTTTAAAATTAAAAAGACACATCAATTATTCTTGCAGGAGAAAGAAAGCACAACATACATGCAATCATGTACTGTGAGGTTTCGTGTATATCTTTAAATGTCATACCAGTGTTTAGATTCCTTTTCTTTGCTTTTTAATATTAGGCAAACCTTCAAAAATGCCCAAACACACCATCCTTCTACCGTCCCTGGAAACAAATGAAAGCATGACCGTGCTATCCCATGCTGGTGACTCAGACGTAAGTGGGTCTCACTCTTCACAAAGTGTTTCGGTTTGCAGTCATACCATCTAAAATCCATATAATAGGTTGTATCTAATCTGAGTTGCAGTACAGGCAGTCCCCGAGTTATGAGCGAGTTACAAACAACCTGCATTTATGAGCTGCCATAAGGCCTATTCATTAAAAAAAAATATTGCAGAAAGTCACCATAGAGAAGAAGTGAAAGGGGAGGGAGGGAGGCCCCCAGAGCATGCCTCCCTGCCCTGCCCTGCCCATCCGGAGGGGGAAATCTCTCTGGCGTCTCCTTGCTACAAAGAGGAGACACTGCCGGATCTGGGCAGGGAGGGCCCTAGACATATCTGCAGTTTTTCCACTTTCCTGTGCTCCTAACACCCACGAATGTGGAGGGCAGACTCTATGTGGTCCGACTTGCATACAAATTTGACTTAAAGACTAATTTCCATTTTCTCAGGAACGGAACTCGTTAGTGACCCAGTGACTGCCTGTAGCAGTACCTGACATTTTATCCCATCTTTTCTCTTATTTATTTAATTTCTATACCACCCAACAGTCAAAGCTGTCTTGTAAGGAACCCAAGTTACTTAAGTCATAACTAACCAAAGCCTCATTCATTTCACCCAGTGTCCTTGAGTAGGACTATCAATGGGTACAACTCATAGGACCACCTTGGATGCAACACTTACTGACTGAATAATGAAAGGTTTCACACTTCCTTGGGATTGTGCACTTTCCCATCCTTTCAGGTGTGGCTCTGAGTCTTGATCTTTGATTGATAATTTTTATCTTGTTCAAAGCATAGCCAAAAGTGTGTTGTCTAAACTAACTATGGTTAGTGAAATAATTCTTTTTCAAACCAGTGTATGAAACTGGCTTGCATCAAGTAACCAGAACTGGTATTAACGCAGTTTAGGGTTTGGACAACACATGTGAACTGTAGCTGAAACGAAGGCAGAAGCTTCTGATCGCCATCTTGCAGCTGGGCCAGAGAAGAGGGGAGCACAAACCCAGGGGAAGCTCGGCTCGTTCCCTGTGCAATAAACTTGGGTTTAGTGTTATGCCCAAATACAGCCATGGTAGGACAGAAATGGGGATGTGCATGTACGGCATTTAGAATGGCCAGTGTTCAAAGCTACTCCTGCAGCTATCCTTGAAGAGCACACTGAACTGAAGCAATTAGGAAATGATCACAATTAGCTTCCATGCGATCGTGCAAAACTTTCCAATTTCTACATATCAAGGTTTTGTCAAAGTCTACCTGGATTGAATCTGGTAAAAGTGGAATTTTCTCACCATCCCATGACCATGGTCTCTCTTTTGCCATGCTTCCATCTCCTTACTCTGCTGCCACTCATAATTAAGAAATTTGTATTGCAAGCTCATCAAGGAAGGCACCTATTTTCCACAGTGTCATCTATACTGATGGCACTACAAAAATCAATGACTGGACAATGTGATTGTTTAATCACACAGATCAGAGGTCCTGAGCCTGCAGCTCAGCTGAGGCCCACTGTGAGCGACTGACCAAATTCCTTCTTCTGATTTGTTTCGCCATAAGACATCCCCATATGCGATGTGCTTTTCCCACTGCTGCTAGCAGTGAGGAATGGGTGACCTATTTGTTATGCTCAAAATCCTACGAGCTAGGCTCCAGCAGTATGTGGACCGAGAACTACCAGGAGTACAGGCAGGATTTTGAAGAGGGAGAGGGACTAGAGATCAAATTGCCAACATATGCTGGATCATGGAGAAAGCTAGGGAGTTCCAGAAAAACATCTACTCCTGCTTAATTAACTATGCTAAAGCCTTTGATTGTGTGGATCACAACAAATTGTGGCAAGTTCTTAAAGAGATGGGAGTACCAGACCATCTTATTTGTCTCTTGAGAAACCTATTTGCGGGTCAAGAAGCAACAGTGAGAACTGGACACGGAACCACTGATTGGTTCAACATTGAGATAGGAGTTCAGCAAGGCTGTATACTGTCGCCCTGCCTATTTAACTTGTATGCAGAGCACATCATGAGAAAGGTGGGGCTGGATGAATCTCCAGTTGGAATTAAGATTGCTGGGAGAAATATCAACAACCTCAGATATGCAGATGATACCACTCTCATGGCAGAAAGTGGAGAGGAACTAAAGAGCCTCTTGATGCGGGTGAAGGAGGAGAGTGCAAAAGTTGGCTTGAAACTCAACATTAAGAAAACTAAGATCATGGCATCCAGTCCTCTCACTTCCTGGCAAATAGATGGGGAAGAAATGGAGGTAGTGACAGATTTTATTTTCCTGGGCGCCAAGATCACTGCAGATGGGGACTGCAGCCAAGAAATTAAAAGACGCTTGCTCCTGAGGAGGAAAGCTATGGCAAATCTAGACAGCATACTAAAGAGCAGAGACATCACCCTGCCAACAAAAGTGCGTATAGTCAAGGCTATGGTTTTCCCAGTTGCAATGTATGGCTGTGAAAGCTGGACCATAAGGCTGAGCGCCAAAGGATTGAGGCCTTTGAATTGTGGTGCTGGAGGAGACTCCTGCAAGTCCAGTGGACCGCAAGACGATCAAACCGGTCAGTCCTAGAGGAGATCAACCCTGACTGCTCTTTACAAGGCCAGATCCTGAAGATGAAACTCAGATACTTTGGCCACCTAATGAGAAGGAAGGACTCCCTGGAGAAGAGCCTAATGCTGGGAACAATAGATGGCAAAAGAAGGGGATGGCAGAGGATGAGGTGGCTGGATGGAGTCACTGAGGCAGTTGGTGTGAGCTTAAGTGGGCTCCGGGGGATGGTGGAGGACAGGAAGGCCTGGAGGAATGTTGTCCATGGGGTCGCGATGGGTCGGACATGACTTCGCGACTAACAACAACAACAACAATCCCTGTGTCAGCATCATGCACAGTCCTTGGCATGGTAAAGGCTGTGCGCCTTTTGTATAGCTAATTACAGTAATACAGCAAGTACAGACAACATAGTCATAAAACAAAGAAAACTGTAGGGGTGCATTATTAGTAATAATAATACTCAGTGTATTCCAGTGCACTCCAAAAAGCAGGAGTGCATAAAGGGGCCACATTACCTGAAGGATAATTTCTTCTCACATATACCTGCCCAGTCCTTGCAATTCTCTCTCTCCAGGTGCCCGTGCTGAATGAGCTGAGGCAGATGGCTATGGGGGCTTTTTCAGTGGTGGCCCCTTGGATGCAGCATGTCCTCCCCAGAGAGACTTGCCAGGCATCACCACTGTAGTCTTCTTGGTACCAGGTGAAGACCGACTTATTTTGCCAGTTTTCAGTTATGTTTTAAATGCGAATTGCTATGTTTTCAGATATTCCTTTGCCACTGGTTTTTCTTCCAGCTCTCTTGTGTTTTAAACCTTCAAGATGTGCATGCTATGGTTTACTGTATCATTGCATTTTATGTTTTTAAGTTTTATGAACCAGCTTCAGTGACTGCATGTTACAGAAATGTAAACTTCAATGAGGTCACAACTTTTACCACTCCATTCTCCTTACCTGAGTTGTTATTGTAGCTGGAAAAATCAGAAGCCTGACCAGCAGCGTCACTTGGGGGCATTTCTTTACAGACAGAGACATGTGCTGGCCCTTTTGGCTGGTGGCTGCTGTTAATTTCACCATTAATCTAGCAAAATCAAGAAGTGAGAGTCAGTTTTCTGTTTAAACATGAATTGCAATATGGGTTTTGATGCTTTGGCCCAAGGATAAAATAAGAGCTATAAGTCCTTGGTGAGGCATATGATTTATATGGATAGGATCTTAGGTTCAGCCTACGGACTGTTCAGGTGCAGGTGAAAAAGACGCTTCTCTGAAACCCTAGAATGCTCTTGTCAATCAAGAAAGCCAATACTGAGCCAAACAGATCAGTAGCTGGACTATGTACAAGAGCAGCTGAAGGCGGTACTGGGGTCAATTCTCCCAGAGTGCAGCATTTCAAGGAGGTTACTTCAGAACCTGACTTTGAGCTGGGAATTCCTAGCTGAAATGCCATGAGATAAGCCAAGAGGCTGTAGAAAGCAGAGCTCGTGTGCTTTGAGGAAAACACTGTTGAACAGGAAGTGGCAGCGTGAGGGTGGATGTAACATGATCAGTCCCACAGTCCAGTATCAGATCAAAAGACCTGACCAATCAGTAACATCTAAGATCTCACAAGCAGCAGGAACCTCCCAGAGGGTGGAGCTAACTCCAATTGGGTGAAAAGGGGAAACCAGCCCCCAACAGCTTCCTATGATGCTAAGAGACAGCATTTGGCAATGACATCAAACCATGAGCTAGGCTTGGGTTAAATGGTTTTTCCTAGACCATGTTCACTAGGGCACAAAGTTTCCCATGGGCAAGTGTTCTGAAAAATATAGCTGTGATCAATGCTAGTGCATTCACCCAAGGATGATAACCACTGGATGACGCTTGTACATCTTGCTAACAATCATGCCCCACACCTGGCTTGCATCCACTGAATTCTTGAGTCACTATGGGTGCACGATGCCACTGATCTTCAACAGGTGGCCCAGGTTCCACATATGCATTGTGGCTCTTTCATTTTCTGAGGATGAAGGGCCTCCTTCCCTTCCCAATCTGCCTTGAAAACTGACATCACACCACTGGTTTGCCTCTTCCTACTGACAACCATCTGCTGAGTGCATGGATTCTGGGAAGTGGGCCTCACCTGGCTAGGTTGGAGGACCCAAGGTACTTCTTCCCATGTGCTGAGAAGAGGAAGACCATGACATGAGGTTCCCCCGCCCCATGTTTCTACTGATGTAAAATTTGTCCTGGGCCAACTGCTGTCCTTTAAAGAGACGCCTCTCATAGGACCCCTTTCCACCTGCAGAACCTGCAAGGGTGAACACAGCCCAACTGTATCCTGACTACTTACCTTGGGCACATGTGCTTCAGATCCTGTTTCTGCTTTGACGCAGGGTTCTCCATGAAAGTGGCCTTAAAAACAGCGGGGGAAGAGGACAGGATGGGTAATTTGTCGACAAATTACTTCTAAGGTTTTGTATCTCCAGAGACAGCAGATCTAACCATTTGGGACGAAAATTGGCATTCCTCATGGGAACATTACAAACTTGCTGTGTTCATATCCAAACCCTAGCTCAAAAGGCTTTCCATGACATCCGTACTTCCTAGGAAATGGGTCCCATGAGGGGAAGGGTATTGCTCAGTGAGCAGGGCCATACACTCCGATGAAAGACCCCAGCTTTGACGGCCAGGTAGCCCTGAAGAGTCACTCATTCAAGACAAACATGGTCTGGTTTGGGATAAGGCAGCTGCCCGTGTTTCTGTGCAAATTCGCTTAAACATCCATTTGAGAAATCACCCATAGCATTATTTCTCATGTCTAAAGCATCAGCAGATGGCCTTCACAATGCGCATTTAAAATACAATACGCTTACCATTGTGCTTGACTGAACTCAGGCCAAAGCTGTCGGAGTTTTTGGACCTTGGAAACACTGGATGACCGTCCCTGAAAGAAGAAGAAGAAACCCCATATTCAAAATTCTGCCAATGATTTAAAATGCACCGCCTCTCTCTCACACACACCAATATATACATTATCAGTAAAAGCAATGTTTCACAAATTTATTAAGTAGGAACTGATCCCATAAGGTCTGACCAAAGAATTCTGAGGCTAGAATTACTGTGAACAGAAGGGCATGTTATGTGGCACTTCATAGTGCAGAGAAGAGTTTTCTTTTATGAATGCTAGAAGAAGGGACTTCTTGTAAATTGAATCCCGTACGTTGCAAATGGGCCTTTAGGGTCAAGGTACAGGTCACTTGGCAAATTTCACTTCGTTATCACTTGAAGGGCCAAGCTACCAAGATAAGGCAGGTAACAAAGGTGGAATGCTGCCCTCTGCCAATCTCATTACTAAAGTATCAGATTTTATTATTTTTTTCCATTATACAATGAATGATTAGCAGTTCCTTCAGTAAAATTCTACCTAATGACCATCTTTACATTCATCTGTTCTAGCCCACAAATAATTTTTTCAGCAGGAGTGAGAACGTCAGATCTGAGGACCACAATTGACCTACCAGGATTCCCCAGGTGGTTATTTTCCCTCTTCTAACCTCAGTCTTTCTCCTCATCCTCTAGTCCTTTGGTGACTTCTTGGCTTTGTGCAGTTTTCCTCTTATTCTAAAAGGCTGAAATGTTCACTACTAAGAATTACTTTACTGACAGTAAGCGCTTAAAAGCTACTAATATGTTTGGTGCCCAGGCCCTTCCAGATTGAGAGCTTTCCAAATAGAGTTCCCAAGATGGTCTGAAATCTGCTTGGATCTCCCTCAAATGCTCACTCTTCATTAGTGCAAAGATTACTATTTCAATCATCCGTAACTGCAGTGCAGGAGGAAAGTCAGCGCTCCAGAGTTGGACTGGCATGGATCCCAGGGCCAGGAGAAAGCTGCCATGGTGGAACCAAGCAACCAGGGCTGCCACCAGTGCCTGGACCGGAGATGGGGCTTCTGCTATTTCAAATTTCACCACGAAGGACAGGCAGCAATAAATTCGACGGTCGTAGGAAGTACCTGGTTCCTTTCAGTATCACAGTGGGAAGCGACATTTCCAGAACCCTCTTCGCTTCTTTCAGAGTCATTCCCTGAGTGCTGATCCCGTTAATGTAATGGATGATGTCCAGCGTGTGGAGAGTCCCCTCCAGGGCCGCGGCAGATTTGGGACTGATGTCACTAATGTATACGACCTGAGCAAGGCTGTCCTGGCCGCCGGCGAGGGAGAGGCCTGGAGGGAAGGAAAGGAAGTAGCTACATACATGTCCCTCCATTCTAGGCTGTTATACAGAAAGTGCTGCTTCTGCAGCAGGGCCGAGCAACGTCTATGGGTCAGGAGGCCGCATTGCTTGAATGGTTCCCACAAGGGGCCACCACCCTTTCACCCTTCCATTCTGCCAGGAAAAAATCCAGGCGATTCTCCTTTGAAAGAAGGCCTGAAAGAAAACACACTGCTAAAGAAAAACAGCAATTGTGGCAGCAGGAGCTGCAGAGCAAAGCCCAGCCTGCCCACCACGTGAAGCCCCAAGCTGCTTGCCCACGTTCGAGAGCAACGTATTGCGCTCCCGTGCAGGGATGCATGCCACAAAACTTTTGTTTACCCAGGTCTTCTTTGTGGCATGTTAGGACAATGTCAGGCAGCAAATGTGGCATCACAGGTATCTTGGGTAACTCCAGAACACGTCCGAGCACCAGTCGGACCATCTTTGGGGCAGCTCGGAGAAAGCTGACTGCATCAGTGTGGCTCATATTTGTGACGTCTGTATCATTAACCTGTGAAGAAGATGAATAGCAGTCAGAGGGGGAGAGAGAGAGATTTAAGCAGTGGTGCTGATTAAAACAAGCCAACATTTCCAAATGGATTGCCTGATGCTGATGCTGGCTAGCAGTAACATGCCTGCCATGATGACAGTAGGGCAAGGTGGAGAGAAGTCACCGCTTCTTGAGGATCTCTGTTGGAGGGAGGAAACGGTCTGTTTCCAGAACCACCAATACTGTTCAATAAAAGAGAACTACAAATACTATTGATCAGGGATACTAGAACCACAGTCCTCTGCCCTCTTCGGCCAAATCAGGAAGTTCATTAAAGTATATCTCACCTTTCTTCATAAAATATATTCAAGGAGGCTCCCAAGATGTAAAATAGAAGTAATAATATATAACACCAAGTAAGCTGCAATAGCGGACTGCAGGTGGTGCAGTGGTTTAAACCGCTGTGCTGCTGGATCGAAAGGTCGCCGGTTCGAATCTGCACAACCGGGTGAGTTCCCGTTGCTCTGTCCCAGCTCCTGCCAACCTTGCAGTTCGAAAGCATGCAAATGCAAGTAGATAAATAGGTCCCACTTTGGTGGGCAGGTAACAGCGTTCCGTGCACTTCGGTGTTTAGTCATGCCGGCCACATGACCACGGAGACTGTCTGCGGACAAATGCTGGCTCCCTCGGCCAGGAAACGGAGATGAGCACCACCCCCTAGAGTCAGGCATGACTGGATTGCAATGTCAAGGGGAAACCTTTTACCTTTACCTTTAAGCTGCAATAAAAGCAACCTTATAACAAGAACGTGGCAGAATAAAAAAATCACAAAGGAAGTAATTTTAAGAACCATGTGCTGGTCCATAATGAAAATAGCTAGAGAAGCCCAAACTAAATTTAAACCATTATCACCCTATTAATATAAATAAAAACAAACACCATTATGTAAAAACAATACAATACACAAATGTTCATGTACAAAACAGAGTACTAATCTCCTCCCAATTATCACAATGTAGAACACACCTAGCAAAATTGGGCCAGAACGAAATGCCTTTGAAAATAAGTATATTTTCTATCATACCAACAATTCCTAAAACACGACTATAACTCTAAAAAAGCTTTCCCTGGAAATGGACATTTTTGGCCGAGGAGGTCTCTCAAGGAGCCCATGCTATTAGCATACTCATCACATGTCCAAGGACACAGGTGTATGAATCACCTTTAGCTAGTTTGAGCAGCAACCTCAGCGTTGCTGTTGGATCCTAACAGAAACTCAGGGTGTTGAGGGCTTTCCCACAAGGCTAGCCTGCATTTGCACCGTCTCCTCTGAAGTCCTTTTGGCCTGTGTGGCTTTTGCAACATGACAGTCAAGGGGCCAAGAGATTGCGGTTTTTCAATTTCACCTCACCTTGATCAAGCGATCTCCAGGTCGCAATCTCCCATCACTTTTGGCAGGGTCCTGAATAACGTCATGGATGTAACAGCCAATATTATCATTGCCTTTGGTCACCGTGAATCCAAGGCTGCCCTTCTCCGATTTGGTAAGGACAACATGAAGTTCCACCTCCTGCAGAAGAAACACACATTGGTGCCTAGCAAACACAATGCCACTGGGCAGAGTTGCATGTCACAATAAGCCCTGCAAATGAGTCACAATGGGCACAGAGGTCACTGAAGATCCATGGTGCACCTGACAGGTCACTGGACTGTGGGTCCTCAAGTTAGTTCCAGCATGCATTGCAGGGGGTAAAAAACCTGTTTTGTCTCCCCTGTGAAACAGATTTGGCTGAGACGGAGGTTACGCAATGAAAGATATGCTGGGCAGGGATCTGAACATGGCTTAGTACAGTGCTCTGCCTACCACACCACACTGGATCTTTGCTTAATCTTGAAATACAATGTATCTTGGTTTGCATATATGGAAACTATTGGCTTAAAACATGGCCGGTCCAACATGCAGGCCACAAAGAGCGTGTGGCCCCACTGCAGGCTCTGTCTCTGCTTCCTTTAGCCACTGGATTTTCAGTGGTGGTGCAGGATGAAAAACTTGTTTTTAGGTAGAATCACTCCCCCCACACCCCAAGTTCCAAACAGCACATGCTTTACATGGCTGGTCCAATCCTTAGCATTTGCAAGCAGGACTGGGAAACACCCGCACCTGCAATCCAAGAAAACTGCTGCGACTCACTGACTGGGTGCAGATGACACAGTACACCATACTTGAGGGTTGAATATGGGAAGAATGTGGGTTGTCATTGGAATGTGGGTTGTTGTTCAAACAAGGCTTGTTAACTGTGAACAACTCATGAAGAGAACCCATGGTCTGTTTTGGGTTGCAAACTGTGGGTTGTTTGCTGCAGCTTCTCATCTTGGCTGGGCTCAGCCGACCGTTTCAACAACAGTTGTTCAAGTGACATCCCATACTCAACCCTTGAATGTGGGTTGTTGTGCTGTTTGAACACAATTCTGAGCTGGATAAACCAAGAGTCCTCATGTTCCTATTTATTTATTTATAGCATTTTTATGCCGCCCCCCTCGCAGAAAGCCTCGGGGCGGCTTACAAAGAAGATAAACAACATAGAATAACATTAATATTAATAACTATTATGTGGTACAGTCCAGAAAACTTCACCTTTTCGTTCTGTGTAATGTGCAATTTGGCTAACATTTTGCACAAAACCCCAGCAGGGAGTAACTATGTAGTTTTCATGTTTTGCTGAGATTCCACAGCTTCCCACAGAACAGGTGCGCGCGCGCGCACACACACACACACACACACAGAGGAAAAAAGTGGGAAATTACCGGTTCATATTCATCAGCATGTTTTTCAAGCTGGTTGAAAAGCGATACCAGGCCCCCCTGTGGTGTGGCGAGTTCAGAGAGAGAACAGCTGTATTTCTCATCCGTTGATCCAGGTGTGATGGTTCTACAGCTTGGTATTGGTGGCAAATCCATCAGCAGAGGAGATGGAGGGGAACTAAAGGTTGAAGAACGAGAACAATTAGGTAGGCTCCAAGGTTGTCAGGAGAGGGCTGGGTTTGTATTGAGTCAAACGGCAGCTTCAGTAACATGAGGTTTATTTAATATAGTCACTCTATTTCTCCTCCCACCTCTTGGTTCCATCATTGGACCTTCAGGGTGGCTCAGCCATGTTTGTTTAGGCATCTGTCTAAGTTATTTTTGGCATAGGAGGCAGAACATCATTCAACCTTCTCTCTTTGCCCCTCATGGTAAAAATGCAATAATAACTAAGTAACTTAAAATTTGCTCCCCTTCATGACACACAAAATCTACTGTCTGAGGAAACCTTACATTACCTGGGGCCAACTCTGGACCTAATTTTTCCCATCAACACAGGAGCTCATTCACCCAGGTGTTTTCCTTTTAGTTCACATTCAATGTCAGAGACAAAAAGTGAAGAGAGAGAACTTAAGGTGCTGGAAGGGGGTGTCTAGCTCTGATAGTCTGCTAGATGCAAAGATTAAAAATCAAGTCCCACATAATATTTGAATGGGAAAGATACCTATGTCCTGAACTTCACAGCAAGTCCAGTAAGCTCAGAGCCACAGTTATCAAATTAAAAACAAACAAGGCTATATAAAGAAAAACCTGCAATGAAATAGGCCCACAAAACATACCTGTCCTCCATTTTTGGTTGCCTAGGTGACTCATGAGAAGAGTGATATATCGTGCGAATAGCTTCCTCCTGACTGCAGGGCATTTCATAAGGACTATGTGCTTGAGTGGGAGATTTGTTTGGAGTCTGGTACAGAGCAGAACCCCACTTGGCGCTTGCTATTTGGGTCATGCTGGAAACAAGCTCTTCCCCTCCACTCCCGCTGCTATCACTGTAGCTGTCTCTCCGAGAGGGTGACTTGGCACATTTCCTGCTCTTATCTGTGGCTTCATTTTCATCAGAACTGTCATCTTGTTCTCTGTTAGATGGCTGAAGGCTTCCTTTGCTGATATCAGGGAAAATCTGTGGTGGGGAATGGATAGGGGTCTGCAGAAGAAAAAAGGAAGATGTTTGTAAGAAACAAAACCAGCTGGCATTTCAGGGAGAGTTCCATCCTTAAAGGCAGCCTAAAACATTTTAAATGTTGTTGCTGTTATCATTATATCTATCTCCCACCTATTCCCAAAGATTGGAACTCTAGGAGGGTAGATAATTAAAAATAAAGATATTTAAGGTAAATACAGGCATTTTGAACCTTAGGCCTGTGAGCCAAATTTAGCCTATCTGGGGTCCCAATCCATTCTGCGGTTGGCCACACAATGATTTCCTTCCTCCAGTCATTTGGTATTTCCTGACTTGCAGTTTTCCCTTATCCAAAAAGTTTGACACGCCCTTCCAAAGCCTTGGCTACTAGTAATCACAACTATAACATATTGATACATGGGGTATTTTCACCCTGGCCCTTTGTCCCTGTTCCATTTTGTCTTTCTCTCCACCCTCCTCTAGAACGTGCCCCCCAAAACTGAATTCAACCCTTGGGCTGAAAGCAGTTCAGAAGCTCCTTATCAAATAGGGTTCAGTTAATTAAACAAAACTGAACTGATCCTAAAGAATCCCCTGCAGTCAGCAAATCAGCAGATCTAAAGTGGTGCTTATACATGCTAGAACCACAGAGAGCAAACGCTGTCCGAGAAGAGACGAGTGTTGTTGCAAGATCTCTTACTTAGGCCTAGTTTCCCCTTAAAGCGGACACTTCCATTGCTCCTGGCCTTTCGTTGTTATTTCACTTGCTTACCAATCTAGTAGCACTGAAGCCTAGTTACACATTAACTGAACTTCAGAGCTTTTAATTTAGCATCTCATATAGAAAAGAAATTAACCCCACAGCATGCAAACCAGACTATGTATGAAATTACATAAGAGGCCTATGTCCCATCACAATTGCTAAAGGGAAATGTTAAATATAACCCACGTTTGCATCTTACCTTCAACCCTCTATCTCAGCTTAGTGCAACTACACATTTGGAAAATTACATGTGATGTTTCACAAAAAGGAACTTCTCTCGTCTAACCCAATATGCTATAGTTCTTACCAATAAAGAGGGATCAATTTCTGGAAGTATTCCAGGAAGTGGCCTGCAGAGGAGAAGGGTGACTTCAGGAGATGTTCCTCTGAGAGCTGAGATAACTTCCTGGAGGAATAGAACATGGAAAATAAGGCACAGGTCTAACTGATGTGGATAAAGGTGCCTACTGCTAAAAGAACGCAATACAGCGAAGCGCTGCTCACCTGTTGGGACAGTCCTTTCAGAGAAGACCCATTCACTTTCAGGATGACATCCCCAACTTCAATCTGCCCACTTTCTGCAGCAGGCTGCCCGGGAAAGAGCTTTTTGACTCGGACTATGCTGGAACCTGGCTGTTCCGGGGAAACACTGTCTTCACGACAGAAGCTGAACCCCAGGCCTGAACTGTTTTTCACTAGCTTCACCTCAAACGAGTTGTCTGCAAAAGATCAGTATGAACCACGTTATCACAAGGATAAAGATGCTTGCTGGGTCATGCACAGCCGTGCTGTCTCAGGAATCTAAGCAGTTGCGGTACATTCACAACAGACAGAAATCTGAGCATTGATCCATGTGCAGCCGAAGATGCTTGGATTGGTAGAATCGATGATAAACAGAATGGTTTTTACGTCTCCCATGAGAAACTCAAGAAGAAAAGCAGCAAGCCAAGAAACACAGAGGAGTGTGGGAATACCCCATCACAGACAGTCACAGGTGAGGACGTGAGAGATTTATAATGGCAATGAGGAAACTTTGGGCACCACCTGTGCTCCTACACTAGTGCTACTGATGCAACACTTGGAGAAACAAACATTTGCACAATGATAGCATTTCTAGCACGACAGTTTGCCCAGGAAACCCACTGCACTAGGATGTGCTATTGATTATCACTAGCACACAAGCATTGTTGGGATACCCTGCAGACAAGACGGAACAGATGGGCCTCACATGCTAACAATGCACCGCACACAAACACACTGTGTAGTCCCTCTGCCCTACACTAACCACTGCAAAAAGGGCAAGTGATAAACCTAGAACAAGCATGGTGTCTCTTGCAGTGATGGATGTGAATGGTTTTGTTTTACGAAAAAGGAGCTGATGGCATGACCGCTCTTCATGCCAAGAGCCCCTGGGAACGGGCCCTTGACAGACACAGACTGTTGAATGGGAAAGCAAATCGAAACCGTGCATTTGTGATGCAACTGGAAAGAAAGAGAACATGTCTCCATCATTAAAGCAAGGCCAGATGATGAAGAACAAGAAGCAGCAGATTGAGGAGAGAGAATAAGGGAACAGGGAGCCATGGAAAAACATATCAGGAAATTCAGGTGAGCAAGCAAGACATCCAAGACACAGAGAGAAAGACGAGGAAAATAATTTGGCTCCATCATCATCATCACCATCCTGACTATTCTCAGTAACTTGGACTCAAGGCAGCTCACATTAAAAAAATTATACAATTAAAACACTCAAAAATACAGAAATTAAAAATTTTGTTTTTTTTAAGTTTTTATTATTTTCTACCAGAAATTAAAAATTGCATTGGTTAGATATTAAAATTACACAAAATATCCTTATTAAAAACACTACAAACAATATAGAGAGTAAACTCACAGACTCAGATCATTCCCAAAGGCCTGCTATAACAAAATAGATTTTGCTTACTTTCAGAAACCCAACAAGGTGCCAAGCCAGCCTCCCTGGGAAGGAAATTCCAGAGCTTTGGGGCAGCCACCAAGAAGGCCCTCTCCTACATTCCCACCAGAGGTTCCCTGTGAGGGTGGTGAAACCAAGATAAAGGCCTCCCCAGAAGGTCTTAAACTCTCTGTGCAAAGGATTTGCCCAAGCAGTTACTTTAATGTCACAGTAAATCTCAGTCAAAACACCTAATATTCTAAAGATAAACCATTGTTTGTAATCCCTGTGAGGTCTGAGAGCACCTTGGATTCCAACAGGTCCTTACCATCAGTGACAAAATTGTACTCTTTGGCACTTGCTGATTTCCTCACGGGCCTCTCTGGAGCCCCACCATGACTGGGCTGGTTTGGAGGTGTACTCTGTGGTGTCACTGGAGCATGGACTCTAGATGATGAAAGCTGCCCCTTCTCTAAGACCAGGTGAACCTCCTGCAGACACAATCACAAATGAGTGAGCACTAAGTCACAGAGACCCCTCTTAGCAGATTCTCGGTTTCCGAATCGCAAAGCAGCAACCGATGTTCAACTAAGCCGGCAGAAGGGGCGGAAAAGCCCTACAGGATTGGCCAACTCCTTGGCACACAGTTCTAGAGAAGAGAAAGCACAGACACATCTGTCCTAATCCTTCATGTCGACAGCAGCAGCACTTAGCTTGGTCAAAGCCACCGCACCTGCGCTTGCTCTGGCAGCAGCTACTCTTGCCCAACAGGGAGCAGCCGTTGCTCTCAGGGCAGACAATCCCTGTCACCATGACTAAGATTGGGTTGGTACAGGATAGCAGCTCCTCCTCTACCTCTGTGGGACCTCTTCCAACTTAGAAAGAGAACACAGGAAGTGAAAACATAAGAAGGGCAGGGTGATAACCTCCTACCTGGCCAGTATTCCTCAGGATTTCCACAGCTTGTTTATGGGTTGCTCCTTCCAATGTAACCCCATTGACAGAAAGCACACGATCACCTAAGAACCAAGGATGGGAAAATTACAGGGAGACTGGGAAATGTGTATGCAGAGGATGGGCATGATTCCCTGAAGATGTCTTCTGTTCAAGGCCTACTCAGTAGCTATTCCTTTGATTCATGCAGGGGAATGTCCAGCAGGGTGCACAGATGAGACAGTTAAAAAAAAAACCTCCCTCTGCTCCAGCATCCCATTCGCAACAGCAGACAGAGAGAAGTCCTTGGGGCGCTCACAAGCCACGCCTGCCCAAGACGCTTTGCTGCCTGAGGCAAATGGCAAAATGGTGCCCTCACCCCAAAACTGCAAGCAGTCCAGACAAAATGTGTTGACCATTTGATTTCAAGCCAGAATTTCTGCAAAGAGAAAGAAACGAATCCATACCCAGAGTAATCCTAGGGCCCTTAGGCAGCATCCAGGCCAGAATTCTGAAAAGAGCTTGGACTTCAGTCCTGCTGACCTACGCTCAGCTCACCCTTCCCTACTTGCAGCTGGCATGGAAAAACTGTGCCAGCTGCCATTCTGAGATTGAGAGCTCAATTTTGAAGAGGAGTTAATGGGGGTGTTCCAGAAAGCAGGTTGGGGAAGAGATGGGACCATTGGAATACTAAGTATGAAGTGCTAAATATGTGGATATTTCTCGTCCTCCCTTTTGCCTTTTAACTCTATCCAGTCCTGGAATGCAGCCACCAAGAGCTTCTCTGAAATGGAATCCAGCCTTTGGGTTGAAAGAAATTCAACTTGATTGCTGGAATACATCACTTTGGGCCAGTCACTCACTCACTCCTGCCTAGCCTACCTCACAGGATTGTTGCTCTAAGGATAGAATGAACCTGTGTAAGCCATCTTGGGTTTCTCAGAAGGAAAAAAAAGGCAAGATATAAGTGTAGTAGAATAATAATGATAATTTTATGAAAACTTTAAAAGAAATGTCAAAAGTTATATTGGACAGTGCAGCAGTGCAAGAGAAAGGGCCAACAGTACACGAGGAAGGGGACCCTTTATGGAGGGTCCCAGAGCAAGCTGGCCCAGCTCCTGCCTCCCAACTCCAAACCAGGAAGGCCCTATTAAGAGTACCTTGCTCAAAGACTAAAGTTTTCAGCATCCCGCATATCTCGTAATCTGCAAAAGATATAATTCCAACCAAGTTCTGATACGAAAATAGGAATAATTATACATGCCTTTTTGAATTCTACCATCAGCTTCTGCAGCTCCCTTAGGAATAATAGCCTTCACATAAAGGCCTCCATGTCTCACGTTGGTATTCACACCACCCTATGGGTCATTAAAAAGAAGATTTAATGGAAACAAAGGTCTCTAACCCTCAAACACCAACACAATCTCTTAAGGAGTCCAGTAAACAGCCATGCAGGCTATCAAGCAAAGGGAAGCAGCCAAAAATGACACTCACTACATAATCACACTATTACTTTCTGAATCCCATGCAAAGAACTGCAGATGGAAAAACACATTCCAAGGCTCCCTTCAAAGTGACAGTTGTGAGAAGAGAGTGACCAAGAATATTTATGCAAGTTAACCAAAGCTTGAGTCTCTGTGAGACCATCATGCATCTTCAGCCATTCAGAAATAGATATGAAAGGAGTAGAAAAACTAAGATCCACTTCTTCCTTATGGAAAGCTGGAAAAACAAAAAGACTGGATAGTCTTGGTAGCGGTTTCTGTTAATGTTTGACGGTCTGGTGAAGTTTGCCACTGTGCCTTTTTTTCTTGATGAGATCCCTGTGCCTTAAATTGCTAACTCCAAGCAAGAACTCAACATGCTGTATTGCCAGGATGGGAAAGGCTCAGGTGCCTCAGTTCATCCTGTACAACCTTGCAAAAGCACTACCAGGGAAAAACTGGCCACTTTAAGTAACCCATGGTTCCTGGAGAGAAGTTCCATGTCAAGGAAAACAGGAGTTAGGATGGAGTCTGTCAATACATTCAAAGCTGAAAACTTCCTTTAAGAGAGCTTGCCTCTCGTGGTTTTAGATGAATTCTATGCGTATGTACTTGGAAGCAAGTCCTATTGTGTCTGGTAGGCCCACTCCCTTCCTCAACCTGATAATCCCCCAGATGTGTTGGAGGACAACTCTGATCGTTCCCAGGCAGCATCACCATTGGCCAGGAATGATGGGAATAAAGTCCAACACATCTGAAGGGCAGCTGTGCAGAAGTGAGAGATCCCGGGATACTTTGGCTTTCCGGCTCAGGTTGGAAATCACAACCAGGGAATGCAGAGCACACCTGTACAGCAAGCTCCTCAGAAACAGGGAATTTGTTTTCCAAGGCCTAATACAGGTGGCAAAGTGCTGCACTATTTTAAAAAAAGGCTGGCACTCTTAATAATTTGGACAAATATCTCAGAACTCAAGACTGAGTTGCTTTTCTTGGGTTGAACCATGCAGGTCTCTATTTAACTATCTACATTTGTTATCCTGCTTTCCACAGCCAAACTGTTGTCAAAATTCTGAAACGCAACCCTGCAGCCTAATCTTTGGATTGTGTACCAAAGATTGCCATTTAAAAGCACTTTCCAACACCCCTGTGAGCAGCAATGAATGTAAGCACATGGCATCCTATAGCCACTTTCTGAGGTTATCTTTAAAGTGACATTGTCAAGTAGCTGCACGACAAATACACAGCCTGGGTAGATCTGATTGCTTTATAGGAAACAGGTGCATAAGAAGAGGTTAAAGTTGCCAAGCTTGTAACCCAGAGATGCTGCATGAAACTACCAGAATGCTGAATGGGCAGGAGCTAGTGCAGATCCATAGCATCTCATGCCATTCCTCCCTCAGCTAGTATGAGACCTTCTTCCCCAGCTTGCTGGAAGTGTGTGTGTGTGTGTGTGTGTGTGTGTTGGTGGGAAAACTTAAATCCTGCTTGGTACAGCAGCTTCAACAGGAGTGTGAAGGAAGGGATGGGAGAGGAAAAGAGTGGGAGACACAGAATCAGTACCTTCTATTTTCTTGGCTCTTTGAAAGCAATGCAAGCAATACCTCTTGGTTGCAAGCCAGCCATCCAAAAATAATGTGCAACTGGAAATACTTGGTGGAATTCTACTTTGCACCAGCAGAGGGAGCTCAATCCTATGGATATTTAGACAGGAAGACTCCCACACCTCCCAGGTTTCAGAATTGTGTCGAATAGGATGCCTTTGCACTCAGGGTCAGATCAGAAATGGCGTATGGTATGGAATCCTGGACATTATAGGGGCTTTTTCTATTTAAGCATGCACGGGATTATGCCCTCAGTGACATGCCAATACATTGTGGGGGGCAGGGGGAAGCCCAAGGATAAGGCTTCTGTCATGCAATCCCATTGCCTCATCCATGGAATTTTACAGGGGGACAACATCTCACGGTTTTTATTTTGTAAGCTTCTCATGTTTCCCCACTGCTGCTTCTAAAATCGACTGCAGAGGAAAGGACAGAAGAGCTGCATGGTGCCCTCTGACTGGAAGCGCTAACAGCTCTCCATTTGGAAGCCTGCAAGGTCATTGTTAACCCTGATAAGAAATGCACTGGTTTTCCTGCAAGGACCAGGTGGATTCCCAGTGCAATTGAACTGCCTCAAAATACAAGACAGGAAAGAGTCTATTTTCTTCTTCTGTCATTTTCAGAGTAGTAATCTGTCAGGAAATGGGTCTGCAAAGGGGAACTCTATACATTACAGTGGTGGTCAGAAATGCTGGCGTTTCATGCAGGAGGCACATGAAATGTGTCTGTGCTCCATTAATGTAGAAGAACTCTGGACTGCATTTTGCAAATTAGCCTAATCTTTTCCAGACCAATAAGGTGCTGGTTATGTTGCATACTTTAATAGCCTAATTATACTTTTTGCATTCTATTTTATTTGACCTGCTGTTCTATTCCACTGCCACAATTTCTGTCATAATAATGTCATTTTTTAAAGCTTGTGCAGGACCCTGCTGTTTTTTTCTGGGCCAATCAGAATCTCAGATGTGTGAATTTAAGTGCATTGACATTCATGGTAATCCTTTATGCCACTCAAATTTGCTTCTAGATTTTTAAAGGGACTGTTGTTTGATTCTACTCTTATTTAACATATTACATAATTTGTTCTGCATCCTTGGCTCTTGGTCCTTTTCCTAAAGTCCTTTCATAAGAAAGTCACCATGTTGTTATTGTTTTGAAGGTTTTTTTGTTATACAAATGTTATTTTACTTATCGTAGAGAAAACCTTGTTGCAATAGGATATGTTTAGTTACCTTTATTCTATTCAAAGACAGTTGCATCAAGGTATTGAATTGGGTCTGTTTTGCAGGAAACCAAATGTAACCCTGTGTTTGTTCTGATAAACAGAGCTACTTTCTGTCCCATATATTTGCACAGTTGTACGATTGCAGCTCTGATGGCTGTTGGAAAAGGCTGCAGTGTAGCAGCTGGCAAGTACTTGACTGTGCCTCTTTAAAGTCCACTGCTTCCCTGTAAATCAGACATTTTAACAGGTCACTTGGAGTGGAGAAAAGGAGAAAACAGCTAGAAACCTTGTCAAACAGTACCGTGACACTTATTCCCAAGCCGTTATCATTTTTGACCAGTTCAACCTCAAAGATATCTCCAGGCTTAAGAGGTGGTGCAGAAAACTTTTTAGAATTCATTGAGTTGGCCAAATTCATGAACGATGCCTCCTTTATGGGGAAATAAAAGTACAAGAGAAAAAGGATACTCTGTTAGAGAAGTAATTGGTAAGTATGATGGTACACCGTACTTAAGGGATTCAAGGGATTATACACACAAAAATATCCACACACACACAAACACAAGAGGAAGGCTAACACTTTTGTCCAAACATCATACAGACCCCCCAGTCTAGCAGTGCACAGTAGTTTTGGACTTCACTTCCTATTATCCCTAGCCAGGATGCCTATATTTGATTATGAGAGCTGCAGCTCAGCACATCTGGATACAATCAGGTGGGCAAGGCTGATGAAACAGAACGTTTCAACAGGTCCTGCGCACAAAGGGTCATTCGACATTCATCTGCACCAACTCTAAAATGAAGGACTGATGCATCAGAAATGACACAGGCCAGTAATTTGCTGAACAGCTTGATGGGTGATATGGGTAGTTGACCCAAAGGAGCATCATATGAGCTTTAGGGCTGTATATGACACCGGAGACATCCTGTGAATCCTTTTGGATTTAGTGAAGGAATAGAATAATCTCAGCCTAAAAGAAACAGGCAGGACAGAGGGCGATGAGCTATGCAGCCGTTCTGCATTTAAGCACACACTCAAAAACATTAGGGCTTCAAAAACCCTCCAGGTTGATCATGGATTTTTAAAAATACACGATCAGTTCAGTATGGATGCTTCGTGAATGAGAAAAGTTTGGGCTGCAATCTTATGCAAATTGCCAGGATGCACGACCCATTCAATGGGTCCGACTTCTAAGGGGACACAGACAGAATAGTATGACTGAAGTTTGTTCTTCTAGGTTCAGACAGGAACAGATGTATCTTTTGGATGCAAACAGCAGTGAAAATCGTAATGGTCACCCTATTTCTAGCCAGGAATGTAGTAAAGAGTCTCAGAATAGTTGCCTTCCTAGCCTTACCCCATGAGTGAGAATTAGCCTGCCCTGCACCAAAAGAGCCCCAGTTAATTTCACTATTTTAAATTCATTTTAACCTTGTTTTGTTGTTACGGTATCTGTATTATATTTTATTGTTTTGTTTTTTGCACTGTTGAAAGCCACACAGAGTGTTGGTTATGAGGTGGTATAGAAATGAAAATAATAAATGTCCCCTTTTATTGTGTCTTTTAACTTTCCATGGTCCCTTCTCTCTAAGCTTCTCCACAATCTGATGTGCAGATGGCCAGCCTTCACCTCTCTTAGCTTGTGTCAGCTTGTGTTTGTTGTGAACTGTCTTCATGACCCTTAAGGTAAAAGGGTGTCCAGGGTAGGTATAGCAGGGAGGGACCCACAGACAACGCCCTTTGGATGTGTTCCTTCCCTTCACCATGGCAAGCTGCTAATTCTCCTCCCCCTAATTCCAGCCCAAAGCTGCTTATTTTTCCAGCCATTTCAGTTTTTCAAGTTTTGGTTGAAATGTGTGTTGTCGTGTTTTTAGATCTTTCCTGCTGCTGGTTTTTATTCTGGCTTTACATTATTAAAAGTATAACGTTATATGTTTTCTCATATTGTACTCTCGGGTTCTGTGAACTGCCCAGAGAAGTTTGGCTGTGGAACGGCATATGAAATTGCTCAATGAATAAATAGAGTGGAAGTTCCCTTTTTGTGAATACAGAAACCATTTTAAAAAACAGCACTGCATCAGAGCCAAAAGGGAAAGGAGGAGAGAGCGAGAGAGCGTGCACACGGGAGGAAAAATATATCGCATAAATGGCTTTTCCATTTGTGCGCTAACTTCATCACAATATCCAGCTAGTATGTTGTGCTCTCTAAAACATGAAGCTTGTTTCTGTGCTGCACATAAGCAACAGCCCTATTAAAAAGATTTGTATCCACACCAGAGAAAGCACTTAATACATTCAAGACATTTCAAGCCTCATTTTTTTTTTTTTTTGGCAGTACTTTTTTTATCAAGCCTCATTTTTCTGGGCAGGCTGGTGTGTGTGTGTGTGACTCTCACATTGTCCAGCAGCAAGCAAACTAAATGAGTTTCCAAGAAGCAATGCTAGGCTCTTTTTCTGTGATCTTAGTGACTGTATAACACTGAAACACTTGCAAGGAGTTTCACCTTGAAAACCTGTACCCAAAAGGTTAGTAGGAAGTACAGGTGCAGGTAAGCAGTAGAAGCACTGCTGTGACATACTATCCCATCTACCCAACCTCTCCTATCCTCTTTTCTGGGAAAAAACCATGCTGTAATTAATAAACGGCATGCGAGAATGGCAAGCTACAGAAATGCACTGTGCCTTTTTGGTGGTCGTTTGCTCCTGGCTGCTCGAGTAAGTGGCTTCATCCATATCAGAATCCCCTCGGTCGGAATACTCGACTGTCTCCACCATCCCAGGCTTTTTCGCCTTTGCCAGGTGCATCTCCAAAGAAGATCCATTCCTCTCCACGCATTTGGAAAGGGCAAGCTGGGAATCACTGCAAGGCTGGAATTCCTGCTGGGTCCTCTCACTGATGTGGTTTCCAAAACCACCATGTGCTTGACTTTGGGACAAGCTGGCGCTTTCGGTCCTGGAATCCTGAGAGCTCAGGCTTCCATCCCGTTTGCCTGAGCAGAGGCCCGATAAACTTCCAGAGACGGGCCTTGGGTGACTTAGCAGCCTGTTGTGTTCTTCTGAAGAAGATTCAGCTTCGTTGTCTGGTGTGAGTGAAGGTCTCTTTAAATACCCCTTAGTGCCACTGAGAAGACTAGACAATGCTATGGAAAGATGGAGATACCACCAACAAACATTATTGAGTTGCTGTCGAACACACTGGCTCAGTTCAAATACAAATATCTCAGTTTAACATTTCAAGACGTGCACAAGCCTTGAGCAGGCCTATATCTTGTTCTGCCCTTTGGGAACAGGTTTTCCAAGTTGTTGCGATTCGATATCTTGGTGTTTTTATTAACCATAGCTTCCTGTTTTGTCTGAAACAAGGAAACTAAGGTTACAGGAATATAAAAAACCACCATCCTAAATCTTGATTTGAAATTGGTTTAAGAACCTGTTTTGTTGTGATCATTGATGAAAGGAAGGGAGAAATGTTACACAATGGAGCATATGGACCAAAAACCCATTATGTCCAAACAAATCATTGTTTTACCCCACATTTTAGCATTCTAGAGATGCTGCAATATATTGACATGATAAGAAACATAAGGCAGAGCTTCAGACTGGGCTGACCAAAGTTATTTTGATGCCTCAGCAAGACAGAGAAGCTTTCTGAGCGCCAGTGTGGTATAGCAGTTAGAGTGCTGTACTATGACTCAGATGACCTGGGTTCTGGGCCCCACTTGGCCAGGAAACTCACTGGGAGACCTTGACCATCATGGACTCTGTCTAAACTACCTCAAAGAGTTGTTGTGAGGATGAAATGGTGAGGTGGAGGTCCCTTCCTTGCAAATGGAAAATTTGACAATATATAAATGCAATAAATACATTGAATAATACTGGGATAATGCTTAACCTTCAGTACTTTCAACATGATAGACTGCACTCTAACCTAGGTTGTCCAGGTCAAGCCATGCCAAGGACATAGCTCCGTCTTCCAAGAGGGGAATGACCCAGAGGCCTCAGAAGAAGCACCATGTGTCCCAGCATCTGCCACCTGAGGCGGTTGCCTCATGCAGCCTCATGGAAAGCCCAACCCTCTCCAATGGCTGCCAACTAAGATCTGATTAAATGAGCTGCATCTACCTGGAACACACTGACCATTCCACACCTCCACACCCCACAGCTTCCTCCCTTTCTCCCAGAGACTCTCTTTGCTGTTTGCTCGGAAGCCTGGGTTTTGCCACAGGTCTCCACCAGCTGAACCATCATGGGAGCTGGATGTTAACTGGTGAGTTTAAGTACCACAGAACTCCTGGAGAAGGGGCTAAAACCTGCCCCATCCCAGGGCCTCACAATGGACATGAGAGACTAACTCCTACTAATAAGAACATTAGTAGGTTCGAGCTGTTAGAACAGTGCATCCACAAAGAAAACCCCCCTTCCCATTTTACAGACGATTTGCAAACAGGAAGAGGATCCGTCACAATGACTAATCCAAGAGGCAGTTTTTTTTTGTTTTGAATGAATACCTTTGCTAGGCCCCTCCTTCGGCTGCGAGATGACAAGCGTCACATCATCTGGAGCCTGGTCAATGATCTCTAGAGCCCTGTGATGGCTGACACCTTCCAAGCTCACGCTGTTCACCGATATGAGGCGGTCTCCTGTGCAGAGAGAGCGAGGCAGAGGTTAAAACCAACTGGTCCACATATTCCGCCCCGTTCAGGACAGCTGTGGAGCAGCCGACCAAACACGCAGATGCACCACTTGCGCCTCCCACATTGCGCACGGTCCCGTTCCCAAACTACCCCTCCCGTCACTTACACAAGGAGAAATTGTGCGGCAGTAATGCATGCCAAACAGCACTGTGGCTCTTTCGACAGCTTGCCGATTGTCATGCTTCAGTAAAGGAGTTGCAAAATAGATGGGCACATAGCTTTTCCCCCCAACAGAGGGAAGACAGACAAGGCACCAGAAGTTTGGTGTAGACGAGAGGGCCGTCCAGGAACTGGCTAGGCAGGCAACACCGGGCTCGGCTAGCTGGACTGTGCTTGCTCCTTAGTTCCTCCTCTCTCGCCACTGATTTGCCGCTTGACCTGCTTACTGTTGGGTGCTCAGAACGGGACCAGGCTTTTCCCATGCTGTGCTTTCCCCCAGAGCCTTCGTAAATCTTTTACTTGGTTTTCACCAAAAGATTGTGCACTCTGCAGGTGAAATGGGAGAGGCCCGCTGTATTTTGGGACATGTGGCACAGTTTCAATAGCCAAGCTGCACAGAAGCTGCTGAGGTAACTTGTTGTGCTGTGCTAAAGATCCAAAGGGGCTCCAGGAAGCCCCACGCAAGGGAGCCCCTAGGTTTCTTTTATTCTCATTGGTGGCAGTCAGTACCAGTTGACACTGCTCCTCCAGATCTTGGGTCCTCATATGGAGTTGCCTGCAGGCATCAGATCTCTCTCTCTCATTTCTATCCTGCCCCATAGACAAAGCTCTCTGGGCAGTTTACAACAAAACAAAACAGAGTAACTAATAGAATGTCAACAGTTTCCTGCTGTTATTTCACACACAGAGAGAAAGGGAGAGACACTGGGAATGTTATCTATGGATTTACAGAATGCACCAGAAGAACTCCCATCAGATTAATTTTTGAATCCAAAGCAGTTATAAAATAAATGTCTCGTTTACAGAGCCATAATCAGGATGGTTAGGATTGGGAAAAAACAATATTACTGTGTTTAGCTGTGGATTGTTCAAAACAGTTCCTAAAAAATCAAAATAAAACAGATCATTACCCCTTTTTTATAGCATTTCATTTTCTGAAAGAAATAGGAAGTGAAATGCGTATTCGTGTCACTCTGAAGTTAGCATCAACATTTAATGTTTAATATAAAATATTCAATGGCTTTTGCCCATTATGTTGATTTTTAAAAAACAGACCAATTTTAACAGACTAACAGACCAGTTTTTAAAAGACTATTAACAGACTGAATATTTAATATTAATTCAATTTCTATTTCCTATTTATTTCATTGGACAAATTATACCCAAAGTCACCTGGCTTTAGTGATCCCTGTCGATCAGCTGGTCCTCCAGGAGTGATTGAATGAATAAAAATTCCAAGATCAAGTTTTCCAGTTTTCTCCCCACCTGTGATCTGAAATCCTGTTAAAAGCATCTCTTTAGTACCTTTCAAAGATGCACAGTAATACTCTATGAGCTACACATAGTTTGCCTAGATATTTCTTTGGCAAAACAGCATCCTCCAAAGATCTTACTGTGGCCTTATCCAATCTGGTGCCCTCCAGATATTTTGGATTTCAATTCCCATCCTCCCCAGACTGCAAGGCCAAAGGTCAGGAATGCTGGAAGTCCAAAACATTCAGAGGTTATCAGGTTGGGGAAAGATGCCATTGAGCAGCGCATGGATTATAATCAAATTACCTCAGTAGAGAAGCCCCAGGTGCCAAGGTTGTCCAACTTGACAACCTATCCTGAAGGTGTATGATCAGGTTATCAGTCTCTAAAATGGGAAACCAGAATGCTAGTTTCTCTGCCACCAGACTGCCTCTGCAACAACTTTTCAAGCAACTTCTGATATCCACTGTGACAAGAAATAGTCATGCCTTCTATCTAATATTGTTACCGTTGCTAATAATGATGATGAGAATTATCATTATTACACTATTGCTGCACTGCACCCTGTCCTCTTTTGAGGAACCCAAGGCAGCTAACATAGCTCTGTTTTTATACTCAGAACAACCACCCAGTGAAGTAGGTTGGGCTGAGAGTCCGACTGGCCCAAAGTCACCCAAGTGAGCTTCCTGGCCAAGTGAGGACCAGAACCTGGATCTCCCGGGTCTCCAGGGCAACATTTTCACCTCCACACCACACTGCTGCAATTCTTCTATTAGTAATTAAAGAAGAGTTATTGCTAAAAAGCCATCAAGGTGGTACGCAAGCTTAGAAGGCTTCCAAAACGAATCTGGGCTGGTTTGGATGACGCGGCAGTGTGCTGTGCTGGAATCTTCCCAGTGCACATGGGCAGCAAAGGCAGGCCCAGATTGGATGCTTTATATACTGCCTGAACTGGCTCATACCCACATCCGCTGAGATCAGCATCTTCTCCCAACAGCTACTGGCCATGATTGCAACATGGAATCCCTGACCTCATTACACCACTGCGCACCTGGTGCTGGGGATCGTCTTCCAGCATCGTATGCTGCTTATGAGCCCCAGGAAGATTCTGGAGGCTGCTGCTGGATCAGGACACCAAACCAGAGCAGCCTTCCCAACCTGGGTCTTTTACAACTCCCATCACAGCATGATCAGGGAAGCTGGAGATGCTAGTTCAAAATATCTACTGAGCCCAAGATTAGGGAAGGCTGAATGAGAGGTACTCCTGACTTGCTGCTTCAAATGGATCAAGAAGCCAAGGGAACAGACACTAAAAGAAAGAAGGGGAGGGATTAGATAGGGAGAAGGCTGCCACAGGTGAGGTCAGAACATTGGTCCAACTAGCCCAATATGGTCAGTGCTACACGGCAGTGGCTCTCCTACATTTCAGGCAGGTGTTTCCCTTGCCTTACGTGAAATTGCTGGAGCCTGAACTGGGACATCCTGCATGCAAAACATGCAATCTACCACTCTTCAGGTAAGGCTGTTAGCCAGTCACAAGCTTGGCTGCAAGCATATTGCATGCTCCTTTTTGGTTTGTTTCTGAATTTATATGCAATGCAAGCCACGTACCTAAACCACATTTTTCATCTTTTCTCAAGGTCACCAAGTTGATCTCCCTTTCTGGCAATTGCACGGCATTCTGCTTTGTTTGCAGAACATCTGAGAGGGAAAAAAAGAAATAAATAAAAAATTAAAATTGACACCGACACAGTGGGGTGTATTTATTTCTCGAAACATGACGTGACATGAAGGCAAGCTTCATTTAGGTGCAGGGTATAATTAAAAGCAGCAACTCCTACAACCCAAGAGGCATTAATGATAGACCTGAAAACTATTTCAACATTTTGGGAAATGGAAGAACACTGATCAAACTATCCTACTAGGATGTCTAATTCGATGAGCACTCAAAATGTACTGGTTCAAATCCAGGTACTGAATGAAATAGCTTTGAATACATGCACTATCAGTGCAGTTCTTTCACTATCACATATCCCTTATGATGCATGTCTGAGATCTTCTTCCCCTGGTGGAAAGAGTGGTTCACCCTCAGCATGCAGGTAATGAAAGAAAAAGGCACAAATGGGATTTCCCACGGGATGGACATGTGGATGAATTACGTTCATTTTCAGCTTCTTTCAATACAGTCAATTTCAGCTTCTCTCAGTTTCTCATTTTTCATTCTTGGTTTCTCCTGAACACTTTTAAAGTTCACATGAAAAGTCATACACAGGTATGCTTCTGTTAAATATTCTGCTGAAATGCAAGCAATGATTTTTTCGTACACCCTGCTTGGTAGAACGATGCCATTACAAGATTCAGAGAGGTATGAAGTTTGGAGGTTTGAATTGTGATTGGGGCGAAAGTGCAAATCCTCTGGAGCCTTGTTTTGCTATGTCAAAGGCCTGTGCACTAATTCTTTAGTGATGTTCTGAAACGTGAGAGACAATCCCTTTGACTAGTGTTAGCCAGGGCCTGGACCAAGTACCTTTCTGATGGGCAAGCATTTAAGCCAGGCGAAAAAGAACAGCTGGAAAATCAGTTGAGAAGGTAGTTGACATGTGGGAGCGAGTCTGCAGGGAATGAAGGAACTGGGGTACTGGTTGGTATGTGAAGTTTTAGAAGGACTAGGAGAAAGCTGAAGGGAAAGTGAATAGCTAAGGCCTGGATGTTAACTCATTCGTTTTGTGTGGCTGGTGGAAATCATGTGTAGGAAACAGGTGGCTCTATTACGCCAAGAAGCCCCATTCAGATCTTGCCAGAAGCAGGTTGTACAAGCACACAGTAAAACCCCGAAAACCTGTGTAAGCAGCTAGTAGCACAATCAGAGCTGCTTTGGGGTGAGACAAGGACAACACCCAAAAGCTGCACCCGGTTGTGACAGAATATGGCTGAGGTGGAGGTTTTGGCATGAGATAAAAGAAATCAAGAAGCTGTAGCAAAAACACATCTCTTGAGTCCTTAAAATTGTCACCAAGCAGTCTTTGGAAACCTCCAAGCAGATACGAGTAATCCTTTATGTATGAAATATCCCTTTAAAAAATTATTTGCTTAATGGCTCTTCTTTGTCTAGTGTTGATGCCCATCCCACGCCCAAGCTTCTTATTCCACTTGAAGTAGGTTTAAAAGTCGTCTAACACAACTGGTGGCAGTGGGAAAGGGTCAGGTTGTAGAACTCTGAGTAACAGTGTTTCTTAAGCCCAGAAAAACAAGAATTTGCCATAACTAAGAAAACCTATGTGTGGAATTGCCCAGTGAAAGAGCCGCTTTCCCCTGGGTGATGCCGGTTCTGTGGAGGGAAAACTTCTATATAACCCAAAGCAAATAAATGGGAAACACAGATGTTTCAGTGTCAAATTAAGAAATTGAAGCCCTGAACCACGCTGCTTTTCAGACTCAGCACCCTTGACTACAGGTTGAAGGAGCACCTGGGTGTTCGTAAAGCCTGGATCTACAGAGCAGTGAATGAACCTACCAAACTGCATTTTTTGGAAAAGTATATCACTGCAATTGTAACACAAGAATAGGATGAAGTAACTTCCTTTGGCGTTGCATCCTGACCCAAGCAGAAGGTAGACAATTTCTCAGCTTTCCACCTGGGAGCTCAGGGCCATTTGCCTCCTCTTTTACCTGCAGCTTAAAAACCCTTGTAGAAAAGATGGGCTCAGGTGAAGGAGAAGCTTAGCGTTGCTGGCATGCCTCATGGCCGGCTGGGGCCGTGCGACTAGGTCACTCCAGTAGATTCAGTGGCTTTACTGTTTCAGTGAGTTCTCCTGAATTTTCAGTTGGGTGCTAAAGCAAACAAAAGCACTGAACCGGGACGTGTGCCGATGCAGATGCACCCTTGCACTGATGGCCGATGCTGAGGGCAATGGGTCCAACCCAATCCTTTCCTTGGTTTTTTGCAGCCATGGGCGTTGCTGATAGGACAGGCACCTAGCTGTGTGCCACTGCAAATTTTCATTCATTCTGAATAATGAGTATTTAAGTATTGGGGTGTCATTTTATCTATCTTTCCCAAGCTTAGAAAACAGGTCTATTTTCATTTCAATCTGTCTATCTTTCATGCTGCTGAAGAGGAGTAATACATGCATTCCAGACACCAGCAACACTTGCCAGGACTTGCTAAAGTTTTTCCAGGTTGACTCCTTTAAGGCATACTGTGGAGTCTTAAGGCCTCCCTGCTTCATCTTTTTCATTTCATCTTGCTCCCCCTTCTCCCCAGGATAAGTGATGCTGCCTCCTTGTTTCTGTGTCCCCTGTTATGTTTAGGAAGGCATGAGAGATACTCCATTCAGCAACTCCCCTGTTACAGTATTGCAGAAATCCTTGCCTAAGTTGCTCTACTATTCCCAAACCTGTCTGGCCCCAGATGTGTTGGACTACTGCTCCCATCATCTCTCAGAAATTGTAATCCAACACATCTTGAGGAAGTGAGGCTGGAGATGCTACTGTTAAGCCCCTGCCATTAATGCTTAGCATTTAAATAGTCCTTTATCTGACATGTTTCATATCAGGACCAATCAGGCAAGGATAAGAGGGTGCTCTCTTGCACAAATGTAAGCTAGCCTGTTGAAGGCAGAAGTTTACTTCTGCAATAGCAATGGGATAGTTTGGCCACCACCTGTGAAGCAGCAGGCAGGTCTGGGGAGGCCCTATGGGTGGTCTGGTATACACAGCCCTCCTCCAAAGGAGAGGTCCTCTTCTTTGTTCTCCAGAGCCAGCATCCGTCAGCATCATCTTACTTTGTCTAACGGTAGAGCTGGCCCTGCATGATCCACCCATCCACCCTCTTCTCCAGCACCCTTCCGACAAGTCCATAAAGCTGAGGATGATTCTGTTCTTCACAATTCAGAATGAATGAAAGCAAAGCGACTTGAAAGTGAAAGATATTGGTTTGCCCAAACTGTTGTTTGCCTGACAGGAAAACATACTAGGATAAATCCCTTTGATGGAGAAGGGGCATTTTCAAGCAGAAAATTTACTGGATTGGCTTGGGACCAAACTACACATGAGAGATGAGAATATGTCTGTTTTCTTTTAAAATAAAAATTAATAGCAGCAAAGGGGATATTGGGTTTGCTGGTCCCAGTGAATCCATGGCTACTTACCAATTTACAGCTGCCTCCTTTAATCACTACACTGCATTAGTTGTTGCAACACTTATCTGGGAACGAACGTTTTGCTCTTCATAAATTGGAACGAAGTACTTGGATAGTTAGGCACTTAGATTAGGAAAAAAATCAGCATCACCCAGAGCAACTCAAAAGTACACGAACAGTGCAAGGAGATTGCTAAAAACTGGATTATATTTCTAAATGTCATAGTAAAGTTTACAGAATCAAATAGTGCTGACCTACAACAAAGGCTTGGCCAGTTTCTTCAGTAGATGAAGAGTCAGATTCATTTTTCCTTCTTTCTAGGCTGGCATCTAAACCTGCATGAGAGTGTGAACTAAAAGATGGTTGAAATAGTAAAGGAGGAGCAAAGAGGAAAAGAGGAAGCAAAGGGGGACAAAGGAAAAATTTAATGAAATAATGATACAGAAATCTGACTCACAAAGCACACAAATTGATGGAAAGGCGCACAGTTCATTGCCTTAAAGAAAACATTGGTGGAAATTTATGAAACATGAAGTTTCTTCTATGCATGTGGAAGCAGAGCATGTGGGAATAAATATGAAACAGGGTGCTGCAAATATATTTCTTTTGAGAAAAGGAGATGAAAATGAATCCTTCAGTTTTACAAAATGTACAGTACACCCTTATAAGAGAGTGAACCTTGGAAGCTGAAGCATGGTGCACTGGATCGGGAAAAGTTCAGGCAGGTACAGCAACAATAAATATCGGAAAATTGCTCTGAACCTCAATTTCTACCTCCAGAAAGTCTCAAAGTGGAACTCGGCTTGCCTTTGATCAACTATACCAGCCATTTAGTCTCATCTAAGGATCTCAGATACTGACTGTAGTGCAGCCTTCCTTACCTGGCATCCTCCAGATGCCTTGGATTGCAACTGCTTAATTCCTAGCCCATCAGCCAAGTTGGCTAGGAAGGTAGGCGTTGCAGTCCAAGCCATCTGGAGGACGCTGGGTTGAGGAAGGCTGCACTGCAGTGCATTGGAAATAAAAGAGAGGACCTGAATTAGAGAATGTGCATTTTATGGTCTGTGACCATGGTACAGGCAGTCTCCAGGTTCTGAATGAATTCTGTTCCTGAGAATATGGAAATTCATCTTTAAGATGAATTTGTATGTAAGTCAGATCATGTACAGTCGGCACATTCTCAGGGATTAGTGTTACTGTGAAAGTGGAAAACCACGAATCTCTCCCAACTCACCAGCACCTCTTTGTGGCAAGAAAATGCTGGAGAGATTTCTCTCTCTGGATGGGCAGGCAGGAAGACACACTTCGGAAACCCTCCTCGATACCTTTTCACTTCCTATGGATACCTTTTCACATCCTCTATGGGGATGGTGATTTCCCATAGCATTTTTTAATAAAAAAATTAATAGGTTTTATAGCAATTCATTCATAATATGAGTTGTTCATAACTCCAATGTTTGTAACTTGGGACTGCCTGTAGCTGCCTTTCCTAACAAGATACACACATAGTAACCGGAGTTTGCCATTCATATAGCTTCAAGACAAATCTAAATACTGCAGTCTCCTCAGGGGGCCACTGAAAAAGTGCTTCAGTTGTGATGGTGGTGTTGTTGTTGAGGCGGGGTGCCCAGAGGACCTCTGAAATAGTGCCCATTTGGCCAATGCCAGCGCCTTGGCCGGTTCCTTGACCCGGAAGTCAAGGCCCATGTCATCAACAAAGAGTGGGGGCTGGGGTGCAGCAACGCTGGGGATCCAGAGGGACCAGCGCTTCAGTGAGTGGTCCTTCTCCTGGGATCCTGAGCAGTGGGATGGTGTGACGCGGTGTCCTGCAACAGCAGGGGGTTGGGCCTGATGGTCTCCATGGGCCCGTCCAGCTCTACTCTTCTGTGTCCTAGGTGGGATCGACGGAGGCTCAGTGGCAGTGCTTGTACTCCCCTCAGCACCACTGAGTGGCCAGACCACAGCTGGGCCAACAGGGGCTCATCCTGCTGAGTCTGGACAACCCGGCAGTCCTGAAGCCTGGAGCAGTCCGTGTAGACCAAGGGTCCTCAAACTAAGGCCCACGGGCCAGATCTGGCCTGCCATGCTCTGTGAACCAGCCTGCCCCACAGGTTTTGCACTCGCTGGGCGTACATGCGGCTTGCTCGTGAGGAGGTCATTTTGGAAACACTTGGAGAAAGCGATCTCCTCATGAGCAAGTTGGCGCCTTGTCTGGTGGCAGCTTGCTCGCGGGGAGATCGTTTTGGACTCACTCAGAAACAAACTCCTCATGAGCGAGCAAGCAAGCCCCTTGCCCCGTGCCCCCATCTCTGCCTCCCCTCGTGTGCGCCCTGCCTCCACACCGGCCCACGCCTCCCCGCGGGCACTGCCTTGGCGGCCCGTGACCACCACTGGCACCTGTCAACTGGCTCCCTGTTCAAAAAGTCTGAGGACCCCCGAGGTAGACTGTGGACGTTTGAGCATGAGTTGGGAGTGGGTGGCAGATGAGCTGCTGGAAGCAGCTTTGGCTGCAGGGAAGGGATGGGGGCAGGCAGGGATCAATGAGGCAGCCTCTTTGTGGGGGATCCCGACAACCCCGTAAGGGGGACCATTGCTTCGAAGCAGGCACACGCCCTGCCTCAAGCCCCCTGAAGGCCTGTCATCTCCATTGCGATGGTGTTCCACTCACTGGGCACCACGATGGTGCCGTCTCAGCCACACGCAGTGTTTCCATTTTACACGTATGGCCTGAAAGCGCTAGGGCCTGCAATTTATGTCATGCACAGGAGGTTTGAAAACCATTCTCTGTATCTTCTATTGGCATGCTTTTATGGCTACAGGCAGTACAGAACGCTGCATTGTCACTAGACATTGTACCAGTGTGCAAATGTAAATTATCCCTAGAACAATGCCAGCAGCACTTTCTGGTGCAACGAGTTTTCTGGAGAAACCTGTTGTGCCAGCAGTTGCTATTGGCACTGTACCAGAGACAGCTTATGCTTGTGCAATGATGCCTACATTAGCAGTAATGTATCGTTGGATTTTATGTTTTAAGATCTTGTTTTTAATCTATACTTTAGTATTGTCAGTCAGTCAATCAATCTTCTACCTATTCCATGTATCACCAACACAGGAATGCAAGTCGGAGTAGCTACGCCTGGGATGCACTGTTAAAATCAACCCAAAAGAAGGTTCTTACTTGTTTAGTTTTGCTCCTCCAGCCACCGATTCCATATCAGATTTTGGCACCTGCTGAAAGAGCTTCCCCATCAATCCCTCCATCCTGTGTGAGGGCGAGTCCACAGGGGCGAGAGCAGTTTTCGGAAGTGGGCTGACAGTCACTTGATTCTGGGTGAGGTCATGAAAGGATTTGCTCATAATTTTGGGTCTTTCCTCCCATGCTGCCTTCTCATTTTTGTCTCTGGTGCAGCCTTGGGTGGGCTGGAAGAGGGACAGTTCAGAGTAGGAGAGCCGCTTGAGGATTTCCGCTTGCACTGACAAAGGCCGGACCGCCAGTCTGTTTAAGGTGCTGCTGGCCAGGCTGCCGGTGCTGATGGCGCGCCCCATGTTAAACCCTTTCGTGGAATCCGTGTGGAGGTTGAGGCTCCTAAAGGAGGCTCTCTCTGTAAGAAGAAAGAACCAGGCTCATGCACACTGTAAACGCACATAGCAAGAAATGCCTTCATTGAGCATTGGGACACTCAGCAGAAAAAGAGACGGCAGCTCTGACTTGGAAGTCTGTAGGGCTCCAATACATAAAAAGTTGGCTGCAGAGACCTAAGACTGCGTGGCAAAGGGAAAGAGAAGACATCACAGTCAGCTTCACATAAGCATGACAGTTCACGGTAACTTATTTAAGCCACAGTGGGAAGCAGCACATGCTGGTGGCCATTTGGAATATTCAGCCTCTAGAAGAGAGTTGCCATGATTTGTTGTGGCATTTGAAATCAAGCCCTGAAAAAGAAGTCAGTGTAAGATCATAGCCCCTTCTTTGTGAGTAGAGAGCTTTTTTTAAAGCATGGATGTGTGACCACAAGCTCACTCAAGACTACCCCTCTCCTATGCTCAAGGAAGTAAGCAAAGGGGCTGAGATTGTCTGGACCAGTTCCATTAATGGAAATAAACGTTAGAACAGATGTGAAAATTCCCGAGTCCTAGAAATGTTCTCATGTCCTTCCTGTGATGTGACATCATTAAATCTAGTTTCATCCTCCTCCAATTCACTTCCATCCGTGATGGGCAGGGAGGAGAAAACCTCAGTTCTCTATAGCAAGGGTAACGAACCTCAGACTGCAGTCAAGAAATTTGAAGAATGCAACTTGGAAGGGCAGTGACGAAGGAACTAGAAAAGATAATCAAGTGTAAGGAACTTTTAGTGAAGACCAAGGCCAAGAAACACTATGAATATGAAAGCTGGATGATGAAGAAAGCTGACAGGAAGAAAACTGATGTGTTCAAACTATAGTCCTGGAGAGCTTCACAAATACCCTGGAGTGAAAGATGAATAAATTGGTCACAGATCAAATCAAGCCAGAGCTTTCCCTAGAAGCAAAGATGTGAAAACTGTGGCTGTCATACTTTGGATGCATCTTGAGAAGGAAAGACTCTCTGGAGAAGACAATTATACTAGGGAAAGTCACAGGAAGAAGAAGAAAGGCTAAATATGAGATGGGGTGGCACCATAAAGGGACCCTTAAATTTAGAAGAGCTAGGTAGTAGCTGTCATGGATAGGTCGTTTTGGAGGACTCTCATTCATAGGGTCACCAGTCGTTGGAGATCCCTTGATGACTTGACAGCACATAACAAATGGAACCCCAGGCCACAGGCCAGTTTTGGCCTTCCTAGCATCCTGATCTGGCTTTCTTGGATTTCTCAGATAGTCACACCTGCTTCTTCTGGCCACATCTTATGACTGTTTGGTGGCAGTCTAGCTTTTGCACATTTTGTCCCATGCTTGGAATACTTTTCCTAAGGCGTAGCATTAAGCAGTGGTATTGTGCTAAATTTTGAAGCACAGTTACTCATCATGCGTTGTTGGGGTTGCAGAGGTGCATAGTCCTCACGGAGAGTCCCCAGATGCCAGCAGCTGTGTTGATCCTATTCTACACACCAGTTCTGATGGCTTTCCTCTTCCCAGGAATATGTCTTCCCTACAGCTGATGAGCCCTAATAGTCAGTTCATGACTAAGCTACCCCAAGAGACTTTGCATCACAGTAAGGAACAGTATATTGCTGCTGGGAACACCTGGTAGGACTGAAGCTAAGCTCAGGGGGAACGTTGAATTCTGACTAGGGTGGAAGGTGATGCATGCATCTCTGCTAATGAGCGAGTACCTCTGCTGCATTCCACTACTTGAAGTAAGAGTTTTAAATCGCCCAGGGGGCTTTGTCTGCGGGGTGGTACAGAAAAGAAATTAGTAACGACAACGATGAACATGATCATCTAAAGTATGTTGGTGCCTCACTCACCACTGGAATGCAGCCCTTGGGTGAAAAGAGGCTCATTACCCCTGCCCTAAAACGTCCTGCCCCACTTTCTCCTCACTCATTACACATCACAGGGGAGAGGGGAGAGGGTGAACCGTGAGCTTAGAAGGATTTCAAAGGGAATCAGACAGATTCATGGAGGAATCACTCTGTGAATCACCACAAGGAAGTGCCTGACATTCATAACAAGAACAGCAACAAGAGCAGGAAGAACGCCAATTAGCACTTACCAATTTCTTGGGTATCCTGATTACTTTGCCTGGCTCTCATCTGGAGCTGGAATTTATGCTGTGAGGAGCAGAGCTGTAGCAAGTACTGGCAAGTCTTGCTGGTGTCCGTTTGGAATGCATGTTTTATGCCATCGGATATGTTCTGCAGTGTGATCTTTCTCTTCTGTGGTGTGAAAGATAGTTAGATGAAATGAAAATGGGTCTGCTTTCCAAGCTAGGTAGGTACATAAAACAACACTCAAGATATTCTAATGAGAAATACTTAAATACTCATTATTCAAGATGAATGGAAACTTGCACTGGCACACAAGCTGGGTGCCTGTTGTATCAACAACATTGATTGCTACAAGAGAGACTCGGAAAATGCAGTTAGCTTAGGGCAAAATGCTGTGCAAGTCTGGGCAGAACAAAGAGCTGCTGGCTGGGGAAAGCAGTGAGTTATCGGGCCTTTCTTTCTGTCTAAACTTGCAGAGGATTGCACCTTAATATTGAAAGCATTTAGCATGGGCAATTGCAATTCTTTAAAGAGGAGATTTAGGAGGAGATGGGAATGTCCTTCTGTCTCCATCATGGTCCTGACAAAAATACCCCATTCCTCAGCTGCTGTTTGGCCCAGGAGGAAGTTCCTATTAGCACCATATCCATCTCCTGGGACTAGCAGCATCTTTGGTAGTAGTGGGGGAACATCAGGGCTGAAGCTTACAAGCAAAGGATTAATCTTCCTTCTCTGCATGCATGGCACGTTTACATGCAACTATCTTAAAAAACTGAAACAAAAACAAAGGCAGGAATGTTTAATACTCTGCCACCTAGATGAAACCTACTTCTGTTGTTTCCATTAATCATCACTAGACGCTGGGATTCAGAAAGCCTACTGCAATTCAACAGCTGCTTGCCATACTCTGCAGGGACGTAAGAAAAATGCAGTGGACTTGAATGAGTCTGGATCGCTTTGAATCCAACCTGCAGATTATGGAGCAGAACAGCTTTTCCAAGGTTGCAAAGATTCCACAGGATTACAGAATGTCCTTTTATTTTCTGTAATTTTGCACACAATCAGTTGCAGAAAAACATGTGAAGAACAAAAAAAAACCCCTGACCCCAAATCGACATTTTCTCCAATAAGAATATAAATTTGGGAAGGACTTGCCCATTTTCAGAAGCACGAATATGTACAAATACACACGGACACATTTGCGTGAAGTCTGATTCTGTAAAAAAGAGGTGGATGGGCCTCCACAACCACAGATGGAATAGAGTTTGCACAGTTCATACATCCGGTTTCAAACATAACCAGCCAATGCACAAATGAGTTTTCCCTGCCCATTCATACAAGACAGCGTGCAAGCCTTTGCAAATACCAAAAAGTATCTGATGTCAGAAAATGTAGCCTGCAGGAGGGCATCCCTAGAGATGGGATGCAGGATGTGGGGCGGGGGGGGGGGAGTAAGGAAAATGGACCACAATCCAGGCAAAGCAAAGCATTTTTGCCATGCACTGATTTAAATGGAAGAGATGGAGGCACCTGTGTAACCTTCCCTATGTCCCTTCCCATCCCTTAAGATCAGGTGCAGAGGTCCTTCTTCAGGAGCCCTCCCTGAAGGAGATTAGGAGGGCAGCTACCCGGAGAAGGGCCTTCTCAGGGGTAGCACCCCAGTTATGGAATGCGCTCCCCAGAGAGGCTTGCCTGGCGCTGACTTTGTATTCTTTCCGGTGTCAGGTTAAAACCTTTTTATTTACCCATTATTTTAAAAGTTGATTAGGTTTTTAATCTATGGTTTTATTACTAGATGCTATGCTTCATATTTGTCCTGTTTTTATTGTAAGACTGTCCCGAGACAGTCGTAGTCAGATGGTATACAAAAACCTTAAAGAAATAATAATAAAATAATACCCTCACGCTGAAATAACTGAGACTTAAAACATGCTTAACTACTGGGTGGATGGATGGTGTTCTTTATGTTGGGCAGAGAGTCAAAGACCTAAATGTTTTTTAAAAAAAGCAAATGGAGTATTCATGCTGTAGAAAGGCTGCATGTCAAGAAGACAGCTAGTCTAGACATGAACAAGGGCCTTCTGATACTCGAGGAAAGGAAGCAGCAATACATGCAATGTACCGCCTGCATTCTGAAAGGGCCCATCCTGAGAAGGGACACACTGTATGCTTTTTTAATGAGTATTACTACTGGTCTGTGATGCATGAGGTTCCTCATGTTCAGGAGGAACTCTCTTCAGGTCAGCCTCTGCCATAAACCATGTTCTGCCCTCTCCTCAGTTCATCTTCTCTTGCTTCATACAGCTGGGTCTGTTGCTTAAGCCATCTGGGATATATCAACCACGATTGCCTACCCAGCGTGCAACACCTTGTATCATTTCCTGCATGGTTTCAGTACACTATAATTTTAACAGTGTTGGTGACCCGAGCAAGGACAGGGCGCGGGAGGATAGACACTAACTTGTGCCGCCTGGGATTCTATAAGCAATGTTACTAACATACACTGAACGAAATTTTCTTTGTTTCTCTCCATGGGAAACGAAGGACAGGCGTACGGGCTCCATTGTGGACCTCAAAAATCAGGACTCCTTTGGGGCAGACTCCCAGCAAAATTCCAGTCTGAGATTTTTTCTCTGGCAGCACACGATGAAAATGGACACCATATTCTGTCAGCCTTTGGCAAATCTACAACAAGGGAGAGGGAGAGAGAGAGAGATTTGTGAGAAAAAATGTGAAGATGATAAGAGAGCAATAGGATGCTGCGGGTTTAAAAATATGGTCTTACAGCTCTCATCCTTCCACCAGCTGCATTTGACCAATCTAAATTATTATGCTCACACACATTTTATTTCTTGGTTGCTGTTTCCATAGATCACTGCTGTGGTTACCCAGAAGCAGCTGCAACTTTTACCCAGAGGCTGCAGATCAGCCAGTAGAATTCAGCAGCAATCAAACAGGGATAATAACATTCAAAGGCAGGGTAGCCAATGCAGGAACTAATGAATACTTGGAGTGGAATAGACAGTTGTATTGTTGGCCAGTAGCAAAGATCCTTCTTTTCCAACAGGGCCGTTCTCTCTGCCCTTGAACCCTGTGTGAGAAAGGGCAGGAACTAAGGACAGCCATGGCCAGTACACCCTTTCTGTGCAGTGTCAGGCCATAATCCTGGAAAACATCCACAACTGAACATGTTTTTGGAATGAGTTCTCCAAAGAGGTGAACCTGGCACTTAATTTGCATTCTTTTCAGCATCAGGTGAAGACCTTTTTTATTTATTTTCCCAGCATATTAACAACCTAACTTTCAAACTTTTTTATATATTCCATTTTCTGAACCGCTGCTATGCTTCTTTGTTGAATAATAGCACTAGCAATTGCTAGGGTTCTTTTGTTTTTTGTTCTCTTAAATTCATTCATGTGAGTGTATCTTTTAAACTTTTGTTTAATTTTAACTTGTGTTAACCGCCCAGAGAACCTCGGCTACTGGGTGGTGTAAAAATGAATTAAATAAATGCAACCCACCCACCCCCACATGTTTTAAGAAACAGTGATCTCTTTATTTATTTATTAAAACATTTTTATGCCGCCCCATTTGCCGAAGCCTCGGGGCGGCTTACAACAATAAATTAAACTATAATCTTAAATTAAAAAAATATAAACATTAGATTAAAAATACAAAAATACAATATAAAATAAGCCGCTCTTCTCTTTAAGAAACACAAAACACCTCAAAGGAATCCATGGCTCAGAGTCTTTATTGCATGCAAGGTCAAAATTAACTCAAATAGTAGAAATCAGAAACAGGGATGTAAAAGGCCAGCAGTATATTCTAAGACAGGGATTCACAGTCATGGAATTCAAGGCACGGCTATCATTCAGGGTCCAAGCGAGGTCCACGCACGGGAATATCTGGTACTAATAATTTGGTGCCCACACACCTCTTTTGCCTGTGCACCCGCTTTTATGTGGCGGTGGGGCAACGAGAGCTTCCCATCTGCCCATCCAGCCCTGCAGAAATCTTAGCCTGAAAGCAAGACTGCTGTTCCACTTGCTGCTTTCCCTGCTGCCTTTCCAGCTGCCAACACAGCCTCTGAAGCAGCCTCAAAGGTGCCTCTTCTCAGCCAAGTTCCCCTCTTGGTCACTGGCCCAAAGGGCTCCTCAGGCTGGGGCCACTGGGGCGCTGCAGCTCTAACTGTGCCCCCCCGACCGCCTTCTTTGGCAATATGAGGCAGAGATGAATTCACAGCATCCCGACAACCCACACGCTGATGTGGCCCTAAAGCAGCTCCTTCTCAGGGTCTTCCTCTGAACCCACGGCAGCAAGAAAAGGCTTGGTGGGCATGGCAGGGAGGAATGGGCTCCGAAGGAGAGGGCAAATTCCTGGGCGGAAGCAGCATGCAGGTGGCACGGAGGCAGGGCTGGATGCACTGAGAGGAGCGTCCACTGACGGCATCTTGCTCAAGGCACCCAGGACCAGGACCTGCCACGGACAACCCACCCATTCCCACAGTGCGTATTCCCTACCTATGCATCCATTTCTCCTTCAAATGTTGCAGGACAGTCTTAAACTGGGGGATTCAGCATTTCTGAAACACTTGCATGAAGTGGCTTTCCTATGCCTTCTCTTTCCAACGGGCTTCTTTCTCTCTATCCACTCCAGTGCAAGCCGCTTATGAAAACTGATGGGGTCCATGCGGAACTAGCTGCACTAACCTTAAGGAATTCCAATTCAGCCTCTTTTTCAGAAGCACCAGCGTAATTGCTGTGCAGTTTTGGCAATTCTTCTTTGACATTAGAGAGGTCCAGGTTTTCCATCACTCTGGGTGGCAAATAGTGCTCAGACCTGAAATAGGAGAGGCCATGTACCTACAAAAAGAAACATCAGAAGATTAAAAGTGTATAGACCTGGTGACCCATCCTGGCTGTAGCTGGTGCTGCTCAGTAAAGCCAGAATGGTGAAAGCGGGAAAGGTCCTTTTACAGTAAGCTCCAAGCTGCTGTTCAGGAAAAATTACACTGCTGGGCAAAAACTGCTGGTGTGCCGCAAGATTTTTGCCTGGATTTTGTTTCCTCTATTACGAGGACTCCCGAAAGAGGAGATCAGTTTCCATCCAGAATTTCTTTTGGTCCATTTCCTTAGCTGTCCGGTTTTGTGATTGGCTGGCAAAAATCCTGGCTCTGGAGACAGCCAAAGCACCCTCCAATTGGCTGATGCAGATTTATGCAAAGAGGGGGCACCTTGCAGTCTTCCAGATGTTTGGTTTGCAACTTCTATGATTCCTTGCTTTTGGTGATGCTGACTAGGCCTGACAGGAGCTGTAAGCCAAACACCTGGAGGGTCACAAGTTGCCCAGCTCTGCTCTACAACTTTCTTCTGGGGAGCTGTGGAGGCAGCTGTAGTCCTTTCCCGATCCATCCACCACTGCAGACTTCATCCGTGCTGGAGTGGATGCTTCCTTTGGAAGGGCTGTGCTTTGCTCTTTTTCTTCTTCACATCTGCCTCACCTGCTGCACCCATATGTGGTGTTGCACAGCAACCACAACTACAGAAGACTGCATGCTTACCTGGCACGATGGCTCTTGGAGCAGTCATACAACCCACTCTCCTGCAGGTACCTTTATACGTGTGTAGTTCACTCTTCCTTCTTCATACAGCCACTGTGGTGGCCAGAAGAAGGTGGGAGTTATGCCCTTGTGAAAGGTAGGGCACCTGCCAAAACCATAGCCTAAGTTTGGAGGTTTCCTGAATGGAGCTCTGGGCATTATATAGAAATTACAGAACCACTACAAGAACTAGAACTGTCTAAATAGGTATCTTTGATTTCAAATGATTTCTTTGATTTTGATTTTTTGATTTGAGTATCATGTTGTACATCTTTCCTAAGGTTGGAAAGCAGACTCATTTTCATCTGCCTATCTGCCTGCCTATCTATCTACCCACCCACCCACCCAATAGCCAAAGCTCTCTAGTCTAATAAAATTAACTACAGTAACAGCTATGCAACCTGTCTTTTAGTATGATATGAAGAAGCCCAAAGCATCTGCCCACAAAGGAAGATGCTTGCTGTCTCTATGCAGGAGCAACTGCTGTGGTTAACCCATTTTCCTATCAGCAAATTGCCCATCGTCCTCTGTCTCTCTGCCTCAGGAGCAATCCTGGCATGGAATGATCCTGGCATCGTCCAGGCCGGGGGCAGCAGCAGACTTGCCCAGCTTTGGACGAGGCGGCGCTGGGTGTGACATGCAAGCATGCTAAAAGACAAACTTTGCAGTTATTGGAATAGAGCATGCCTCCAGTTTTACACAAACAACACTGCATCAGATATGAGACATCTGGAAATGCTGCCCTGTTTCTGAGCTCTGGGCTCAAGTCCAGTCTTTTCTGACCTCAACAGTGAACCTCCCTCTGCCTTTAGCATCACATTAAAGCCCCAAAGGACCACATCACTTTGGCTTCAAGACCATGAATGAAGAAGCCATTCTATTTCTAGATCCTGTTCTTGAGCCTGTGGCTGAAAAGAAACTCCATTTGGAAGGCCAGCGTGTGCTTTCCCCCCTCTGCATCAGATACGCACAAAGGACAGGCATTTATATAGCACTTCAGAGGATGGAACAAGAACAGGAATTGAAAAGCAGAATTAGAAGGCCGCCCACAGAGGACAAGACATTCTTACTTCAGCTTGGTAATCTCCATATTCTGCCTGGAGGGCCAGTGAGGCCAACAACAAAGCCGTCTCTTCATCACAGTGCATCTTCTCCTCCAGGAGATCTTTCCTTAACTGCAGATAATACTGATGACACGTCAGAGTATGCCTGGCCACAGGGAACAATGGGTGGGGGGGAGGAGAAGAAGCACAGAAAATGTGGTGTGGAGATGATGCTTGACACGGATTCATTGCGGTGGTGATTATCTTTACAGCTGGGAGAAGACAGTAAAGGTCACGATGCGCTGGAATGACCCCCAATGTATGCAGGGGGTTCTAACAGCTGCATCTTGGTGCTAGAAAAAGGCCCTCCATGTACACTTGCTAAGATGTGCAGTGAGAGAACCCTTTCCCAGGATCATACCTGGGTACAAGTAGGTGAGGTGTTCACTGAAGAATGAGGCATTTATGTATTTATTTACTTTTTGGGTCATCACTGTTATATACGGTTATATGTACTGGGGTTTATAAATAATTTTTAACATCTACAGTTGCATTTTCTTTTCATTTTCATTTTGTTTTTAGTTATGAATGTTATTTATTGTTTTGTTATTTAATGTCTTAAATTATTATAATTATTATTGTTTATTGTAATTATCACTACTGTAATTGTTATTGGCTTTAATTACTGTAAGCCATCCTGAGACGTTCTTCCACATAGGATGGGGTAAAAATGTTTTAAATAAATATATATACCACCTTTTGGCCCTAAAAGAGATCCCAAGGTGGTTTTCAGTGACTAAAATCTTACTACAATTAAAGCTAGAGAGCATTTAACAAAACAGAATAAAACAGATTCACAAAAGGTAAGGATAAAATACATTAGCGAATGGCACAGCACTTTAGAGTGATCAAGATACCTCAATAAAAGGGAAATTCCCCAAAGAACAATTTGCAAGATTAGGAACACATTTTGCAACCGTGCCTCCTTAAGAGAGGTTAAAACAGCCAAATAATAATGTCTTTTACATGCCTCATATGAGCGCAAACTCAACCAGCTACTGCTCCGTTCCAACAAATGATGGTTTACGGTTGACCAGGGATATGTGAGGACTCCCAGAAATCAAACTCCACCTACTGCACAAGCAGCACCCCTTCTTGGAGGCAGGATCAGCCACCGTGCTGCAACTGGCACCAAAGAAAGGTCTGCTTGCAAAGGGCTTGCCAGGAAAGCAGCCCACCCACAAGCACTAGCCGCTGCAGCTGACACAAAAGAAGGTTGCCAGTTGCACAGCCAGGGATCCCCAAGCAGTTGTGCCCATCCTCTTGGCTTGGATCACTTTGGAAGATGGGGCTGAGCACAAGGGGAGCCTGAGAATGCTTGGAGGGGGATTCCAACAGGGTTCATCCCAACCCAACTGTTGACCCAAACTGGCAAACTATAGTTGGCTGATGCATTCCAAAACATAACCCTAAAACCAAGATCTGAAACTGTATTTCACTTCTTGTTTGTAGGGTGGTTCAGGTATCAAGACAAATGATGGTCTACCTGAATCATGAAATAATGAACTGATTCTGGGCAGGAGGAGAGAGTGTGAAATACGTTACCAGCCCACTGTGTTGGTTCATACAATCAAAATATTTATTTGAGCCACGGTGGCTTATCTGAATTGCAGCGCATGTCATTCATGATATCCATAACCACCACCCAAGTGCAGCTACTTAGGACATCTGTACCTGGGTGACACAGCTTGTTGGCGGGGAGTCAACCCTCAGATAACCCATGGGCTGCTGTAAGTTTAAATAAGGCTTCAATAAACAGGGATTTACAGTTATCATGTGAACCAGGTCATTAACCGTAATCTTGTAAAATAAGGGTCACAGAAGCCAAGCAAAAGCAGATTGCCTAAAGCCACCTAATGAGTCCATGGAAGAAGGAAGAACTGAACCTGGGCCTCCAAGCAGTTCAGTTTCTACTGATACTAGCAAAGGATTGTAACTAACCCACAGAAGCTGCTGGCCTACAAACAGATGAGAGTCCATGCTTCCATGCTGCTCATGGAGGAGACAAAGAGTCTCAGGGCAGATTCAGGCCCTTTCTTCCTGCAGAAGCAAACTCATTTGCCTGCACAGAATTCCCGGTTCCCTTTGATGACCAAGCCAGTACTAAAATTCAAGGCTGCTCTGAAAACTTCATCTATTTCCTGTCCTACAGGTGGCACAGAAGCAGAACAGAATCTTCACAAAGTGGAAGAACTTGCAGAACACACACCCATGAGGAAAGGAGGATTTAAAAGTGGCATGCAGGCACTCACTGTATCAAACTAACATCATCCACAAAGAATTTAATGCGGAAGAACAAGGTGAAGTTGATTGTATTTTTACTCTTTTTCTTTGGTTCTTCTTTCCAGCCTTCAGGAGCTACTTTTGTTAGTTTCAGCTCTGGATCAATGAAGAAAAATTCATTGTCTGTCATCAAAAAGAAAAAAAAAAGTAATAAGTTATATTGATCATCTGGCTAGTGTTCTATTAACACAACTGTAAAGAAATATTCAAATTCTGGTAATTCCTGCTTGATCATTAACTATTTTATGTGCACTTGATTCTTAGGATGGGATCTAATACCCCTTTTCTTGAAGTAAGTTCCCCTGACCTCAATGGGACCTATTTTTAAGTGGACATGTACAGGGTTGTGTGACTAATTCTTAACTTGTCCTTACAGCAAGGAGGGATAGTGGTATGAAATACTGCAAAATGGACAACTGATAAACTGCTGTGAGCCAGGACAGAGTCAGCAAGTTTGCAGTGTGATGTGAAATAAGGCCAAAGTTACATGTTTGCATGTGACCTGCAGGTTCCTCTGTCCCCCAGCTTGAAGAATTTGCTAGCAGCGGCTGAGACTTCATGTAAGAAATCTAATAGATCTTGACTAGTCCAAGACACTGAAGTCTTTTGCTAAAAATGATATTCCAGGCAGCTACAGCTCTGGAAATACTCTAGGAATCTAATGCCCAATAAAAAGGCATCTTTGCTAACACAGGGCTTGTTCAGTAAGGCTGCTACTATAAAGCTAAAGCAGGCTGTTCATGGCAGAATCCTTGCATGGCCACAGGGGAGAAGCAGAATCCAATTTCTTTAAAATAAACTTATTTATAAACAGCAGCACCTGGGGAATGTTGGTTGGGCCAGTGTATCCACCTGGTGGTTCAGGAGCTATGCATGCTGCCAAACCTACTTGGGAGATAGTATCATCACCAGAGGCAGCTCCTTAAAGCTTTGGACTAAAACTCATTAGAATGGCTACACATTAGGATGGTTATGACGCTGCACTGTCAGGGGTGGCTGGTGGGACAGAACAGATACTCTGGAAGCAGACCGAACTTTCAAGGAGCTATCCATGGTGCTGAAGCAGCTCAGGGGACACCTAGGGGTCTGGGTTCAGCACCTTGAATGACTCATTCAAGGTTCTGGCTAAAGCCATGAGTAGATGCATTACCACCAGCTTTCACTGTAAATAATTTGGACTTCGGGCTCAATGCCACATTCAAAGCAGGAAGCCAATCTTCACCATGTTGATTTTTTAAAAATACTTGTTATGGTTGCTTGTTCTGTGTATAGTCTTAAAAGTTCAGGACAAAAAGCATGCATCACAAAGGAGAGATCTAGCCAGATACAGAGGAAATACAGCCTGGTTCACACGTAATGCTACACCATGGTGTGGTTTGCTGAAATGCCCCTTGTTGTATCTGAAGTCATCTTTGCAATCCAACCATTATGTGCTAACTACAAATATTTGGTCTGTTTGTGTACATGTGTCAGGGAACACTGGCTGCTGTGATCATCGTCTGGTGAGCACACATGCATGCACCAATCCCAAATACAAACCTGTTCTTACCTTTTGAAGTAGCTAAACCGAACAAGTGATGCTCCATTAAACCTATATGGGCCACAACCATGTCAAACACATCTTTGCACACAGTCTTGGTGTCACAGGTGAGTTCCAGCCTCTGTCCACTTAATAGCATGACATTTACTTTCCGACGACTGTCTTCATTTTTTCCTTTCTTGTTCTGTATTTCAGGAAACAAAGCAGCATCCACAATTGCAGAACTGAATATTGAGGAATAGGTAATCCTAATGCAATCCTGTTTATTTTTAACATTTACAATCCACCGTTCTACCTGAGGAGGGCCAAGGGAACTTACAGTTTAGCAGAACACTTCAAAGAAGTGACATCTTTAATTTACACTAACATCACACACAGAGTACAAAGGAATGCACACAGACCCTTTTACAAGATGCTAATAAACTTCAGTAGCTTGTTAAACCGTGTGTGTGCTGCCTGTGTGCCAGATGGATTTACATATTTACCCACACAGGTGCGACTTATGATGTCTGAACCCAGCAAGACTGGTTGGGTAGGTTAACAACCCACTCAGATGCCATGGTCTCCTTTAGAGTCACTGGGTGAACTGTTAAGCAACTCAACCACTCAGCCTCACCAGGTTCACAACAAGCCACATCAGCAAATTGTGTAAATCCATTGAGTATACAACCAGCACATGCAGGGGGGTTAAAGAGCCACTGTGACTTATTAGCTAACCCACAGTTGTGCGAAGTGGCCCATAAACAAGGACTGTAGAATGGCAGGGTAAGTCAAAGTTTTGCCTACCATAATTCCTTTTATACTCTGTGCACTTGGTCCTGCCTAGCATTCACCCACTTTCAGAGAGAGGACGTGTGGGCAGCTACAGTGGTTTCTTTTACCTCCCTGTGCAAGCTGGTTCTGAGCTGCCTATTTAGCAGAGTTATCCTTGCCCAAGCATGGGTTTTTCTTATGTCCGAACTCAGTGAGGGTAGCTAATTCTGGCTTGTTCTGGTTGTGGCTTGTCCTTAAGCATCATGTTGCTACTAACTGAGATAATGTAGACTGGATATGAAATAGAACACGAGGAGTATGTGAAGAAAACACAGGGTACAATCCAGAGGCAGTGAAGTATTACTAAGTCACATTGATCACCATGGAAGAGCTGCCAGTTCAGCATTCTCACTGAGATTCACGGGACTTAAAATGCACAAGTACTATCCTATTTGCTGGAAAGAATAAACGTTGATCTTCATATTCAGAAAAAAGTCAAGCTATGTGGTTGCATCCTCCTGAAATGGTCCCCCATCAGAATGTAAGTGAAGGAACACCAGAAGGAGCCTCATACTTAGTCAGCACGCTGGTCTGTTGAGCCCAGTACTGTTCACACTGACTGGCAGCAGCTCTCCAGAGGACTGTTTTCCATCCCATCCTCAGGATGCCATGCAATCAACCTGGGATTTTCTGCATGCAGTGCCTATGTTCTGCTACAGAATTATGCCCCCTCTGAAAGGCCTGTATATTGAAATGAGGCTGTGCTTTTTTAGAAAGTCTCCCTGCATGCAGAAAGATTGTATAGGAAGGAAAAGACTAAACTTGTAGCCTAACAGGATTAGGGAGTTTTTTTAATCTTGGGGGAGAGGAAGCAATCATGTACCAAGCTGGGAAACAGTTAAAAATGTGTGACAAAAAATACTCCCCAAAATATAAGGCCACCTAACCAGTAAAATAATCTCATTCAAGCAATTCAAAGACAGCTTATTGAAAGACTGCTGCTTTAACTAACCTCCAAAGTAATAAATAAGTAAATAAATGAAAATGAAGGAGAAAGAAAACAAAATAAAAAAGCTACCACTGAAAGATTTTTCTAGGAAGGGAGAGTACATGTTGTGAATACACAAGATCCAAAGTTCAATTTCTCTATCTCTGGTTGAAAAAACCCAAGTAGGGCCAGAAGGGCAGGAATATGGGAGTAATTTGTTCAGTTCACGTTTTAAGGCAAATGTACCCGACTCACGCTTCTTGAACTGTAACGTAGTTATCTGTCTGTATTCACATTTAATTAAATTTTGTGAGGCGGTTATCCAATAACTGTTTACAAAAATGCTTACATAAGAGAAAAGTGCACACAAAACTGCGGGTACTGTGAAAATAACATTCAGAAATGCGTTACATTATTGCTAGTGCAGCATAATGGCTAAATAGTTGGACTAGGACTCAGGGAGTTCGGGTTCTAGGCCCCAGGCAGCTACTAGGTGAATTTGGGCCAATCATGGACTCTCCGCCTAACCTACCTCACAGGGTTGTTGTGAGGATAAGATGGCAAAGAGGAGGAGGTCAGTGAAAGCTTGTGGGAGAAAATAAGGAATATAAAAAATAAAGAATGAATAAATAAGTAAATACATAATATTCTGTTAAGGACAATTGCTTGAAACTGTGTTTATTAGGCAGAGTTGTCCCAAAACTGCATATATTGGGAGGGATGTACACAAAAATGTTTTACAGCAAGTTTTAAAAATACTGCAAAAATGCAGTAAATGCAGACATGAGAAAGCAAAAATGCAAGATGAGAAACTGACAGACTCTGGAAAGACCGTTTCCTGATATCCTTCAGTGCCACAGCCTGCAGTGGACAGCAATGGACCATATAGGCCTGACTGATCATGCTTTCTGAGGCAGTGTCCTACACTTTAAATAAGGTTGCCACGAGTTAGAGTCATGTGAACAGACTCTAGAACAGCAGCGGCCTTCCTCCAGCTCTCCACATATGGGCTGGCAATTGAGATGGAGGAACGCAAGATCAGTGCAGACGTGAATCCACTCTGTGTTTTAGCCTGGGCTGCAAAGGAATTGCTCGTGGTGAACAACTGTATCTGAAAAATAAGTTCAGCACCAAGGGCCACTCATTAATCACTCTAAGCTGCACTCAAGCAGATCATTTAATAACAGTTGGATGTTAGGGAAAGCCAAAGGCAGCTTGGGGTGTTCCACCTGGATTAATGACACTGAAGCAGGGAAACCCATTAAGAGATGTAGGGCAGGGGGAGAAGCTCAAAGAAGATTTTGTAAGAGAAAAAAGATAGGGCCCCCATATCAGTGGAAAACAAGTTATACTGCTTCTAGTGATGGTACATTAACAGTCGAAATCTTACCAAAATTGACTTTGGCAGGTCCAAGGAGGTAAATGGCTCAATGGTGGTTTTCACAAATTCAGGGCCAAAGAAATTCTGCAAATCACAGAATCTTGTATTAGTATTCAGCATTTAAGCAAGCAGTGATTCAGAAGCAATTAAAGATTTGGCAATAGTGATGCTTCCTGGAAAAGGTGTGAGGATTGCCGAGTGATAATAGCACTGCATGTATTGAATAAGAGGTTCTGATGCACAAAGACACAGGCTGTGATAAATCCATTTGTGTCTAAGGTTACTTCTAAACTTTTTTTTGCACCTTCACTCTGCTTCATACATGGAATTTTGTGAGGGGTATCGGTATCGTCATTTTCCTCCTGTAACTCTCCTAAGTTTTCCCACCATTTCTTCCATCCTGTTTCTTACTGCAGAAAATCTGTTAAATAAAAGGCAGAATAGCTGCTTAAAGAAGTCCTGGTTTTCAGAGCTAGGATGGGCTTTATGGAAAAAAGGCAAAGAGGGGAACTTCCCCAGCAATAGGATAGGCTTTGGGGGCCACACCAAGGCCTGATGGGCATCAACTTCTAACGAAGGGCACCAGGCTTAATTGGCTTGGAGCTGTCTTGCCCAAATCATCTCCAGCAAGTGGGGGCTGCTTTTGCTGTGAGAACGAAACTGTTTGCCCATATTCTGTAAGCCGTCTTGAGACATTTGTGAAAAGATGGGATGAAAATGTTTTTATTAAATTAAATTAAAAATGACTGAAGTAGCTTTGTGCTGCTCATGTCCCAGGAAGGAGATGTTAGAGCAGAGCTCGCATGCATATTGACAGACTCCGAAGTCACGAGGAGGAGGAACTTTATAGAATTCAGGGAAAGAGGAATTGTCTTTTGATCTCAGTTTGGAGAGAGGAATTGTGTAATCGGTCACCCAGGTGATATGAAGGCCTAAGCTTGGACTATACAGGAAACCTGCACGGCCATAGATAAATAGAGTGTATGTTTCCTTTTGCTTGTTTATAACCTGCACCCATATTTCATTATTGTATTCAATAAACTGTATGCAATCTTCGACACAGACAGCTTCATTTCTTCCTAAGTACTGCTGAATCTTAAATGAGGAGCCTTGGCTGCACCAGGCCTATAGAGTAGTACAGACCCTTCTTTTGGCAAGCAATTCCAAGTGTCACACAAAGTCTATCTCATATTCCTACCTGACTGTTACGAACATTTTGGAAGGGTCTTCCCTGAGCACCACAATCCACAAGGCTGTGATGGACGTCTACTAGGTAGGAGCCTTCTCTGTAATGGCCCCATCCCAGTGGAACACCCTTCCCAGGGAGACTTGCCCGGCATCTTCACTGTATATATTAAGAGACCAGACTAAGGTTGTCTTCTTCCAAAGAGCATTTACTAAATTTGGTGTCTTTATGGTCAGTTCTACTGCTAGCTCTTTAATATTCATAATATTTTAGTTTTTTAATATTGGTATTTTGCTGTTGCTTTAGAGTCTTAAGAATCTAAATTGCTCCAAGGGCATTTGTCTGTTGAGCGGTATATCAATCTCATCAACAAACAGGTCAGCCTTTCGAATAGTTCTACCATGCCGTAACGAGACGACAGTGTAGAGAAAGAAAAATTCATAGGCGCATTCACATGAAGCTCTGTGCTTCATGACGAGCTGTCGTTTTCCTAATCTGATTGTGCCACTCAGTGAAAGCCTACGAGAGAAATCCAATCAGCATCTCCAACCACTCAACGCAGGGTTGAGTGGCCTGTGTCATCAAACCCTGATGGGAGACATGACAGGGTAATGCACTCAAAAATGTTACCCATGCATCTGTGCATATAGTATACACCCCCTCTGTAGAGCAGCTGCAGCTGGGTCAAGCTACCCCATGTGGTGGCCATCTTCCAACCTTCTCCCATCAGGGAAGTGTGTCTGCACGGACAAGTGTGCTGTGGGACATTCATGAGCTGCAAGGATTCTGGGTACCAGCCAGGCCTCTCACATGGGTATAAGCCTACATGCGTACCCAACATCCCACAAGTCAGAAGATTCGTAGGATTAGCAGGTTATCTTTCAGGGAAGCTTGTCTGCCATTAATGCTCTTCTAATCGAAGAAGCCCTGATAAGATTCCAAACCACTTCAGGTTTGCCTGGGATGTGGCTTGAAAACTACTGAACATACAAGAAATCATGCACACAATGTACCAGGGAGCTGTTTGGACTTGTTCTCTGGCTTTCTGTACTGTCTCATGGGCAATCAGACAAGGACTTTGGTCAACAGCAGTAGGATGGAGAAACTTGAGGAATGTGTTGCTAAATGACTTCACAGTTCTCAACTTGCTGGTGTTAAAACCAGACACTGTAGTCACAGCCCACCTACTCAATAACCTCGACTGCTGCTGGGACATTCAGGATTCCTGGTAAGAATCTAAGAAATTGCATTTCTAATCATGAAAACACACTGAAAGCCACCAGTGTCACAGCCAGAGTATCAGAATGATGCTCACAGGGTGACTTTGCACCAGTCACTGACTCTTGGCCGAAGCTACTTCACAGGGTTGTCGTGAAGGCAAAATGGAGGGGAGGGGAAGGTGTATAAAAGCTGCCTCGGGGTTTGCTGAAGGAAAAGAGTGTGATACAAACAACACAGGTAAAATAAATCTTTAAAAGCTAGGCAAGCCCACGTCTTTAGGCTTATAAGGTGTTGTGAGCAGTTCCCTTCCCTTTTTCCCACTCTCAGGAAACCTTACAAGCACAGTGCTTTTATGAAAACAAGTGACAGGACAGTATAAATCAAAGCAGCATTATCTTTGACATGCAGGAGAAGCATCTGCCCATGGAAAGAGTGGAATTGAAACTGAAACATCCCCGGTTCCCTCCCTTTGAGAAAGAGTCCAGATGTTGCTGGAGGACTCGGTGGCTGGAATATTGGACACTTCTTAACTGGTCTACTTATACTGCCTCTTGCCTCCTAACTGGTTCAAGGAACTCCATCTGCATTAGGGCACCAGCTATGGATATTTGTGCTTAAAAACAAAACCAAAAAAGGCCCAGTGCACTCTGAAACACGAGGCACTTATGGGGTCACACTTAATTCAGTGCACAAAGAGCAGGGATGCACATTTGCATCTGGGACAGGCATTCTGGGAAATGCTCCCAGCCTCTTTCAAGAAAGGGCTGGTGCACATGCTTGCAGGAACAGAAAGCAGTTAGCCTGGAGTGGAGTATCTCTAAAGCATCCCTGCAGGTGAGTTGCATTACCCTTAATTTCCTTTGGGTCATGGCTGTTTCCAGTGCAATTTCTCGCAGCGGGTCTCTCGACATATCAGGCAGAGGCGGCCTCATGACGTCTCCAGGGTAGAGGCTCAGCCGAGACTGCCGGAGGGCCATCTTGGCCTGCAGGTGCAGCATCTCCTCCTCTTGACGCTTCAGCATGACTTCTTGGCTTAACATGTTCCCCTCAAGTGGTGCTTCATATGGCCTGTTGTTGTGGAAGAAGTGTGGGGGAGAGGGGATTACAAAGGGGAAGAAGATTTCAGCAGGGATGCTGTCAGCCGAATGCTCTGTGTCACAACAGAGGAGAATACAAAGTTGATACAGGACAGCCCTTCAGTATCTACTGAAAATTACTTCGGACAGCAAGGAAGCAAAGACACATGGGCTGAGCAGCTCATGATTTAAGAAAACATGGATGGAATTAACCCACTTGCATTCCATGTGTAGATCATTAGAAATAATGGCCACACATGTGGATTCTTTGATGGAGCACAGCTTTTTGGCTCATGCATACACAGCCTAAAACTGGTCGGCTTGTCTGTCATAGGATACAATCCACACCCAAGCTGCAAGTAAATGATTATACAAAAGTGCCCTCAGTGCAGGAATTTCAGAGCACGTGAAGCAGCCCTCTGCAGGAATGCAACATCTTACCCATCAGGAGGGCCTGCAAAATGCCAGCGGCCTTCCGGAACGATGGCATTTAAGGCCTTGAGGTCCGTCTAAATGTTCAACTCTACCCTGAGCTTCTGGGCTTGTGTTCTTAAGTCAAGCCATCAGATTACTGATTAACACTTTGCTGGTAAGATTACCAGTCAGCTGGAAAATGGGACTGTAGCAAAGGCAGAGGCTACAGTAAGCAAAAGATCGTCCACTGTTCTTACCGATTTGCACATTGGGGTCTAGAGAAGGAAGCCAAGGCTAAGGAATGGTTTAGGGAGTGCAGAGTGAAATATGAAGCAGAAGATGCAGAAGCGGAACTGATGGGAAAGGACTAGACATTGTGAAGGCACGAGGTGAAAATAGAACCTGCTGTGCTAGAACTAAGGTTCCTGTACAGCAATATAGGTAGGCCAAAGAGACCAGAGTTTCTGCTCCTTTAAGAGCTGAGGAAGGTGCAGCTTCTCCCTCCACAGTGCTGTGGTCATGAGGAAATGATGGGTGTTTTTGGAACTGAGGCCTATTAACCAAAGCTTCTGGGGGCAATACCTTTGTGGCTTGCCAGATGTTGGAGGAGTGCAACTTCCATCACCCCTCACTTTGGGCCACACGAACTAGGACTGGAGGGGGTTGCAGTCCAGCAACATCTGGATGGCTCACTCCTGCTTTCACCCCTTCTGGGTCCCATAATAAAGCAACACTTCCAATGGTGCTTCCTCTTCACTTAAACCAGATGTTTGGATGCTTTGCCAACAATCAAGATGTGAGAAAATAGCCTCTACTTAAAAAGAAGAAACTTACCAAAATACCAGATGCTCCCTCTAGGCCAACCTTCCCAACTTGGTTTCTTCCAGATGTTTGGGCTTATACTTCCATCAGACCCAGCCTGCAAGTCCAATGGCCAGGGCTGATGGGAGGTGTAGTCTAAAACCTCTGGATGGAAGGCAGCTTTAGGGCTACACACCAAATAGGGAAATAATTGGTGGGGTAAAAGTTAGAACCCCCCTTCTCTCTTGTCACACCTTCACACACAATTTTAGCCTCCTGAATCTGCTTTACATATGCATTTATTTTAATATGAAGTTTTACTACATTCACATGAATGTAAATGTAGTTTGTCCCTGGAAAGAATCAGACTGAAGGAGCAATGGGAAGAGCAGTGGGGGCCAGTGGGAGAGAGAGGCAAGAACAGAAGGAACTGAGAAGGTGCAGTGGAAGAGCTTCAGCAGACACAGCGGGCCCATAATATAAGATGCAAGCCCACGTTTCTCGAATGGAGGGGAGACGGTGGGGATCCTCAGTGGCATGGGGCCCGGACTCAGGGGTGCAGTGCCAGCACCTCCTGATTGGCAAGGATGAAGCTTCACCTACCACCCCTCTTAACCTGAGCTCAGCTCTGGTCCTCACAATAGCTAGAATGCAATGATTTTTTCCAGCAAAAGTATATTGCTCCCTGATGGAATGCAAAGTATTTTGAAATAGAGTAGACTTCAGTGTGCAATTACAACTCACTCGTTTGACAAAAGTCCTGCTCCTGGTGGAGCTAAAACTGCTAAAACAACTCTTTTGATAAGCTTTTGCTATATAACCTTTGCATGACAACAAGCTCATAATTTAGAGATTTTCTAAGCACAGCTGCCAACTGGCACTGAATCTAGTGCATTTCCTTTCACTTTTGCCACAGCACTGAGATCCTAGCACCGCATGCAGTGCTTCCTTTGCTGCTTTTCTTCCATAGCATCTCTAGGGGGCACTGCAGTACAGCAAAGCAGTGCATACAGACAAGTGGAAAGAAGTTTTACTTTCACGATCAAATGCTGCATTTCCTCTACTTTAAAAAGTCTTGCTGGAAGTGCACGTTAAAAACAGCTGTGAAACTGGAGGGTTGCTGTCACATTGTCTCAAAAACCCATGAACAACTGTGAGTAGGGAATGATGAGTGCCTGAAAAATGCCTTCTGCAGTGAAGATCCCAGTCCTCCCCTGACCAAGAACTCACACATCAAGGCCGGACTGCTGCAGGGTCTATTACCTCAGGGTGCAAATGAAGCACAGATGTGGATTCATGCTGGCATGGATACATCTATGCATGCATACAAGCTGGTCAAGTGAGCAAGACCAGGATTTAATGCTTATTTTTATTTATTATAGTAATATTCAAGTCATTTCTTTGCAAGGAACCCAAGGTAGCATACATTTTCCTCCTCTCCATTTTATCCTCATAACACCCCTGTGAGGTAGGGTAGGCTGAGAGTCACTGACTGGCCCAAAGCCCCCCAAGTGAGGATCATGGCTGAGGAGACAAGAGTCCCAGTCCAACACTCCAATCACCACACCATACTGGCTCTCCCGGCAGGAGCCAATCAAGGAGATGACTGGGCTGAAAAAAATTCTGATGTCCTAGTAAGCTAATTCATCAGCTGCGCCCCTATCTGGAGAATGACTGCCTTGCGACAGTGACACATGCGTTGGTGACTTCCCGTTTGGACTTCTGCAACGCGCTCTACGTGGGGCTACCCTTGAAGACGGTCCGGATACTTCAATTGGTCCAAAATAGAGCTGCCAGGCTGCTGACGGGGACTGGACGTTATGTTCACATGACTCCAGTTCTCCGTCAGCTTCACTGGCTTCCCATTGAAGTCCGGGCCCAATTCAAGGTGTTGGTTATGACCTATAAAGCCCTAAACGGCTTGGGTCCTGGTTACCTGAAGGAGCGCTTACATCCTTATATGCCCAGCCGCCCCCTGAGATCGGCGGGAGAGGCCCTTCTCCGGGAGCCCTCCATGGAAGAAGTTAGGAGGGTGGTTACTCGGAGGAGGGCTTTCTCAGCGGTGGCGCCTAAGTTATGGAATGCGCTCCCCAGAGAGGTCCGCCTGGCGCCGTCGTTATTTGTTTTTCGGCGCCAGGCGAAGACCTTTTTATTTAAGCAGTATTTTAAATGTTAATATTATTGAATTTTATTTGGCCAGGGCGGCTTGTTTTATAGTGTATATTTGTATTTTATTGTATATATTTTAAAATGTTATTTTAAATTTTTTGTTGTAAGCCGCCCCGAGGCTTCGGCGAATGGGGCGGCATAAAAATGTTTTAATAAATAAATAAATAAATAAATAAGCTAAGAGGCACAATGTAACATCAAAGACCTTAAAACCAGCGTTGTAGATCTGCCTTAAAATTAGACCTGGCTCTTTTCTACCTCGGGAAGCTGCCCCAAGGATACAGCTAACCAGAACATGACATTTGAATGTAACTAGCACAATTAATCAATTGCTAGAGCTTCCTGCATCCAGCACAATGGTGCACAAGGATGATGGGAGTTGTACTACAACTCATGTGAGGGGTGTCAGGTTGGAGAAAGGCTGCTCTATAGGTCCATCAAATCTTGAAGAAACCAATTATTTTAATTGAGATTGAGTGGGGTATGGGGATTAAGCACTTGTATTACTTAGTTCTAAGTCACTGGGTATTCTCAAATAGGATCAATTTTAGAAGGAATAAATAAAATATATTCCTTGAATACCATTTTCATGAATCTGACAGGTGCCAAATGGCTATGGCACATGTTTCATGCATTCTGCACGATTCCACCATTGCTAGCTTGCTTTTTCTGTTACTTGATTTTTCCAGCAATGCCTATAAAACTCTTTGAACAGCAACTTCTGCAAGATTATTAAGCAGGTTGAGCTGAAGGGCAGGCTGCTGAGTGCGGTGAATTCTGTGAAGAACAGAAGTACAGCATTGGCATTTCTGGCTTACTGATCTTATCTCAAAGGTTTATGAACTGGAGGAGGAAAGAACTATCTTCTCCAATGCTTAAAGGCATTGCAAAGGCAGAGGAAGCCCCCAGCTGTAATCATCTTGAATGTGAAAAGCAACAAAACATTTTCAAACTGGAGAAAAGGCAGCAGCCAATAAGTCATTTTCTTGTGGGTGGATAAAGAAGGGCAGGGCTGATTTACAACACAATAGGGTGCAGCATCTTGGAAAATAGCTATACAGCCCTGCTGTTAACTTCGCTTAAGGTTATTTTTGTTGGCACAGAAATACCACTGCGACAGAGGTCCTGCTCTGAAAAGTGATCATACTATTCAAAAATAACAAGGCATCTTCTTACACCCAGGGACAGTTTGCAAAACACGACAGCTCGATGGCTGGCTGCCAGCTGACATATGCAACTTCTGACGGGGGGTTGTTGTGTTGGGCGATTGCAGCCATTATGGTTAAACAAGCCTTGCATAACCCAGAAAAGACCATGGCCTATGTGAGGGTTCTTCAAGCTTCACATACATCTCGGTGGCCATGTCTCCACCACACAAGAAGACCCAGACTTGTGTGCAAAATGATGCCCATAAGCTCTAAAGCTCATTGTGGGTTAAATAACCCACAGTGAGTCATGGCATGTCATAGGAACCAGGCCACTTCAGGGAATGTCCACACTATGCTCCGTGCGCAGCGATTTAAACAGCACGTCCCCTCTTTGCCTCTAAAGGGTCTCTCTCCCAGTTACAGTGTTTTTTTGCTTCATTCACTTGGTCAGTCTTTTCACCTGCATCAGCCCAGCACCACTACAAACCAAAGGGTTGCTAGACATCCTCTTTGGTCAATTCATCCAAGGAGCCACGAATGCGCACACCCTCCATAGAAGGTGTTGTGGTTCTTCTTGAGGAAATGCACTCACATGCACAGTAGATCCCACATGGAAGGTGAAGAAAGGTGCATCTTGAAGGATAGTGTTCTTCAACATGTTTGCCCAGATAGCACAAGGCATGCTGTGAAACAGTGAGCATTTCTTCCATGAGAAACCATGGAATGAAGTTCTAAGCAGAAATTAGGCTCAAGGACCGATGTAGAATTTGCTGGCTATTTGGGAAATGTTCAAATGCACACTGTGCAAAAACCAACCCTAACTACTGTCAACTCCGTTCTTGGGGTCAGTAGTGCCAGGCCCATGTCAGGGCTTGAGTCCTTACTGCGGGGTCCTGATAACTAAGGTTGGGACGAAACTTACTGGAATCCATCCCTTTAGCATTTGCAGACTTGCTCTTGTACTTGGCCTGGCCTTAGAAAGCAAGCCAAGTCAAGAGGAAAACCACAAACACGCACAGAAAGACAGGCTGCTTACCCATAACAGGTTCTTCACGGGGTCATCTATGCACAGGCACAGAGCCTGAAGGTGTGATGCACAGAGACCACGAAGAATGAAGATTGCACAATCGGCACGAAGGTTGCCTCAGGTAGCATGGAAAAGGGACACTGCTTGTTCAGCATGTGACGCTTGACCCCAGGTGACTGGCCCACAAAGGCTGGGTGAACTTGCCAGGAGTGTGGACTCAGGGCCATGGAAAAACGGACTGCAGACCACGGAGCTGAGCCACTTCCCTCCTGACAGCTGTATGGATCCAAGTGGATTTCACCCAAAGAAACTGTGAGGCTGCTTTGCCGGGAATGCAGCTGACGAGCCCACACTGGCCTCAGCATCACCCACATTCCCCTTTGACTCTTGCTGCAAGTGTCCCAAAGCTGCGCCTACACACTCTTGACTTCCCAGACACATATTTAATTCCTGTATGGCAAGACAGAGTTTTTAGTTGTTGGCTTTTTAAAAAGCAAGACAAAATACTCCTCGTATTTCAAGTCTCGCAGATCAATCCCTCTACACCCACACATTTCTTAGGAAATGAGTCAGAAATACCTCTTTCACAGACTTTACCTCAAACTGATGAAACCTGGGGCTGTTCAAGTCTGAGCAAAGCTGATTTAGGTAGGATATCAGGAAAAATTTACTAGCCTTAAAAAGCGATTGAGCAATGCAATACATTCATCGTTAAAACTGTGGAATCTTTCCACCTTTGAGGGTTTAAGAAATGCATGCGGATCTATAGGGATTTGTGTCAAGCCAAACTACTAGGACCAGGACGGAAGAGGAGATGAACAAGAAAAGAAGCACATGTATTCTCATGCTTCCTCTCTCCTGTACCTCTTTTGACTGTCTGAAACACAATGTTTGCTTCTCCCCTCTTGCTAAGAGGCACAAATTACTTTTCCTATTTGGGGAGGGACACGTGAAGTTCTATTGTAGACAATATGGGAAAGGACGTGTAGTAGAAAAGGCTAAGTGCTCAGGCTTATAAGATTCCATAAGATTTTCCTGTATAGATTCCACAACTGAAGTCACTCTTGCAGGATACAAACAAATCAGACATTTTGGAAGGAAGTTCCAGTGGGCAGCCACTGAAGTTCTAACAATTAGGGTCGCAGGTGTTTCAAGTGGGCAGTTGAGGCTGTCTTAGTCCTCTGGCCTGGTATCTATAGAGGAAGCTGCTTTATACGGACTCCAATGTTGGTCCAGCTTGCTCAGGTATGCCTACACTATTCTCCATGAATCAGCCAGGGGCCTCCCTAGCCCAACCTGCAGATGCAGGAACTGAATTTGGCAGTTGAAGCAGGCACATCAGCTTATGGACAGAAGGCATGTGCTCCATACTCTGAGCTATGGCCCCTCCCAAAACACTTTCACAATAATGAACGAGGGGTGACACCTTCCATAAGTGCAAATAGATCATCTTAAATCAATTACATTAGTTCTGTATAATCAATTATGTTAGTTCTGTATAATTCATCACCACCCTGCAGAGCCCATGTTGGTTTGCACCTAAAATACCATGTAGAAGAAAGAAGAAAATATAATGTTTAAATAATATTTAGCCTGCATTCAGGTGAAATCATCCCAAGAAAATTAAGATGGGATATAAATGTAACAATAAACAAACTGCTTTACACCCCTGTTGTTAAAATTAGAATTCCTCTTTTTATTTTTTTACCTTGATCTTTGCCCCTGGACTCGGCCTGTTGGAGAAGCATCATCTATTCCTGGGCAAGGACTGCTGGAGTCATCCTTCAGTGCCTCAAACCTTCTCACTGACACTTGAAAAAAGAATGGGACAAAAGGTTGTTTAAAATACATTTTACTACAGCAGCAAATACTTTACTAAATGCAAGTGGTAGCCTCCCAGAGGCACTTCCTAGAGGGTCAACCTATGTTCTGCATCAGTGGTGGCGAACCCACGGCACGCGGGCCACAGCGAGCAAGAAGAGGCATCTCTGTCGGCATATGAGCCAAGTAGCCCAGGATTGCCCGGCAGCCGAGCACTGGATAACAGCGCACAGAGGAGCCATGCGCACGCGTGGAAAGGAGCAGCAGTACCAGGCAATGACGTCATGAGCCACAACCCATTAGCTGTGACTCACCCGAGCTTTCGTGTGGCAAATCAGTCAGATGCCAAGGATATAAATATTATTGGCTGAACTGGCTGTGAGTTGTTTTTCCTGAACTAATAGCTCAGCGTTCAGGTTTATTGCAGTGTTGGAACTTTGTGATAAATAAGTGAGTTTTGGGTCGCAGTTTGGGCACTCGGTCTCTAAAAGGATCACCATCACTGGGTTACGGTTGCTTAAACAAGGTCTCCTGGCATGATTTTGGTGGTTGGAATGTGCTTAGAATGGGCAGAAAACACGAGCAGTGCAGAAAAAGCTACTCAAAGAAGGCTTTTTCAAGATTGCATTATGTTCATATGGAACTTTCACCCCCTATTAGGGATAGGGGTGTGCACCAGGGTAGGGTTAGGATTAGAAAAACAAGAAGCCCAGGCATGATTTTGGTGGTTGGAATGTGTTTAGAATGGGCAGAAATGACGAGCTGTGCAGAAAACCTACTCAAGGAAGGCTTTTTCAAAATTGCACTCATTTCATATGGAACTTTCACCCCCTAACAGGGTTAGGGGTGTACACCAGGGTAGGGTTAGGATTAGAAAAACAAGAAGCCCAGGCATGATTTTGGTGGTTGGAATGTGTTTAGAATGGGCAGAAATGATGAGCTGTGCAGAAATAGCTACTCAAGGAGGGCTTTTTCAAAATTGCATTGTTTTCATAAGAAACTTTCAACCCCTAACAGGGTTAGGGGTGTACACCAGGGTAGGGTTAGGGTTGGAAATATAAGGTTTCCTGGTATTATTTTTGTGGTTGTAATGTGTTTAGAATGGGCATAAATGACGAGCTGTGCAGAAAATGCTACTCAAACAAGGCTTTTTCAAAATTGACCTCCTTTCCATGGAAATTCATCCCTCTATTATGGTTACAGGTGAGCACCAGGGTAGGGTTAGGAAAGTGGCAGTGAACCTATGGGATGTGTGGCACAGCAGGCACGCAGAGTTCCCTGTATCAGCACATGGCCCAAGTCACCCCAGTATTACCCGAGCATCGGATAACAGCGCACATAGGGGTCATGCACTTGCTTGGAAAGCTGGAGCAGCGTCAGCAGATGACTTCACGAGCCACGACTCATTTTCTGCCACTCATCCGAGCTTTCGCGTGGTTGGTCAATATATATATACATTTTTTTGCTTGGACTGACTGCGAGTTGTTTTTTCTAAACTAATGCCTCAGTTTTCAGGTTTTATTGTAGTGTTGTCACTTTGCGATAAATTGGTGTGTTCCGGATTGCAGTTTTGGCACTCGTTCTCTAAAAGTTTCGCCATCACTGTTCTAGAGGCATCTCCAAAACGTTTCTTGCACAAGTGGGAATTCTTACAGCAAAACATGTTGTCTCTAACGTCTGTTCTTCCTTCTCTGCATTTACTGTTCATGCTCAGAACAATAAGATGTGACAATCAGACTGGGTTCACCCTACATAATAAACCAAGAGTGGCTTGTTTTGTTGTCTGAATGCAGCAGTATGGCTTGTAGGCCACATACAAGGTGCTCTGGCTGGGTTCAGCCAACACAAGAAGCCATCCCAGCTTATAAACCACCCTGGTTGTGGGAACCCAGTCAGAATTGGTAGTTTGCATTCAGAACCAACTGCCCAGAGAGGTCTAGGGGTATTCTTGGGTTGAAAAGGGAACACACTAAAGAAAAAAGATGGTCACTGCTATGAATGCCAAGAAGTCAGTAAGTAAATATGGGCACTTCCAACCTGAATTTTAATGACATGTATGAGGATTAGCATGGAGCAAGCTATGAATACGGTGGAATATCAGATGGACAAGACGCATGTGAACCTCATGCTTCCAGTTATCATTCCAAATAGAACCTTTGCCTATCTCCTCTTCTGAAGAAATGCATGGGGTGGCTCCTTGTTGGAGCTTTGTCTAGGCAGAGGTCAAAAAATATGTTCTTTCAGACAGTCTTACAGTCTGGAGCTCAGCCTTCAAGACAGGCCTGCTTTTCATTCTTCTCAGCCTCTTTTTATTTTTCCTTGGGTCTTCTCTGTCTTTCAGTTGCTTACTTTCTGGTGCAGCCTAGCTGGACTGTTTCCCATAAAATGCTGTTGTGGAAGAACCAACTAACAACTAGCAACTCTTTCAAATGTCTTCTTCCTTCTTCATTCATGACTCTCTGAATGTGTGTCCAACGAACCCATTACTGATCAGCAATAAATACAAAAAATGTTGCCAGCAGGAAGATGATGAAGTCAATAGCACTGCAGCATCATTTTTAGGAAGGTCACAGCGCACCACTGCTGTACAGTATGTGTTAAACATGTTATCTCCCCACATTTTAAAATAAAACAAAAATTCAAACAGTTCTGACCTTGTTTGAAATCTGCCTCCGAAGAAACGAAAGAAGGGCTTTCACTGTCTGTGCTGTATATGTCATTGTGGTAAGATTTATATCTTTGAACATGCTCTGAAAGAGATTTAAGAAAACAAAAGAATATTCCACACTCAACCAGAATTCAATAATGCAATATGCCACGTGATTATCATTTCAGCATGTTCTCAAATCATGGAAACATGCCATCCAGTTGGTTAGAGCCAATGTGATGGAACTAATTTTCACTTGAGTTCCAATAATTTCAATGGGTCTATTTGGAGTAGAAGTAACACTGGATTCTGCCCCTTGATCTGTTTTTCTGGAATGTCTGAACACAGGATACTGGTGTGAATGGCTCTTTAAAATATGACGCTTAATCCTACAGTCCTCTTGGCTGGGCCACATTACCTGGACAGAACAAACAGGATTCGGACTGGGCACGTCAGACAGTCAACCTGCTCAGATTATTATTAATAAAGGATAAGTCAGATGCAAACAACCTAGATATTAACTATAGAAATGAAAAAAATCTCTTGGGATACTGCTTCTTTTTCCATGCTTAAATCTTTCTGATCCTCTCCCCAAACCAAGATTCAACATTACATTTTGCCATTCCTATCCAAAGTAATGGGTACTTTTAGCCTTGGTTGAGAAACCAAAGTTAAAATATGGTTTCTTAACTAGAATTTAGGGGATTGCTTTAGCATGGTGTTCAGTGATCAGACCCATTATTGCAGAGCCATAATTGAGAATGGAACCAAGAAGGTTAAGAGAAGGAAAAAGGAAAAAAAGCTGAGAACATCAAATGTATGGGAAGCACACAATTCTTCAGCCTGTTCCTGACCACCACATTCTGGTCTGCATTTGGCTAGTGTTACATCTGCATAGACTCTAGCTGTAATTAATTATAATTGATTTATTGACTAAATAGTTGATGCATGAATTCAGAAAACCATTTGCTAAAAGGCTTGGTGTGGACTTTAGCCATTTCTGGAAAAAAATGTGATCAGAAAAGCATAGCTTGTCAACATATGTTTGAAATAAATTTCTTCTTCACCTATGTCTACTATTCTCTGTGCTTTCAGTTTACAACAAAAAGTGGTCCCCCAGTCAGGATGAGGAAAAGAGTATGCAGAGAAGGAGAGGAACTGGATTTAAGTAGAACGAACTGTACATATCAGGACACAATAATCTTGCACATAAAAAACCATGCACACACAGCAAGAGGGCGAAAGGGAGAATAAAATGAAAATGTAAACAAAACACAATGAAGGCTAATTGTTCAGAAAATGTGCTGAAATGGTTATTGCAGTACACACATACAGAAGCCTGGATAGTCTTCTGTAAAAAAAAGGTATTAGTAGAATCAACTAGGGATGTGCAGTGCTGAAAAATCCATTTTGTTTGAGCCCAATGTCTTTCTGCAGCACTTCTGATTCAGTGACCGGAAACAGATGATGCCAGGCTTCCAGACGTGTATGCAAAATAATCATATTTGATATCTGTAGCACCTTTTGTGCAAATAGGGCCTAAATCATTGGATTTATAAAAATGGCTCCGCACCATTTTTAATATGTTCTTGCATTCGGAAGTCCACTCTATAAGCCCAGGCCCAGCATACTGCCTTGGTAAATATCCTTGTCATTTTTGCCCCCTCAGTACTTTGAAGCTGGCTAACCACATTCCCTACTTTACACAGAATTCATCACTGTCAATTCTGTCTGCTTCAACATCAGCACTAAGGTTTTTCACTAAAGGTACCTGATTACTGTACATCAAATAAACACCCTTAATTATTATTTTCAGTTCCCACGATTCATGGAAATGGAGTGAACATTTTGATTTTCTTCTGCCCAATAATTCTTTCCACCAATATGTGTGAGTTTATTGATTTTTTAAAAGCTGAAGGATTGTCTCATTCTATATACACCTGCCAGAATCTATGCAATCTTTCCATGGGAGCCCCTGCCAAACGAAGTAAGGTGTATAGTTTAGTAAAAAGAGGGTCTTTTCTGCTGTGGCACACTGGTTGTGGGATCAATTTACCCTGGGAGGCTTACCTTGCACCTTGTACCCTTTGCAGGACTTGGGGACCTTATTTCCCCAAGAATTTTAGTTTTAAATCCTTTAAAATATTTTAAACCTTTGTACTACTGTTAGGCTTTACTTTGGGTTTTACTCCAAAAGTTTATACTGTAGTTTTCAACTTTTAACTTTTCATAGCAAATCTTGTGCTGTATGTTATAGTTTTTATCGTTCTGAAACACCTAGAGAGCAAAAAATGTAACAAACAAATACATTAATAAAGCTAAAATTTGTACTGCCCAAAATTCACACAAATTTCAGGATCTGAAAATTGCACAAATTTCTTGACCTTTAAAACAAATAAAAGCAAGCAAACTCACACATGATGCTAGCTTGAAGAATAAACCAATGTTGTGTGTGGAGGGGGGGGCAGGGGGTAGACTAAAAATGACCTCATTTGCACAAATCATGGCAAAGGGATATAATAACTGAAAATAATGTAAAATATCTTTTTAGTTCAAGAAGTCAGTACTTGACTAAAGTGTACAAAATTAAGTCTGGTGCTGGATAGAAAATAATGCTAGAAATCAATGGGGTCATCCAATGAAGTTGAACGGTACATGATTCAAGAACCAAAAATTTAGGATTTGCAGAGGTCATTCTTAAATTAGGGAATTCACCTTCTCTGGATGAGGCGGCGACAGTCTCTAATCCAGTTGGAAAATTTCATAAAGATTATGGCTACTGGGGACTACTTGTTACCACCAGGATCAGAGGCAGTGTGAACATGTGTTGCAGGGGACAAATGCCTCCCCCTTCCCTTTGTGAATTTCCCAGAGACATCCTGCTGGCCACTATGGGAAACTGGATATTGGACTAGATAGAACTTTGGTCTGGTTTAATAGAGTTGTTCTTATCTTCAGTTGGATTGTGACGATCCAGCTTTCATTGTCATAGCAATAAGGTTGTTGTATGGCAACAAAGAATTAATAACCATTTTATTGAACATGGCACTGTGTGCACCAACGCCTTCCTGCTAAATTTATCCTGCAGTTCACAGCACGGGTGGAACTTTGTAACATTTAGAATGTTTCAACCTTTCCATGGCTAGATAGGTCCAACCTGAATTAGAATTTCTTAGGATCGTGCCATTTCTTAGCACCACTGCCAAGCATTTGGGGTTGTATCTCATGGGGGCTTTGCACTAGCACAAAGTATTCATATGAGTACAATGTAGGGCATCTGATTTTCACCAATCTTTCCTAACTGTTGCAGCCTTCTCCACTGTATCTGGGACTCAAGAGATCTGGGTTCTAGTTTCTGGTCAGCTATGAGGCTCACTGGGTGACTTTGGGCCAGTCATGGACTCACAGCCTACTCTCACAGGGTTGTTGTTGTGAGGAGAAAATAGAGAGAAGAGGACCTTTAAGCTGCCTTGAGATTTTGCAAAAGAAAGAAAGGCACAGGATAAATGCGATGTAGCAGTAATATCCCATACTGTTCCAGATGGCTCCCCAACTTTAGCTTTTCAAGGTGAGACCTCTTCAGGCTGCAGAAAGGCAGTGAATGGGTGGCATCTGCAAAAATTAGGTGCCCCAACCTGAGTGAGCAGCAGTGCTTCCTGCCAGGTTAAAAGCATTATTGGATGCAACCATCTGGCTCTAAACTAAATCCTGAAACAAAGAGCCGCAACTTCAGAAGGGCCAGTACAAACTTCCATATTTTGCACATTCACGCTAAAATTTCCCAGTCAATGTGCTTCCAAGTTGCAATGTCTAATTTACAGCACAAGAGCCTAATAGTCACATTACCAGCAACAGAACTGTTTGCTTCTCCCTCTCCCAAATGACAGAGAATGCAAATATTTAAAATGTGGGTGGAGGGACCAGAGGGTACTTCAGCCTGTGCATTTGCAATGGGCTACAGCTCAAGCAGTTACAGCAGAAATGTATTTCTTGCTATATAGATGCTATCATTGCAATACTGCCAGCTTTATCACGGACCACTTTTATAAGGAAAAAGGACAATTACAGGTGAGGACTGAGCATCACAAACACTGCGTGAAAGACAAGGGAGTGGCAAGAATGCGGCAAGGATGCCCACTTTCAGTGTGCCACTTTGTCAAATTTTGAATTTAAAAGCCACAATTCTTAGCATGTCCGAGATGACCAAACTGGCTGCAGTGGTGCAGAGAAGGCGGGCAAAGCTCAGTATTGTCCTCACTCTTGGAACATCAGTCTGTTTAGATACTCTGGGAGACAGACTGACACTCACGAAGACAACTGGTGGCTCATACCGACCAATTAACACCAAACTTCAAGGAAGTAGCAAAACCTGGTCTATTTACAACAAGGACTGTTAGGCCAGGAGGGCTACAAAGTGTCAGAGCATGTATTGCAGACACTCTGTGCAGATTTCACACAACAAACACATGAGGCCATCGAGAAGCGATGAAAAATTTAACACTACAGTAGCCCTGAGTGATCCAGGGCGGCTGACCCTGTAATTCCTAAGCACCCTCCCCCTCTTCATACAGCTATGTCAGTTTGGTGGTTCAGCAGGGAAATAAGGTCAATCGAACAGGAAGGATGAATCCAATAGCTTGAGGTAGCTGATCCTGCTTAATCTTGAAAGCTAAGCAGGGTTGGACTGGGTTGCACTCTGGATGGGTGACTTGAGTCCTGCACTGAGCAGGTGGCTGGACTTGATGGCCTTCAAGGCCTCTTCCAACTGTGTAATTCCATGGAATGAGGATCTACTCTGCAGCAATAAAAGCAGCTAAGCAAGCATTAATCTCCACCATCACTGGATCCACACAGAATAGACCAGAGATGTTTTTCACACTAGGCTTGGTCTTCTTTGCCAGAATACTTTGCAAAGAGAGTTTCATGCTCAGCACTTGTGTGGACAGGCAGAATAGGGCTTTTGTCCCAAGGAATCAGAGGGATATGAGCCATCTTATTTTATGGTACAATTTGCAAAAGGGTCAGATATAATCTCCACAACCTCTGGACAGTTCTAACTGCAAACCACTCAGACAGCCTGTGTGCTATAGGGGTGGTATATAGAAGGAAGGAAGGACGGAAGGAAGGAAGGACAGAAGGAATAATATGCACATAAAAGTTAAGAGGCTGAAGTATAAATTCAGGAGTTCCCAGTTCAAATGCTGTTGTTGCCAGGATCTCACTAAGTGACTTTGGGCAAATCACTCTCTCAGTCTCAGTATCTCCCATCTGCAACATGGGCATAATTACTGTGACCTGCCCTAAGCGCCTCACCCATGATCTAAAACAAGAGTGCAGAACAGTAGACCTGGGGCTTCTTAAATGGCCACATCTTGTCTCCCAGATCCTGACTACCAACTGCTTGTTGGTTTCCCATTTTGTGCAGCTTTCCCCCACAGTTCATAAAGAATGAAATGCCTCTTTCCAGGCTTCATTACTGGCAATAAAGGACTGAAACTAAAGTACATCAGTATTTTGCTCCTGCCCCCACTGGAATGCAGTCTCCAAAAGCATCTTTGAAGTGAAATTTCTTCATCTGGTTGAAAGAGTTTTTGTAACCCTGATCTAAACTGGCAGAACTAACTTTCTAACTAGCTTTAGTATAAAGTTAATGAGTCAAGAGGTACACGGAGGTCACAGAGGAAAAGGGTTGCCTCTTGCACCATCAGGTGAGCGGAGACACTTGCCAGAGTCTTACATCGGGAGTGAGAGATTTGAACTTGATATATAAATCTGAATGAATCTGACACAGGTGAGAGATACACAAATACTGGACAGTGGAAGTCTCAAATCTGCTTGCAGAGCACACAAAATCACAGAACAGCAGAGTTGGAAGGGGCCAGAAGGCCATCACATGAATGTCAGGGATGGAAAAATTCTGGCGTTCCACATGCTGTTAGACTGCAACTCCAATAATGAGGTAGCCAATATTGAGGGACAATGGGAGTTGTAGTCTGACAACAGGTTATTTATCCGTGATACAGTCTCTATGAATTTATTTGAGATTTGCACCATTTCATAGAACAATAGAGTTGGAAGGGGCCAATAAGGCCATCGGGTCCAACCAGTTCACACCATCCCACTCAGATGGCTGTCTAGTTTCACTTTGAATATCTCTAGAGTGGGAGAGCCCACCACCTCTCTAGGCAGCTGGTTCCACTGTTGTCTTGCTCTGACACTGAGGAAGCTTTTCTTGATATACAGCCTGAATATGGGTTGTCGCAACTTGAATTGATTATTCCGTGTCCTGCACTCTGGTATCAGCAAGAAGAGATATTTACCTTCCTCTTTGTGACAGCCTTTGAGGTACTTCTAGAGGGATACCATGTCCCCGCTCCGTCTTCTCAAGGCTGAACATGCCCAGTTCTCTCAGTCTCTCCTCGTAGGGCAGTGTTTCCAAACCCTGGATCATTTTTGTTACCCTCCTTTGGACTCTGTCTAATTGTTCTGCATCTTTCTTGAATTTGGTGCCCAGAACTAGACAACTGGACCACCTAATTACTCAAGTGTAATTATTTTTGTTTATTTCTCACCTGTGTCAAATTCATTCTGACTTAAAGATCAAGTTCTCAGACTGGCTGTGTCAACCTTTCCTTTAAACCAAGGTACTGTGCATACTAGGCTACACCAGAAGCAAGTAAACTAACATAAAAGACTTCATTTAAAAAACAACAACAGGCAAAACATACAACGCAGACACCATTGCTGGCTAAGCAGATTGCTGTGCACGGGGGACTTACAGATGGCACACAACAAGCAGGAAGCTTCACTGACCTTCTACATTCATGGCTTCCCTCAGCAACTGCAACTTCTTCTGCCTCTCTTTGATCCGGTCAAAGGCACTTGATAAGGCTGCAGACATGGATGTTTCGGGCACATGACGCACCTGATCTAGTTTTTGAGGGCCAAATATATCCAGGGCTATGCTCCCGTCAGAGTATCTACCCTCCTTGTTTCTGATAGCTGCTGAAGTCCGTACCGACACTGTCCCCGCATGCTGATGTTGCCTCCAAGAATCCCCAACACAGTCTCTCTCCGTTACTTTGTCAGTTGGGCATAGCAAATCCGAGGAAGAGGCCCAAACCTTCCGTTTGGGGCCATCATCAGCTTTCCTTTCCAAGTCAGCCGCTCGGCATCGGTATGGGCAGCAACTGCCTGCATCATCATTGCGGCCCGAGTTGTAATAGGAGGAAATGGCCTGGCCATGTTCTTCTTCGCCTTTCAACCCTCTGATAGACAGGAACCCCATAGACTTACTAAGCCCTTTGTTAAGCATGGCCTGCTGCGAGAACGGGGCTGTATGCACATCTGGAGCATCAGACATTAAACTTCTTCCTGCAATGAGAAGAATCCTTCTTGGATACGTATTGCTTTACAGACAACAGATTGGGTTTTTTGAAATGCAAAGCATACAAAAACAAATATTTAAGGTGTCTGCCAAAATTCTGAAAGGGCAACAAATTTAGTCTGCACCCTAATTCTTGAGCAGACCCCTTAACTTTCTTCCAAATAAAACATGTATTTGGTATTAGTAAGATGAAACAGAATGTGCCCTTGGAAAGCAGTAAGGTCCTGCCCATAGCTGCCCTCCATCGTTAGTTCACCATCAAGGATCATGTAGGGTTTCATGTGCCAAGTGGGTCTCCACCCACTTGCAGATAGCGCCTTGCAAGGACTGCAACGCTGCAGTCAATGCCAGAATTTTGAGGACCTCTAGGCAAGCCAGTATGACCGGGCCCCTTGCTCAGGGGGTCTGCCTCCTTGCCACCACCATCATCAGCTGCTTTGCCTCCTCATGCTCTTTCCCATCATTGACACCTCCTGCGAAGGGCAGACAGCTACTGCATACGTAGGCCATGGCGTCTCCTGCTCTCCACCATCAGTACCTGGGCCAGAATGAGAGGCAGGTGACCAAGCAGACGGCCACAGAGAAGAGGAGCAAGTCCACTGGGCTCACATCAAAGGGCTGGGCTGTTGGGTCTTGACAGGCACTCAACCATGCCTACTCTTCGTTCCAGCCCTGTTGTGGTACACACAAACTCACCTTCTGCCATAATGATGAGCATATTTCTTGGACTGATCAATAGGATTAGTTGTAATAATCCAAACCACTGTGGTGGAGTGGTTAGAGTGCTGAACTGGGACTTGGGAGATCCAGGTTCTAGTCCCCACTCAGTCATGAAGTTCACTGGTTGTCTCTGGGCCTGTCACTGCTTCTCAGCCTAACTTACCTCTCAGGGCTGTTGTTGTGGGGATTAAATGGAAGGCAAGAGAACTTGTAAACTACTTTGGGTAACTAGCAAGAAGGAAAAAGTGGGATATAAATGTAATTTTAAAAATTCAGAACAATGGAAGTGTACAATATATGTTGCCAGAAAGAACTACACTACCACACTGCATCTCCTTAGCCAGTATACCTAAAATGAAATTAACTTTTCCCTCATATTTACTTATTTACAAGAAGTGTAATGTTCAATTTAATCTGCTTTACAAATACACAGAAAGATAGCATCCATTTCAGAGAGCAATCCATAGAAACCTTCTACTGCCGTCCCTTTGGTCTTGTTTTCTTGGGACTAAATGTGGTAATTTCTTCATAAACTCCTGCCTGGGCCCTTCACAAAGTGACCAAATAGGTCAGACTGAGGGAAGGATACTTTAAAAATCCAGTTAAGCAATACCACAAGCCATCTGACATTCTTGAATTTCATTCCAACCCAACCTCCTGAACATTTGCCATGGCTTGCTGAGATGGAAACTTCGATGGAAGTTGGTATAAGCAGGAAAATAGATCTCGTATCCAGACGGAAACAAAACGCAAGGGTCAAAGCATGCATTAAAGGGCAGAATTCAATTTAGTCCAAGGGATAAATATAGCCTTTATCCACTAACTGTCAAACATAAAGTACATCAACCGTGTACATACTTACATAACACCTAATCAATTGTCATCACAATACAACAAGGAATGGCCTCCCAGCTTCTCCCACTTTCAAAGTCATTCCATTGAAGCCAATGGAATTGTACTTGAAGATCTTTGCTCTTTGTTTTCTGGTGCTCCCAGCATATTTACTTCTTTGAGTCATGAATATAAATTTTCTCTATACCAATTTCCTTTCCTTTCCTACTTTTTCTCTTCTTTTCAAAAGCATCTTCTTCATCTATCATTTCCATGCATTTGTTCTCATCCAGTTTCTGTTATTTAATTTGAAGAGGTCTGTGACTGTATTTAAAAAGCCCAATTTATATTTTAAAAATTTCTTCTAAATGCCAACTGATTATTTACTCTTTTGCCCTTGCACATCTTACTGCTAAGTCACTTTAAATTTCTAAATCTGCCTTTCCTCTGCCACCTTCACAACAATGACTTCCTCACTTTTTAAAAGTAATTTGCAAATTATCTTCCCTTAACAAAACATCAATGCCTTTATTATGCTCTTTGAGCAACTGCTTTTATTAATTAGCCTGTCCCTTTGTCATTCTCCTTTTTGTCTTGGTTTCAGGAGTTTTAGTCTGACTAGGTTTACTTCTGTTTTGTTCAAAGAGAGGTTTTCCAGATGCTGTTTATCAATTGACTATAAGAATAAGCTTCTGGCCATCACCACCCAGGACATTACAGTTTAGCAGCATTTAAAGCCTCACAACATTGCTATCCCAGCCAATGAGACCATAGCTTAGTGTTCACTCTAGGGCTTGCTCTCTCGCTCTCTCTCGTTCCTGAACAAATATTTAGAAGGCAGTGTGGTATAGTGGTTAGGAGTGCAGGAGTGGGACTCCGGAGATGTGGGTTCCAGTCCCTACTTGGCCATGGAGCCAACTGAGTGATAGATTCTCAGCCCAACCTACCTCACATGGTAGGTTGCCATTCGTACTATTCATAACGGTGGAACCAGTTGCCTAGAGAGGATGTGGGTTCTCTCGCATTCAGGATGAAACCAGACAGTCATTTGAGTGGGATGGTGTAAGTAGGGTCCTGCCCCCTTCCAACTCTATGTTTCAATAGGGTTGTTGTTGTGGGGATAAGATGGAGCAGGAGGCAGAGAATTCTATGAGCCACTGAGTTCATAAGGAAAAAGTGGAATAGAAATCTAAAAAAATAAATAATACATAAACGTACATATTTCAACATGACTAATTTCCATGGGCTTCTACTTCTTAAATCTTTTATTGCTCTCCTTGACATTATTCCAATTTCTTCCATATTATGGCTAAACATTACAAAAAATGTGCATCATGTGATCCATGATGCTAAATGTGTTTTTAAGCTGCTCCAGTGAGCTCAGTGTGGGAGTGCCCAGAAGAATTAAACATACTGGATTCCGTCTGGAGCATGCCCACCTGCTGAATAAACTTTCTGTATTCTCCCTTCCTTCTCTTGCCACTTTAGGCACACACACAGATACCTATCAAGGCAAATACTGCCTGGGATTCTTCATAACCACAGTTGGTAAATTGACTGCAACTCAAAGAATAAAACCCTGAGTGAAACAACATCAACCACTCAGGTTTTGTTGTTGCCTGCTGATTTTGCAAACAATGATTTTACATCTGCTACAACTCAAAGGTACAATCCTATGCTTAATTATGTACAGCTGGCTGGGATAAGCTAGGAGTTGTCGGGCTTTTCTCTGTCTAAAACACACAAGATTGTACTCTAAACTTGTTCAATGGACCGGTTGAGTTGGAGATGCCAGCTCAGCAAGGAACTGTCTTAGAAGATGATACTACTGTATATCCTTTAAAAAGCCCAGCTTGGTCACTGCTGTGTAAGCCAACATAGGAGTGATCTTCTAGATAAAAAAATAATGACTCTTTGGAAGACTGGGGCAGGCCAAGTCTGAGACTGTAACGATGCCTGGGGGAGGGCAGAATTCCCCACTACAGCAAGGAAGTGGTTGTTCACTGAAGGATACTGACACTTCTTCCAGGCCCAAAGGAGAATGGAGTTATATTGTAATTCTCCATTCTGCCTGTTTATGCAGTAGCAGGCTTCACTGCATTCAATGAAACCTACCCCCAAGTACGGGTCCACAGAACGGCAACTCTGGAGGGGAGGGGAGATGACAAAAATGAGCAGGTTTTCTGATTCCTTTTGGTGGGAGGAGGGGAAATTGCAATGCCAGGATGGCCAAGACCAGGCATGTGTTTAAAGGAAGAATGTGAGGCCTAAGCTATGTCCTACAGTAAATCCATAACATGTAGGTGATGTCAACATTTTATTTATTCCAGTGTAAGCACATGGGGGCTTGTTTCCCCACTGCATGGGGTGCAGGGAAGCTTAAACTTTCCCACCACTCTTTTTTCTGTAAATTCACCACTCCCCCAAAAAACACATACATGCGCTCTCATACATACGCACACTCATTCACACACCTAGTCTTGTGTAGAGGCTAAAAGAAAAAAAAATCTCCATTGCTGCTAATACAACCTTTTTTTCCCTTTGGCTGCCACATGGCTGAGGGATTTAAAGGAAAAAAAATTGGCGAGGTAAGGATTCATCCCGTTGACCATGTGCATGGTAAGGACTGGGGCCTCACAGGTTTGCACTGGAATAGATAAAAACACCAAGATCTCCTACAAGATGTGCATTTAACAGTGCGCAGGGCTTAGCTCCCTGTAACAGAAAATTAGTGGGTGGCGGGGGAACGAAGGAGATGAATGGGATTGCAAAAGACAGCAGTGATTGGAGTTGGAACAGTCCAGTAATTTTTCCTCCCTTTCCTTTCCATTTCATTACTTTTCTTCCACAATTTGTTGTGGATCTCCACTTGTTCAGAATAAGTTTGTTTCAGTTCAGAGGCTTCTGTTCTGGAGGGATTTATTTACAGAGTTCCTCATAATACTTCCACTACGAAACAAAGAAATTAAATTATTAAGTGGCATTTGCATTATTGTGCTACTTTAATAGTGACACCGAACCACAAATTTTGTAATTTAGATACGTGGGCACCTTGTAATGAATGCATTATAAATAATGAGATAAATATTTTAGCATGGCTTCATTTGGAAGAAAAAGGGAGCATATATTTTTGTACTAAATACTAGTCCCAGAAATTTGCAGTAAGCAAATAAAACACACAGCATCCTACGGTTTCAGACTTTGAAACAGGCAAATATATCCTGCTTTTATTGCATATTCAGTAAGCACTTAAAAAGCAGGCATTAACCTTATGGGTTTAGTTTTAGGCCAATCAATGTTGGGAGCTGGGTTTCCTCTTATCCATGTCAAACAATATTCTCTTTGTAAAAGTGCTCTTTATTTCCAATTCACAGCTAACAAACTATGTCCAGAAGAAGGTGAGTCTCTGCATGAACAAAGTGATGGCTGAATGCAAACTAGAAACTATTTCCAAAAGCTCTCCTTTCTTTAGCCCTGGTCTTCATGCCTCTGGGTGCACCTCTCTGGAGAAGGGCTGGTCTCCTAGATCTATGGTGGCCCTCTAACTGGGTAGCCCATATAGCTCAACGCCACATCATCGGTTCAGGAACTGGACTGGGCTTGTCCTCTCACTCTTCCCTTCTCTTCCCTTCAAAACCCTGTCTGTTTCCATGATCTGCGGAACACCTGCATACAGAGGCTTTGGGACAGCCTCATTCTCTTCCACCATCTCATTTCCCATCCCTTCCAGTTCCCATCTGAAGAGATGGTGCCACACCCCAACCCTAGAAAGTGCACCAAGAATAACCGCATCTTTCATTCCCAACAAGAAGAGGACACTGAATGAAAGGAGGTCTCCGTAGGGTACTAATTAGGGTAACCTAGCCTGTGGATCGCTTCAGGACAGAGCACTCCTACTGCTGCAAGTGGAAGTACACCATGTACTTACTCGATCTTTCCCACCTTAACTTTTGTTTTTGGAGTTCAAAACAAGTAAGGAAGAAGTGGTGGGAACTGGGAAAACATGGGAGGTTTACAAATGGAAGACAATGCCATCTGGACACCGCCATAAAACTCCTGAATGAGAGAGAGCAATTGGAGAGTAAAAGCTTTGCCTGGAAACACTTCCTTGGTTATTTAATTCCAATTTTTGCAAACCAGAAAGCCAAATTGTGCACTGTGTAAATCCTGTCTAGCTTTCAGCTTGTGATCCTTGGCACACAGTATTTACCACAGAGAAATCTCCAGGAGGTAAGTACTGTGGGTACATGTATGTCTTTCTCCCATCCCATCACTATCACAGAGAGAAAAATAGTAGTGATTCCAGGCTGAAATACACCTGGGCATGAGCTAATGAGGAAAATACCCAATCTTGCTAGAAAAAAGAGTGTACGTGCATGAGTGTAATTTTGTATGTGCCTATGAAAATCTAATGCTTTTACTACACTGAGTGTCAAAGCAATTGCATGAAATTTCTTTCTCTCCTCCCTCCCTCCCTTTCATTTTACAACTATCTCCCACTTTTCCTTCAAGAAGCACAAGGCAGAATGCATGATCCTGCTCCCTATTTTAGCATCACAACAACCCTGTGAGGTAGGGTAGACTCAGAGTCAGTGAGTAACCCCAAGTCCCCCAGTGAGCTTCATGGCTGAGTGGGGACTAGAACTAGGAATTCCCAAATCCTAGGCCAAAACTCTAACCACCACCCTACAGTGATGAAACCAGTCAAAGTGCATGTTTAACATAAGCAACTCTCCCTTCATCTCTATGTTGTGCTTGGAGAGGGGGGGCATTCAACCCTTTTCCACCCACACTGCAGTCCAAATGAATATCACCCCCACCCCCACCCCTGTCAAGCAAGGAAGCTGCACTGCTGCAATGGAGCACCCCCTCTTGGGATAACAGCGTCTTGCTGGTGGCACAGTGCGTGTGTAAGGGGGTGAAGGCACAGATAGAGGTTTTCATCGGGATTACAGAATGAGAAAGCAGGGAGAAACCAGACCAGCGAACAGGTGCTGTGAATTCCTTGCCTCATCCCTACAGTAAAGATGCTTACATGCTCTTTTATGGAAGTTAACTGAAACAGCACAACCTTATCTCCCTTCCTTGTCTCCCACGGAAGGAAGCTTTTATATACGGACAGCTTCTGAAGCAGAGGGCAAAAGAAACTTTATAAAATCCACGGCAACAGGCACTCATTTGGCTTTCCATTTGGATCCACCATGTGCAAGGCATCCAAGTTACTGGTGCTCAAGAAACCAGATTTGTCACATCAAGAAGTCATCTGTGACAAAAGCACCATCAGCAAGTTTTTCCTTGGCTTTTTGGTTGACAGTCTGCATCCATATTTCATCCCTGTATATCTTCAATAAACTATATATCATCTTTGATAAGGCTTTTTTCCCATCCTACAGTCCCCATCCCTCACCATGGGCTTTTCTGAATTTTGTTGTATTTCAGTCTGGAATTGAAATGGATTGAATTGGCGCATGCAATTGGCACTGGTGCCCCTTGATATACATAAGATACTCAACATGGCAAAGATGCAAGGTATGTGTACTGTGACACAAAAGGCAGGTAAATAAACACCAACTGGCACCTGTTGGTTGCATAAGTATGCATTGCTGCACGAGCCGCTGTGACATGCCTAGATAAACTTATGTCCTCCACTGCCTCCAGAAGTCGCATACTGTACAGTAAGAAGCTGAATGGAGTCCACTTGTGTGCAATTCCAGGGCCACTTAATACCAGTGCTGGAGAGCATCTCTAAGCAAACAGCAACATGAAGACCAAACAGCTATCAAAACAACGCTGGGATAAAGTTACACAGAAGTACTAATCTGGGTTGTTATCAGAAATATCCCAAAACACATATGAACATCCCCAAAGCACAAGTAAATCCATTATTAGAAAATGAACAGAGTATGGCTCAGTTGTGATTCTGCTTAGAGAAGTTTGTCCTCCAAAACTCAGGGACCAGGTAAGAGGACGTGAGCCAGAGAAGCAGCAGCTAGGGAGATCCTTAGCTAAGATGAGAGACACCGTCAATGGGGCAACTATCACCTGGATGCTCCACAAAGCCGTGAGACTTTGGAGCCTGTAAAATGTGAGAAATACAGCAAACAGCCGATGTAGGACAAGGTTCTTTGGCCTGATGAGGCCAAAGCTGAACCTTTTCATCCTTGCTGCAGAGCACTCCATGCAGCACCAAGCCAGCAATGCTCATTGCTCTGAGAACACCATTCCACAGTGAATATGCTGCTGGAAGAATCCTGTGGGGAGACCTTTCCTTGGAAGCAAGTGCCAAACTGTTCAGCATGGAGGGCAAATTGATGGAAGCAAGCACAGGGCAATTCTAGAGGAAATCCTGTTTCCACCTGCAAGGGACCTGGAACTGGTTTCAGAACAAGAACCTGAACGCTTTTAAAAGCCCAGTCAAAGCCCAGACTTCAATCCCATTAAGAATCCGAGGCAAGACTTGAAAGCCGGTGTTCACCAATGGACCCCCTCCAACCTGACAGAGCTGGAGCAGTTTTGCCAGCAAGAATGGGCAAACAGCACAGGATCCAGATGTGTAAAAGGGATAGAAACATTCTGAGGAAAACTTGCAGCTGTGATTGCTGCCAAAGGTGCTTCTACCAAATATTGACTCAGGGGGATGAATACTTGCGCAATCAACAAGTACCAGTTTGTTTTTGTGTCAGGCAATGAAGTGAGCAACCTGTTTTCTGAAGCAAAACCAGTCAGACTGATCGTAACATCAGAAGGCTCTTACCCAAATCACATTATTTATCTAGAAGCAGAAGATTAAAAAGCAGTCGAGATTTCCACAACAGGAGCCTCCCTTCATTTGTAAAACACTAACCTGTGGGAAGTCCTCTCCCTCTCAGCCTCTCCCGGATGGCTTGGCTCCTGTCAGTCTGAAACTTTTTGTCCCCAGTGCAGGAAAGCTGATCTACCTATTAAAAATATGAAATGAAATAAAAGGCAGCTGAAGCAGAACTGGAAGTGGGGGGAGGGAGAAATGATGCCAGCAAGTACTGCATCAAAAGTGAGGATAGTTCAAAAAATTACACACACCTTCTTTTGCCAAACCACAAAGATCTTAAAAAAAATGATTAAGGCATATCTGTCATTGAACCATTAAATTTTTCTACACTGAAAGAACGTGGGCTTAAGTTGGATTGCCTGCCTCTGCAACTGTTGTTTGGTTATGTTGTAGGTATCGTTGGCTGGGCTCCTTTCAGTAATATTTGGCTTGGCTTGTAGTCTTTGTTGAGGGTACTGATACTGAACAATAACTGTCACAGCCATTTTTGCACACGCTAAAAAGCTAAAATGATAAAAGCTAAAATGAAACCAAGCAAAGCAATTTCTATCTGGCTTCATTTATTTAGCCGCAAGTTCTCATACATATATGTAATCTTCATAAGTTGCTTCCAATGAAATGATGAGCATTTCTAGCTGATATGCAAACAGAAGCTTTCTGAAGGAAATAAAAAATTCTAAATAACTATACTTCTAGATAATTTGGTCTGCTGTTATCCCAAAGAAACCCCATTTTAGCACTATGGGTACTTAGCCTATTTCATTAAAGTTATACTGTGACCGCTCCAGCCAGCCTAAAATCAGAAAGAAAAATTGAGTATTTCCTGCATTAAATGTGAAGTGACTTTGAATTGTTTATAAGGGTTAGGACTGATGGATTTCGTTGAATCCAGTTCCATTTCTGGGCCTTTCATTCTCTCATAAACTCACTAGTTGAAAAGGCCTTTTCACAATTTCCTGAACTTGTGTTTCTTCTGGAAAGTGTACACTCAAGTAAATGTGCACTTTTGAAAAGGAGCAGATTGTACCCAAATACACATTTTTTATGCTTTAGCCTATGGGTGGGCGGGGAGGGGGGGGAATGTGCATTTTCACAGGTGTTTTTCTTATATTTCTTACATTTTAAAAATAAATCGGTCAACAATTCCAGAAAGTTTACTAAACAGCAGTCCACAGGTCCTTGGAATATATGCCACTCAGAAAAAGCTGGTCCACTGTGGAGTTTGTGGTAAGCTTCATAAAAACACAACCAATGACTATGTAGTGGATTTCTCCAGCATCCTAGCAGACACCCAGACATGCGTCCAAGGAATTGCAGAGGCCTGTCTGGTGGCACCTGCCAGCAGTTACCTGTTTGGTCAGCATGTGAAATGGGCCTTGGTTTGTAGAACACCCTTTCCATGAGCTCAGTTTTGAGTTGCCATTAAGCATCTCCTGCCCTGAGCCAGGGACTGGCCCCAGTGGCCTTCTGGCCCCTTCCAGCTCTACAATTGTGTGATTCGATGTACCTCCCATGTCCCTGGTGGTAGCATAGCCAATTATCAGCCAATGTCACCAATCCCAAGCAAAAACAAAGCATTTCTGGGGCGGGTTGAAGTCTACAGCTAGGCAGCAGGGCACATGGTCTGCGCACAAGGGCTTGCCAGGAGAATCCCTGGCTTGTGCAGACAGGGCTGGTCTGACACTCTGAAAGTCCAGGGCTGAAACGCTGAAGAGTCGCTGGTTGGGTTCAGGCAGCGTAACAGTCCACACTCAAAAGATGAATATGGCTTGAATGTGGGCTGCTGTCGAAACACGAGTTATCATGCTATCTAAGCCCAGATGAGATAATGAACCACAGAAGGGGTTTTGCGGAAGCGACAGACTGGAGTGACTCATGCCTTTGCCAACACTGTGTGTGATGACACATCTTTATGTACCTGACAGATGGCCTGGGCCTGACAGCACTTGGGAGACTGTCATTCCCTAATTTAAGCAAACAGAACAATAAGAAGTGCAATTACTTGATCATATCAGTCATGCGTCTCCAATGTAATTTACAGGCAAGATGAAGCAGGCCAAATTTCATCCTAGTCTATCGTCTAACCTAGTGAATTTTCCCTAAATAAATCTATAGAGAGTGTTATGCTGCCACACAGGTCTATGAGAGCCAATGAGTTATTTGAATAGAGTTGTTGGAAATAATTTATAATGCAAAGAAGAATAGGGACCTACGTGTTCAGCATCAATCATGTGTGAGAAAGATATCTATCTTAAATTTGCCAAGTTGGATGTCACTGTGAGGCTAAGGCCAAAATTAAGTTCACCTGCACGGTGTGTTCCAGGCTGAAATTATACTACGTAGGTGTGCTGAAAAAATAAATACAAAGGTCATCACTTCCCTTCTCAGCCTAAGGAGAAAGAGTGTCCTTTAAAGGCTGTGCTACAACCACAACTTCCATGAGTGAAATGAACATGCAAAAATTCTGAGACTGTTCACTTGGAGCAAACCTGGCAAGTTCCAGGGAGAGAGAAAAGAGGAAGAGTCAGTCCAAACTGTCTCTTGGCAAGGAAAAGCGGAAAGGAAGTCAAGTCAGAAAGAGGGAAATCCATCCAAGATTCTGTCAGAGGGAAGACTCTCATCCATTTCCAGCCATTGTTCATGTCATGAAAGCAATCTCTAACAAATCAAGATGATGGTAGCGCAACCCTACACATTTACTCAAAAGTAAGCCCTTTTGTTCCAAATAATGCTTACTCTCAGGAAGGAGTGTACAAGTTTGCAGCTCTAACCTTTAAAGGGGGGGCTCCTGCATTTGGAGAAGAGCGGAAAGGATACACAAATTGCCATCATGCCTCAGAATTAAGGTTAATTTGGTCCAGCATTCTGTCGGCCAGAAGGGAAGAGAATTCCCACTTACATCTAGAATTCAGAATTGCATTATATTTGAATGTGGGGCATCGAGTTATCAGAATTAAAGCTACAGCTAGACCTATTCTCTGTGAATCTGTCAAGCCCTTTAAATAGATATCTGACTCTCCCCACATCACACGGCAGCAAATTCTGCAAACTGCTTGTACAGGGGAAAACCCTGTTTGGTTTGCATTTTAATTTGCACTTACTTTCAAGCCAATATGTAAACCAAAACTCAGGCTTTGAAATGTACACCACTCTGAATTTTGCCATAGACTTCTTCAAGCAAACAATGCACACAAAAATGGGTATGTTAAGGAAAAGTGGAAAATAAAATGGCTATATCAGTAAAAGCAACATTAAAATTACACAAATTGCTTGCAAAAAGGGTTAGCACTTGGGAGACTGTCATTAGGCAACACTGTGTTCTTGTAGAGAAATATTTAAAAACAAAACTATCACATTTCAGGAGGAAATCTAAGAGAGGGAAAAAAGAGAAACTGAACCAAACAGAAATTGACAGGTTTCTGTTGGCAGAGAATAGATCAGAGAACAGACTGGCAGAATATAGGCTGATTGTGGCTATTCGCAGGAATTTACACCTATATGCCTGTCTGATGTTTAGGCAGCCTATGGACTGCTTTATCCAGTACAGTTTTCAAGGTAAGCACAGTGTGCGCGCCATGTGATCCTCGCATCACTAGTTCTCTTGCAAGTCTCTGCCTTCTGGGCGAATGAAAAGTTTAAAATTCTCTAAATGATCTTCTCAGTCATTTTTAGAATGTTTCTTTGTGGTAGGTTGAGAAAGTAACTAAGATTTGCCCATTCCTTCACAGAAATTTGGCAAACTTTCAACGATTGCTCAACTTGCTCATTAAGACTTACCCCAGACAAACTCCCCAGAACCAGTTTCACCAACTGTTTCACGTAAGAGAAGGAAGGTGAACAGTTACTGTTCCGTATGTGAGCACTGCAGGCATCCAGAACGGTCCGTACAGACACGCGGGCATAAACGACATCTTCACACATGCCAAGCAGTATGCTGTTTAAATGATCTCCGAGTTTGATGGGCTGATGTTAAAAATAAAATAACATAACATGAACACTCTGTGAATGTTTCAATCACTAGATGATGACATAATCTGGTTAAGGAGGTTTTAAGACAACTTTTCACACACACACACACACACACACACACACACACACACACACCAACAAAAAAAAAGAGAAATGAATGGCTGGTTAAGCAAGGCAAATAGCTTTAAAGGCAAGTAAGTTGGAATTGAAGATCCTGTTTCCAACAGAAGTCTTCCCTCTACAGAGCACCCTTTCCACCTTGGATTCAATCCTTTGACAGCAATCCTGTACATAGTTACTCGGGAGTAAGTGCTGCTGAACGTGGAGGGACCTCTGAGTCAATACTTTCTAATGATCCCAAAGCCCAATCCTTCCTAAATTTACATTTCTAACATTCATCTATTGCTTTTTCTAGTTACAATTGCTTAAAACAAAAACATTTTAAAATGTACCATCAAGATGGAGAACCACTTGAGGATGTGGCAGCTCCTTAAAGGCTAACAAATTTAGGGTAATATAAAGCTTCAATAAATGGGGAGAAAGAAACATATGCATTTGAAAAGTCTATTTACTGCAAGATGTTACAAATTTCATGGACTGGGAAGGTTGCCAACGAAGGAGCATTATAAAATGCAGAAAGCTGTGTTGGTACTGTAAGGAGAAATGAAAAATACAGAATATTGGAGCTGATCATGTGAGATAAAATACATGGGGAAAGAAGTGCAGGAATAAGAACTTCTTTGTTAAAAAAAACCTTTCAGAACAGATGGGGTGGGGGCAAAACAATATCATTGTTTAGGGTAGCTATAACTAAAGACTTAGCCAAGCTGACATTCAATCTCTGGTTAGAGAAGAATGAGAAGAATGCTATGATATGAATGATATGGGAGAAATCAGAAATAACATGCCAATGTATTTATATTACTAGGAAAAATATTTCTAGCAAACCAGTGAAATACATAGAAATAGAGCGAGTCAGAAGGGGCCTCCCGGACCATCTAGTCTGACCTCCGGCACCAGCTGGCTCCGCTCATGACATGCCCACCATGTGCAATACAACACTTCCCTGGTGATATGAGAAGGATAAATCAATGATGATAAGAAACTGCCTCTTATGGCAGTTGACCATTGGTCAATGTGGCTTGGTACCTTTCTACTGTACCAAGAAGCAGTCTAAAACCATCTGTTCTGAAGTATGTTGTGTCTGAGCTGACATTGTGTGCCTAAGTCCCATCAAGTCATCTCTGACTTATGGCAATACTATGAATGAAAGCCCTGCAAGGTCTGACTGGGGTAATTCATTGGCAATTCCATATGGATGGAAGTAACAGCTCTATACTGCAAACAACAGGCGGTAGCTGCACTCTGCTAGGACACAAACGCTCACAATGAAGAAGCATTATGTGAAGAAAGACAGAGTGAAGGAGGCAAACTGACTGGAAAGCCAAAGCCAGCCTGGTCTTGCAGTTACGTGACTACACCCATATAGCTGAGAACTACTTAATTCTTTTCCTGTATTACTAGTTGATCATCTAGTATATTCTGTTGGAAACACACACACACTCCAGGGTGTACGCTGTCTGCTGCTATGATGACTTCCCAGGCACCACAGGTACTTGGATTTCCTCCTTTCAGAATTCACTGTCAGAATTCATAGTGGGTGGTTATCTTCTGATGACATGCCCTGTCGTACAGGACTCATCCTTTAGCGCTCTATTTCCCATTTTTTCTCTAGTTGTTCAGCAGCAGCAATACAAGTAAAACAACAGCAAACCACTACTCCAAAAATCTCGTGTTGTTCTCTGATTTTGCAGCTGCACCGCTCCTCTGTGAAAACACACCCATTTGGGACAAGTTCCTTCCATTTGTGGTCATGAATCAAAGGGCACAGGCAAAGTTTAGCAGCACTGCTTCCACTTCCTATTTCTCCCCAGCAATTATTCTTTTTCAATGTGGATTGCAAGAAAAGCCAACCAACATCATTTTAAAAAATCATTTCTCCAGGATAAATGGAAATAGATCACTTGGAATAGGTGCACAGGAAATTTACACCTATGAATATATAAGTGTATAAAAATACAGGTATCAATAAAAATAGCTATGCATAAGCTGCCAAAGGGTGGATCAAATATTCATATTTTTATCTGCAGGAGGTATCTAAATAACACCTGTACAAATGTTGAAAGCTTCATTAGGTCCTCTATCCATTAAGTTACAGGTGGTACCTGTTTAACTTTCCAGTGTTGCAATATCAGTCTTTTAGTTGTCAAAAAGCACTCAGAAAACTTATTTACATGGACTTGGAATTAACTTCCAAGTAGCAGGTAAATAATTTAAAAGAACATGTGCACTGGAAAATATTAAAAGACATTCCAATACTGTTGCTTCATATTACAGTCTCCTCCCCAAGAGAGGCAGCTATGGGGCATATGGGTAAGAGGAGCATTAGTGGTATTACCCCCCCCCCCCACCCCAGCTGTTAGCCAACACAGAGAAGCCCAAACAGTTTGCTCTCAACACTGCCTTGCAGTGAAGCAACAGCCAACACAAAGTTGTCTGGTGATGTGTTGTTGTGTCTGTAGTAACCACATCATTCTTAGTCTACCTCGCTGTGTTTTTGTGAGGATAAACAGATAGAAGAAAGAGATTTACGTCAGCTGGCAGTAAAAAGGCAAGGTATTAATATAATAATAAAAAACGTATCTTCAGTGCTTACTTGGCTTTGTGGAACATCATAATCAGCTCCCCAATAAAGTGTCATTCCAAGAGAATAAACATGAATCTGCAACACAAGACACATGAGTGGTATTGGGAGTAGGGGGTAGCATATAAGTGCAAAATAAATAATAAGTAAACCTCAAAAAACAAAACAAAAAAAACAAAAAAAAATGACTTATAACTACATGGGATTATGAGAACTGGATTATGCAAAACAGCTGCTGAAAAAGGCAACTTCTTATGTAAACATTTCTGTGAATTGGTAGTTCTGTGTAAGGCTCTTCACAAAATCAGCAATCTGGTTCTTCTACGATGATTTTGTTTACAAGTTTCCAACTCTATTTTGAAAGAAATGAGCTGCATTCAAAACCTGTTATCTGACTAAAGAGTTGAAAAATCAAGAAAACCTGGCAATATTAGAGTTAATACTGATTTCTTTTCTTCTCTTTAGTTTGAATTTAGCAAGTGACTAACAATGCATTATTTTGTCTATCCAGCAATCTGCCAGAAATGTATCACAAAGTACATCATTTCTTTGGTTTAGGAATGAAGTCATAACCCAGCGCTCATGCAACCCTATCATTGTGTTTCAGGAGGTGATTATAGCATGGAAATCCATGCTGGTTTTCAGCACTTTTGTGGGAGAGGCTCAAATTTCAGGCACAAGAGAGGAAACTAAGAGAGACTGGTCCTCAGAAACTCCCTTGATGAACCACAGCTGAAAGCAAAACACAGTGGAAACCAGAAGTAAGGAGCTGAGGCTCAGTGTGCACAACTGAAAACTATTAAGGGTGTGATGCTATTGCAAAAACCATACGTTTCTGAACTGGAAGTCTTCTGCCAGGGAAGGAAGAGCAGCATCCATCTCTGCCTCTCCATTCTCCTGTGCAGATTTTCATGGGAAAGGCCTCTTGCCTCCCCTTGCAGCAGCATTTCAGAGGGGCAGGACAGGTGGCTGAGAATCCCTCAGGATTATTCATCTCTAGACCTCTCCAGCCTCTTACTCTGCCATGCCACTGGAATACCCCCTTTGTGAGCAGGGGAGGAGAACTGGAGCGCCATTCGAACTTGCACAGTTCCTCCCTTCTCCCTCCCTAACTTTCTGGTTTGGGCAAAGCACAGCTTGCCATTATGGGAAAAACAGTTTCCTATTGAAGATGTGAAAGTCTACATCAAATGATAGTTTCATGGGTGCTCATTTGACCACAACCTTTAGCTGGCATTAACTATTGTTGTCCAGATTTGGACATGATGTGACGCTGTGGTTTGCCCCAACTATGAAGGGGGAGTGCAATAGCACGTGTGAGGGAAGGAGGGGAAAGGAAGCAGCACAGAACCCTGTGAGCTCCCACAGCTGAGAGACCTGACCTTCATGCAGGCCCTGCATCTCAACCAGAGATACCTTCCATGGGAACAGGGCAGCAGTGGAGGCCTCTGCCAGAGAAGGGTGTCCTACAGTGCTCTGCTAAAGAGACACCTGGTGAGGCTCAGCAACCTGCTGAGAGCTAGGATTCCTTGCCACAAGTGAACATTTGACTTTCAGTGGCTACTCCCCTGCATTTATATCAATGCTACTCAATGGCTACTTTCAGTGGCTACTCCCCTGCATTTAAATCATTGCTACTCAATGGCTACTTTCAGTGGCTACTCCCCTGTTATTTAAATCAATGCTACTCAATGGCTACTTTCAGTGGCTACTCCCCTGTTATTTAAATCAATGCTACTCAGTGGCTACTTTCAGTGGCTACTCCCCTGCATTTATATCAATGCTACTCAATGGCTACTTTCAGCGGCTACTCCCCTGCATTTAAATCAATGCTACTCAATGGCTACTTTCAGCGGCTACTCCCCTGCATTTATATCAATGCTACTCAATGGCTACTTTCAGCGGCTACTCCCCTGCATTTAAACAATGCTACTCAATGGCTACTTTCAGTGGCTACTCCCCTGTTATTTAAATCATTGCTACTCAATGGCTACTTTCAGTGGCTACTCCCCTGTTATTTAAATCAATGCTACTCAGTGGCTACTTTCAGTGGCTACTCCCCTGCATTTATATTAATGCTACTCAATGGCTACTTTCAGCGGCTACTCCCCTGCATTTAAATCAATGCTACTCAGTGGCTACTTTCAGTGGCTACTCCCCTGCATTGAAATAAATGCAATAGGCAGCAGACTTTGCATTTTGGTAAGCTGGAACACTTCCTGGTTTCACTGGAACTATACTTTTTTTGGATTTATTCCATATGCTGAACCCAGAGCTAACTGGGTCTCTAGTTGTGATGCTCATGAACTGATCCTGATCAAGCAACTATGCTGCAATCTGTAATCTGAAGATCTTTATTGGTATTTCAAGGCTTAGAGTTAATTACTGGAATTAATGCAATAAAAGGTGTTCCTGAGACTTGTGCCTTGGCTTCCGGAAGTCAGGCTTTGTCACCTACAGCCTGACTTGTAGGCTTCCCTACATGTCATAAGGAAAACTAAAGATATTTGCCCTGCACTCCCACTCAGCTTCCCATCTCAGGTAGAATATTTCAGGTGAGCACACTGAACCACTTTCACTCATCAGCAGAATTAAATATCACAATTCAGCACATCGTATTTCCATTATGCAAGTGAATCTTTGGTGTGAACCAAGGCCTAGGTGCAAACAATCATTCCTAAGCCTTGCCCTCTGCATGTAGGACTAACGAGGGAAGGGCTGAATGGACACAGGCTTTCCTGCTCCAGGTCTTCACAATGCACCCCACAGAGGCCCTGCCATTGGTGTACAGGCATGGGGCATGGCCCCATGGTAAAGGGGAGCCTCTGCATAAACTTCCTCTGATACATACAGCCGTACAGAACACAGCGGTGTTCAGGACGCAGCCTGCACAGGGGAGAAAACAGTCTTGCTCTATGCATGTCTCTGTACATGGAGGACATGCCCAAAGGAGGCTGCTTGTATTACCTGTCTGCCTCAAAAAGGAGACAGGTGTCTCACAGGGCCCGAGCCGATTTGCATATGAGTGCACTCACTGGAGCAATGCATATGTGGTGTGGGTCCCATTTGCCCGGGGGCTTATTCCTACCCTCAGCTGTATGTAGAATCAATTAGACTGGGCACAGCATGGATAAAGGAGAAGTTAAGGGCACACTCCTAAGCGTGTGTACACAGAGGGAAACATCTGACAACTCCCAGCATGACTCAGCTAATCCTGCTGGCTGAGGAATGCTGGGAATTGTAGGGCTTTTGATTGTGCCTTAAGTAATTTTGGCAGTGTAGCCAGAAAGACCATGGAGAAGATGCACGGGCTGGATAGCTAGATAACTGAACTTCTGGTACAGAAATAACTAAGCAAACTCTGGGATATTTAAGCTTCACCATCATTCTTTTCCCTTTGCCTAGAAGCAGCCGGAAAAAACCACACACACAACAGAGGCAAGTTGCTGTACCTTTTCGACATCAGAAAGTGATGCAAGCGACTGGTTTTGGAGAACTTCAGGAGCCGTGAATGCTCGCAGGTCTTGGTTAGAGATATTTTCATCTGTAAAGGATACGCTGCCTGATGGAAGCAGCAGAAGAGACCACGGAGAAATGATGAAGCCCAGGGCTGTTGGATCAGCTGCATTTGGAAGGGAGGAAAACCAAGTAGCAATTAAAAAGCAGATTAAAAAGACTTCAAGTCCATTCATTCAACAAAGAAAGTTGATGTACAACAGCAAAGAGGGTTCAAAATGGAGAGCTTACAATTTCTCTTCTTAAAACGGACTCCTTACATTGTTAGGCATATGAATCATCCCCTTTTAGATCTGTAGGAACAAGTTGAATTAACTGGAAAAAAGCAACTGGATAAACACAAATATCTTCCCAAATATCACAGAAATGAATGGTTTTGCAGGAGTCAGTTTCCCCCAGCCATGTGATTTTTTGCAGCCATCTTCTGAAATCTCTGTATGGAGTCAATGCACTTACAGACCTGGTTCAAACATAATGGGCTCATCCAAAAAACAAGTCTTGGTGCTTTATTGCACATTTCTTCTATTTCTCCTCCCACTCTTACCCTCCAATCTTCAAGCAAAACTTCTTGGTTTCTTACGCACAGTTTCCCTGATACATACATCAGTATTCTGTGGTTTAAGAACTGCCTCTGGGCAACACGTATCCCTCACTTTATTGGCAACCTATCCGTATTGAATTTGGCTCAGAAATTCAATGGCCACGCAGCCAGAGAGTTGAAGGCATGGTCTGCTGCCAAAGTCCAGCAGTTTGGCAACAAAACAAGGGAAAATGAGCCCCTTTTTGCTGCCATACCACTGAATTTCTAAGGCAAGCTTGATGTGAGCACAATGTGGTCCCCTTTATGTTTAGAGGGGATCAATCCCCAGACTCTTGGAACTTTTCCACTCCTGCTGTAAACCAAGATTACAAACCAGAATCACCATCATTTTGAGATCTCTTCAATCACAGATTTTTTAGAATTTTGGAGTCAAATTCTCATAGTCCCTCCCATTTTAATTATCAGTGATTGCATGGCCTTGTCAAAATGATGGAATTATGTAGAAAAATCCTGTAACTCGTGTATATTACTTGTGTTCGTTCAGAAAGCTTGGCAAAAGAGTATGAAGTTTTCTGCAAGAGGCCGAGGTTGCATTTGGTCTGCAATTACAAACCTATGCCTGTTGATTTGGGACTAAACTTAGTGCAATTAACTTCTCAGTGCGTGTGTACAGGATCACAGTAATCCAGAGGGAATTTCTTTCCCTTGCTTAGTAGATGAACAAGTCCTCTTACATCATGCGAGGGACATGTCAAATGACTGGACTCCCAAGTCTGCCTACAGGCATCCCCCAGCCGGCCACTGTACAGGTAGAATGCTGAAGCCTTCGTCTGATTTAGCATGGCTCTGCATCAGCAATGAAATGCAAGGTCGTTTGGATTCTACCTTATAAATTAAAGGGGTTCTTGGACTTATGGCAGTAACTATCTTCCCTGAGCATGTCTCTTGGTTTTGTATGAGGACTCCAGCTGCTTCACGTCAGGTTGGTGTAGTGTTAACTGCTACATGATGGAGTTGGACTCAGGAGATCTTGATTCTAATTCCCACTTGGCCGTGGGGTTTACTGGGTAACTTTGGGCCAGTCACTGCCTCACATCCTACCCTACCTCACAGGCTTGTTGTTAAAAGATAAAATGGAGAGGAAGAGAGACTGGTGGGTTCCTGGGAAAAGGAAGACAGGCAGTGAAAAGTAGTAACAATCCTAATACCTGATTTTACACAAGGGAATCATCATTCACTTTGTCAATATGGGAGGACCTACCCAAACACCGTCACCTTCTAGAATAAACCATTCATCAAAACTGTACACCTGTTTCTCAAATGTATTTCAGTCCACAAATCTGAGTTTCACTCCATTGCTGAAGCTGAATCTTTGCAAACAGAATTCTGGAACACGCATAGGTTAACAACCTTGGTGAAAAAATAACAGATACTCTTAGCATCTTTGTGTAATTTCAGTCCTATAATCTATTTGCAGATCATGTAGCTGATCCAAAAGGGGTATCTGTGGTTTCATTATTAATAATATCTTAGCACATCCTCACCCTTGCCTTCCCACTGCAAAGAAAATTGGCAGTATTTCATAGACTCTGTTTTGTACAGTGACCCAATGCCACCTTTAATAGACAATCTAATATTTTTTTCTTTCATTTGTCAAGCAATTATTCAGCACATCAAAGCAAGAGTGGAGCCCTGCAAACTGGAACAACTCTCCTCCCTTAGGCTCTCTTTTTGGCTTGGAAAATTAAGCTGCCAACTAAAAAGAATTACAGCCGTGCCTGTCATATGCTCGTTATCAGAACTAATTCCTGCAGAAAAGATCTGAAGTTACTTGATGCAGCAGTGGGAAACTGTGGACAGAAGAGTGACTCCATACTCCCCACAAGAAACTTCATTCATGCTCTGCGAAAATAATATTGCCATAAAAGAAAAGAAAACACTGAGGCGATGGCTGCCCACACTTGACCTTTTCCAAGAAGAAATTTACCACCAGAAACAGCAGCCCTTGCAACAATAGACCTCGCTGTAGGGAACACAACAAAACTGCTAGATATGCTAAATGATGCATTGCTGAAGCTCTCCTAAAATGCTCTAACCAAGGGAATTATCTGATCCTCTTTCATAATAGTAGGAGCTGAGGTCTTCAGGACAGACAAAAATGGGAATCTAGGGACTCAGTGCACTCCATAGGTTTGGAAGTACAACTCCCATAAGCCATTTTATTTTTATTTATTTTTCGATTTATATCCTGCCTTCTTCCTACAAAGGGCTCAAGGCAACTTACATCCTTCTCCTCCTCCATCTTATCCCCACAACAACCCTGTGAGGTAGGTTGGGCTGAGAGTCTGTGCCTGGCCCAAAGTCTCCCATTTGGCTCCATGGCCGAGCGGGGACTGGAATTGTCTGAGTCCCAGTCCCATGCTCTTAACCACTACACCACACTGGCTCTCGTTGGCCATGATGGTGGAAGCTAATGGGATTTCTAGTCCAAAACATCTGGAGGACAGGGGGTTGCCTACCCCAACTGTATGAATGTGTCCAAGACACAGTCTGGCCCTCTTTCGTGGGAGAATTATCCCACAATTGCAAACGGTAGACAAGGTGCTTGGAGGAAGATAGCTTGTCAGTACCAGTTTGCTGGGAAAGGCAAGTGAGAGGATGCTAGTCCGCTAGTGTGGGCCTCTTGCAGGCATCTGGTTGGTCACTGTGGAAGCAGAACACTGGACTGGGTGGAACTCTGGCTTGGTGCCACAAGGCTCCCTCTCCCCCTTATGTTCTAGCAGAGGGTTGAAGAAACGGGCTTGAGGAACCTGCACATGGCTTGACGGGTGGCAATTTACAAACAGCCTGGAATAACGTCTCAGATGGAAACCAAGAGGAGACAGGCAGACTTCTACCAAGACCTGAGTTCCTCCTCCATGTTCTCCCTGTTGCCCGAAGCTGGGTTCAAGGAACAGTGCTCTTTCCATCATGGCATTCTTGCTCTGCAATGCTCTTCCTAAGGTTTCTAGTGTCATGAAACCTCCACCCCGCAGGTGTTGAGCTCAGCTCCAGCTGTTTCATGAGAGACATGTCATTTTTCTTCATAGCTGCCCCCACAGGGTCTGCTGATCTGAAAGCAAAAGGGCAAATGCTGGCAAAGCGACGTGACAGTTCGTTACCCCATCCTAGAAAGCACAAACCAGCCAGGCACTCTGCATCTGGCATCACTGTTTGCCATCGCTGACTGCTGTGATTGACTGCCATCAATCAATCAGTCAATTGGCACTAGCTCTGGAGTGTTCCAGGTTCCACCCCTGGGCCATGTCCAGGCACAAGAATTCCCCTGTTCAAAGGTTAGGAAATCTTATCAGGCTGGGATATATCAGGAAGACTGCCAGGCAATGGGGCCACCATGCAAGCGGTAGAGCTAGGCTTCCAAAACTGGGAATACTTAGCCTAGCCTTCCCCAATCCAGTGTCCTCACAAAAGGTTGGACTACAGCTCCCATCACCCCCAGCCAGCATGGCCCATCCAGTTTGGGGAAGGCTGACTTGATCCAAGAAATCCAACCTGAGAGGTTTTTAAAATACTGAAAACTATAAACTCATTTCAGGAACTGACCACAAGGCACTCTTTCAAGGAGCTTTGCAAGTATTAGACAACAGGATGCTAGCTGAATGGGGAAAACACAGAACCTCACCACTGTGCACACAAAAGCACAAATTACTGTTGTACCGCTTGTTTGCAAAATAAATTTCTTCTGTTCTCGGCAGCGCGCCCATGAATCCACTTCCAATGGTATGCCAAAAGATGAATGAGGAAAAGCACACAAGCAAAACTATTTTTAAAGCCTCTTCATGTGAAAAGACTTCTGTCTGCTGCACCACGTGCCGGTTAAGATTACCTAGCTGGGATAAAATCCACAGCAGATTAGATATCATAAAATCCCATTTGCATAGAATCAAATGGAAACCAGCCTATGTTTTTGTCACATTGTATTTATTTATTTAAAGGTGTTTTTTTAAATAAAATCACCCTCCTCTGCCAAAAATTAAAAATAAATCTCCCAGAACAGATTAAATGCAATCAGTAAAACAAGATAATTTCTGCCTACAGGTTTATAGTTTTAAAAGAAACAACACACAAGGAAAATGATGGAAAGGGAAAATGAAGAAATTAAGCCATCTCTCAGTAGGGATGCTGGAATGGTTGTGACCTTGGTCATCCGATCAAGATAGGTCCATGGGCCAATTCAAAGTCCTCCAAAAGGCATACCCTCTCCAATGGTCTGAAGATTTCCCAGTTTTTCTGCATATTTCCCCTTATGTTCAAAGGTTGAAATGCCTCTCTTAAGGCTTGATTATCAGAAGTAAGAGCTCTGAGCTGGCGCTTGGGGGTTGGGATAGCTTTTCTGCTTTTGCCTTCAGCCCCACCTGCCATTGGAATGCAGCCCCTGAAAGCTGCTGGGAGGGTGTTTTTTTTTAAACAAAGCATGAACTACTGACAGTCCAGTTCTCACAGTAATAGAGAAGTTCTCTGTCGCTTTTAGTGGTGTGAAAGCTTGGGTGGAAAAGTCTTCCCAG